AAGCGCCAGGCAGAAGAGAAGCGCAAGTTGATGGAAAGATTAGCTGCTAAAGAAGGAACGGCACAGCCGTCAGCTGAGAGCAATGGTGCTGATGGGAAACCCCCGAGTCAAGCAGAGGCCCTCAAAAAGCAGCTTGCCGCATTAGAAGCTGAGGCAAGGAGTTTGGGTCTGGATCCTGCTCAGGCCGAAGAGAACACCTGGGGTGGCTGGGGCGGTAGAGGAAGAGGCCGAGGACGAGGCGCCCCCGGTATGAGAGGTGCATACGCTCCTCGTGGTGCACGAGGCGGCTACCGGGGCCGCGGTGGCGCTGGTTACGCTCCTGGACCTAATCCATACAAGCTGGACAATCGACCGAAGAAAATAGGCATCTCAGGAGTGGATTTTACGCACGCCGAAAAAGATGAGAGTCTACGGCAATATCTTCTCGTAAGTCACCATGAATACAGCTTATATGATTGATGCTAACTAGTCAGGGTGTCGGCGAGTATGCTGATATCGAAACCACCCCAAAGAGCACCTCCATAACCTTCAAAGACCGGTTCACTGCCGAGAAGTTTATGTATGGCATTTCCAATTCCGAGATACCTGGCGTTGGGAAAGTGGATCTGGCATGGATTCAGACGCCACTGCCGCCTGTTACCTTACCATCTGCTGCGCCAATCGCTAAGCCAGACACAAATGACCATGAGAATGGAGACACGGACATGGGAGGCAGCGGAGAGGGTGACGCTATGGCTCAAGATACGCATAGAAGGCCCGCACAAAGCCAGAAGCGAGAGCAACAGGAGCTGGACTATGATATTGGTGATGATAACGAGTGGGCTCAGTGACGAGATGCTACGAGTTTATAGGCCTCCTAATTGAGCGACGACCATGGATATGAAGCTGTGGAGTGGTTAATGTACTTGTATGTAAGATAGAGACGGTAGCTTCAGGCATCATGAATATATTTACTATCGAGAGCACTTATCTCGCTCTTGGAAAGACATATCGATCCACTATTGCTCAGAGTTCCGTGTGGCACGAAGGTTCAACTTGATTATACCATTGATTCCATTTTCTAGAAGTACAATACAACTAATAATAAGCTCACATTGAAAATTCGAAGAAAACCGCAACCAACTGGCGGCTTTGCCTCATGAAATCCTCACGTATCCGGCCCATCCGGTTGTCGCCCGTTTGACCAATTTCAAACCCTATACGCCATTATCAAAACACCTCACTCGCCACCCACTAGCCATCCCCTGTATCTCAAATCTCGAAGGTACTGACAGCTCCTTCGGCGCTCAACGGCTGTACATTGTCATTGTTGCCGGGGCCTTGGAAGCTCAACCTGTCGCCTGTATCCATAACATCCTGCGCCATCCTGTTCCCTTCCTCTCCACCTACAGTAGCCGCTACCCGTAGCCCCTCCTGGACATCACGAACTCGCTTCTTGAAGGTAAGTCTGTCGAGGAACAGCTGTTGCCTTCCCCTCTCCAACTCACGTCTCTCCTCCTGGATGATCGCCTCCATCTCGTTGAACTGTTGGAGCTTCAGATCTAGCTTCTGCAATGTCGTGTTGACAACTGCGGATACTAGGCGTGTCATCTCGCGTTCTTCATGTGTTGCCAGGGCAGAGGCGCGGGCAGCAGCTCCAGCTAAGGTTGCGGTGGCGAGGGTTGTAGAGGTGGTTGTGGTGGTCGTGGTCGTGGTCGTTTCGTGGTGGTGAATGTCAATGTCCATAGCGTCGTTTTGCTTGTCTTTCGAGTCAGATGCATCATCACCGCCATAATCTTTGTCTAGCTTCTGACGCAGACTCTTCTTCATTGCGTCAACGCTCTTTCCAGCCGCTGCAGCTGCGACAGCTGGGTCCGTCAGGTTGGCCAGGAAGCCCATGACAGACATCACTGGGTTGTCGGCTTGGTTAAATGGAAGCTGTCCACCGGATGTTCCAAGCAATCCAAGCCCAGTGCTTCCATTTACAGCTGGCTCTGTGTCGAGGTATTTGTCCTCAATCTCCAATTGCAAGAACTTTACCACACACTCTTCGCGAGTTCGGGTTCCGACATACTCTGCAATCTCTTGCCAGCTATCGTCAAACTTCTCGAGACCTTCCAGCAACAGCAGTAGCTCGCCATCATTCCAAGGGGCATCACGATCCGGGTACTTGCTGTAAGACGGGTTTTCGATTTTGACGTACAGTGATGAGTCTTGGTTAGATGGGAGACGGAGTTCGAGGAAGCAGTTCGGGCAGACGTCATATTTCGCCTTCCCCGAGCTGGTAACTCCTGGCGCAGTCTTTCCGTTGTGGTAATAGACGCGCGTGCAATCAACTCCGCAAGAGTAACAGTTGACTTTGGCGATCGGGCTCTTCAGGAGCGCATCGAGAGCCTTGCTAGGGTCGGCGGCACCGTTGGTCGCTGATTCTCCATTGGCCTGTTTGTCTCCAGTCTTTTGAGTCACTTCTTTGCCATTCGGCTCATAGGCGTTGCGGCCAATCTCTAGGTTACGCTCAATCTTCCCGTCTGCCTTCGCCTTTGCGTCTGTGTCTGCACTTGGCTTTCCCTGTGTAATGACCGGGTCCGTTGCCGGATTCCACGGCTGCAGTCCTCTAGGTGTATCCGCAATTACTCGGAAGTGACCAGTGAATGGTGGGCCGACGTTGGACGGCCGAGCATCCGCATCAACCTGAGTTTTGTTAGTTCGAAGTTCTTCGCGAGATACTGCCTTTTAGCTTACCTGGTAATTGATAAGACCCCATTGCTCCAAGAACGCATGCACGCGCATGATAGCGCATACATCTCCCGCGAGATTTCTGCGGCATGCAGTCACAGTGAGATACTCCACGGGGTTTAGACGGTATGTGTTGATCATGAAATCTCTATAATCTTTATACACAGCTGGCGTTTTGCTTCGATTTCTGTTGTTGAAAAACTCAGGCAGTGCCTTGCGCTCAATATTATTGATCTGGTGCATATCGAACCAAGTACTGTAACTTGGTAGGATGATTGAATGTGTTTGGGAGATGAGGTGTTCGCGCGCAGTAGACTCGATTGACGCTTTCGTTTGCTCAACTTGTCCAGTTGCCGCAGTCGTATCTGCTCCTTCGCCGGTTGTGACAAGTTGCTGCCCATCTTTGACATCCTCCTGTGCCTCGCCCATTTCCGTATCCTGCCTTGTGTCTTCAGGCCTAGGTCCTTCGGGCGCGTCGAGAGGGTTATCTGATACTACAGCAGGAGTAGATGTTGAGGTGTCCGGCTTGATGGCTGGTTCTGAAGTTTCGGCATCCGTTGCAGAGGGATCTAAACACGGTATTAGAGTCAGATATCTATTTATTATCATAATAGTGAACGCCAATTGTGACGAGGCATTAAAACATACCATTGGTTGCTGCATCATTTGCCCCTTCCACCACAGGGGTTCCAGCCTCCCCTTGCTGTTGGCCTTGCGCATTGGTGTTAGGAGTTGCTGTCGTAGCTGGCGACCCAACACTAAGAGATTCGCTATCCATATTGTATATTTTTCTCCAATTTCTCGAAGCGTGGTCGACAGAAATGATAAGTCCCTTCCTACAGGCTTCGAATCGACTTTGCTGATTGTTGGGGTGGAGGACCTTGGGCGCAAGTTGAGCACGTCGGGCTGAGTTCAAACTGCTTATGCGACCATACAACTATACAATGTTGATAGTTTGGAATGAGGAACGGCCGTGCTGGATTAAGGTGACTTTTGCTGAGGCGCGTCTGATGGATAGCCTCAAGATGTTCTCGCGACAATAGTCGTGACTGAAGCGAGTAATCCTAGTCCATATACCACGTGACTGTGGCATTTGTCTTGGCATTTGAGCACGGTTTGTTCCGAGCGAACCTCGGGTCAAGGGCCGATGATAGCCCAGCAATCAAGACTTGCGATGCTTGAAGCTTAACATTCCCCCACATACCTTGGAGGACAATTTGGATTTCACTGTTTGATTCTATTTACTCAAACAGCGCCATCAATATGCTTTCCTCGGTCAGCCGGTCTGTACTGCGTCAAGCACGCCCCCAGTTCCGGGTCCAATCACTTTCACAACTCCAGAGGCTACTATCGACACTAGCCGTCCTCGAACAGAACAATGGAAAGCTGAACACCGGTTCCCTGAGCGCTGTCACCGCCGCCAAGAAACTCGGAGGCTCGGTCACTGCCTTCGTTGCTGGCGGCAACATTAAGAGCGTCGCCGAGGAGGCAGCTAAGGTCGAGGGCGTCGAGAAGGTCATCTCAGTTGACAATGCGGCATATGACAGGGTATGCGATCATGGGGAGGCAGTATATACAGTCATGGATGCTAAATTATCAAACAGGGTCTACCAGAGAACTACGCCCCTCTCTTAGTCGAAAACATCAAGAAAGGCGGTTACACGCACATTGTGGCTGGGCACACTGCGTTCGGCAAGAACCTCTTGCCCCGCCTAGCTGCGCTGCTCGACAAGCAACAAATCTCCGACGTTGTTGCCATTGAGTCTGAGAATACCTTCGTCCGCCCTATCTATGCTGGAAATGCTATCGCAACCGTGGAGTCCTCTGATGACATCAAAATTGTGACTATCCGTGGAACCGCGTTCGCCGCAGCTGCTACCACTGGCGGCTCGGCCACAATTGAAGAGGGCGTTGACCCTAAATCCGAGAGCACAACGGAATGGGTTTCTGAGGATCTCGCGAAGAGCGATCGCCCTGATCTGGCGACCGCCGGCAAGGTCGTGTCAGGTGGCCGTGGCTTAAAATCCAAGGAGGAGTTCGATAAGATTATGCTGCCCCTTGCAGACGCCCTAGGCGCTGCTGTTGGTGCTTCGAGAGCGGCCGTTGACAGCGGATATGCTGATAACAGCTTACAAGTTGGGCAAACGGGCAAGGTGGTTGCACCACAGTTGTACCTATGCGCCGGTATTTCCGGTGCTATCCAGCATTTGGCAGGAATGAAGGATAGCAAGGTGATTGCGGCTATCAACAAGGACCCCGATGCACCTATTTTCCAGATCGCGGATGTCGGCTTGGTGGGCGATCTGTTTGAGAAGGTGCCGGAATTGACGTCGAAGCTCCAAAAATAAATAGATGAGAATAAATATCTAAGTATTGTATATATAGTTACATAAGGGTACAGTTCAACCTAAGTTGATCAGTCTAAGACACGGAGCATCTCTTCGATGGTAGTGAATTTCTCCCTCTTCTTGCCGCTATTCTTGCCTCGTGCGACTTCAGCTGCATCGATCTTTTTCCAGTCCTCCCAACTCACCCTTCGGCATCTTCTCTTCTCAGCTTCGACTTTGACGGCTTCCCACCCCGTTTTTACCTCCTCGCCCCCGTTGAATGGTGCCTTACTATTCCAGTCCTCGGCAATTCTATCTGCGGTTAAAAATGCATCACTCATGGTGCTTGCAATAACGCCTGTCGGACCTCTCTTTACCCAACCTGCGGCGTACATCCCGGGAACGTGTTGCTTTACCCCCTTTTCCCACCCGAGGCTCAATACGCGGCCCTCCTGATCATTGGGTATTATACCTAATCGGTCATCAAATGGGATACCGAGTTCTGAGAGTCCGGCGATGGCTTCCGATTTATACCCGATAGACCGGAACGCCATCTCAGCAGGGAGGTCCGCCTGTTCACCAGTGCTCGTTACCCTGGCCTTGGGGTCAAAGGGATCGAGGCCTAGGGAAGTTTTGTCAAAGGAAAGACTAGCTAGATTATTCGACGAATCTGGGTTAAACGAGGTGGGCGATAGCTGGAAATCGAGAGACCAAGATCGTGGCACGTCTCCCAACGATGCTTCTGAGCCCTTTGATAGAACTTGCATTATGCGCTTCGGTGCGCGAGGGAGCTTGGTCATATCCGGAGGTAATTGGGCTGGAGGAATTGGACGGAATGCCACATCTGGTAGCTTCATGAGCTCTCGAACCTCCTTTATCGTGAATGCAGCCTGTTTGATAGTTAGTTGGGCGTATTGTAAAACAAATTGAACAGTATGACTCACCTGCATTGGCCCACGTCTCCCAACCACTCTCACGCTCTTGACACGGCTTCTGCTCAAGGCGTCTATGGCCTGCTCGGTGATATCGGTTCCCTTCAACGAATTCACGTCGCTGAGAAGTATGCGTGCTACGTCAAGGGCAACGTTGCCCTGGCCGATGACAACCGCTTCTTCCCCCATTGTCAAGTCAGGCGCGAGACCCGAGTATTCTGGCAGCCCATTGTACCACCCGACAAATGCTCGAGCAGAATATATGCCATTGACCGTATCCTCTCCCTTTATCCCCAACTTCCGGTCCTGTGAAGCTCCGTATGCGAATAGTATGGCGTCATAGTGAGGGGCAATAGCTGCAAGAGGCAAGGACCCTGGGTCTGATCCAATGCTTATATTACCAATAAAGTTAAAATTTGGCGATTCTGCTACCTCTTGAAACTTATCTTCGCAGTTCTATATGTTATTAGCCTTGTTTGAAGGCGGATGGCGGAAGCCGAAGTTCACAAACCTTGACTTCTGGATGATCTGGAGCAACACCAAAACGGACAAGGCCATAAGGCACAGGAAGATGCTCATACATATCTACTGTCCCATTTTCAATTTTGGACAGCACTTTATAGGACGTATAAAATCCCGCTGGGCCAGAGCCTATGACGGCCATTCGGAAAGGTCGGCCATTTTGAGTGGAATTCTGTACACTATACTTTCGGCGAGTAGAAACCTGAGTACCCCTTGAACTGCCCCTTCGATTAAACACTATGCGACGTAAATGCCGGGTACATCCTGTACAGACATATTGAGTGGTTGCGCTCATCCTGTGATTCATGAGGGAGCGGCTCGCCCGAAACCAAAAAATCCCGATAAGAGGTTGATTGTGATAGAGGGCGCTTGTTGCTGCGACAACGGATGTTTACTGCCGAGCGGGTTACACGACTCCACCCCACACCAAAATACTGCTATAGCAAGGTACTCTATTCTTATGGCATATGACAGATTGCCATATATATACAACTCAATTAAGCCCGGAGACGTCAGAATATCATCTAGTCGATCCGACAGCGCTCCGCCTCCTCGATAGCCATGGGTGTCGAGCCGCCTTTCATTTACGACGCTGTTAAGAAGGACACGACGAGGTATTCGTACAAAGAGTTTGACCCAAAGGCGGTATCAAGATCAAGTATGCAGTCGCAACCACAAAAACCAAAGAAGGATGGCCCTCTGGTATCTTTCAACAGACATCCCGAGTATGTTCTAGGCTCTGTCCCAGGTGATTTGCATGACTGACATTCAAACAGCTCCTACCTCGTAATGCCTTCTGGAAAGGCTACCGGCGCAAGAGTGAGCGCATCGATGAAGGGTCGAATTACAGAAACTAGGATGGCTGTGTTGTTCTTCAGGATCTTTCAATTACTAGGCGCAATTGGAGCTCTGACTACTATGGTCTTGATCACTGGTGTCGACACTCAGATGGGCTGGATTATGAGAATAGTGGTGAGAAACTATCTGCAATCTGTTTTTTTATAGTCACTAACAACTCATTGCAGCCTGGTATATCCATTTTGCATACATCATACGGCATTTATCACTTATCCCGCAAACCTTCCGGTCGAACGCCAGGTTCATCTGCCTCATACATGCTATTTGCCAGCCTGTGCGATGCTTCGATTATGGCGTTTTACGCCTTTAGCACAACTACGGCATACTATAGATGGGATCCAAAGAACGGTCTCTGGGAATCAACAGACTCAGTCGCAACCTGGTCGACTTGGCCAATACTTCAGGATGGCGGCCCATATGTCATGAAGACGCTCTTTTTCTCCGCAGTTCTATGCTTCGGGGTCAGCGCCATCTTCCATTTCATAACCCTGATACTCTCAATCTGGCTCTTCGTCCTGTTCCGCAAAATTGTCAACCTTCCTCCAGACATGAACCCATTGGAAAGCAATCTCACTTCCAGAGCCCACAAGCGCAACAAGTCTTCTGTCTCTACAATGTCGATGTATGACGACAAGCGTGAGTCCAAGCAATCAGTAGCTGGCTCTGGAGCCCCTCCTTATGAGGACCTCGCACAGCCTCCCATGGTGCCTTTCATGCACACACGCAACAACTCCGGCACATCTTTCTCGACATACTACTCGATACCCACGTCCTCATCGCCACGAGACTCTAGGCTTGACCTCCCCAGCCGTCAGTATCAGATACCGACCACCAGTTCACCCCGTGCCTCGATGTCGGATCTGAAGCGCGCATCTCAATCTTCTCTTCCCTCGGTTTCCCCTAAGCGCGGCTCCTATGCCCCAGTGAACACCCAAGATCTCGCAGATCAATATGCTGGTGTCCAAAACGAAAACTGGTATAGCAGCGACTCTCTCCCTCGCAACCGCTACAGCCAGCCACCTAGCCCAGTTAAGTCCGCCAGATCCCCAACAAAGGCTCGTCCACAATCTGCGTATACTCCACTACGTGATGGCTTTGGGACTTACGAAGACATTAACGATGCCGATTTCGACTCAGATGTTGGTTCATCTACTGTATCTGCCAACCCGCTCAGCGCGCACCCCATCGCTGCAGGACAACGCGTTTCTGCCCTTAACCGAGATTCCGCATTAGGGGAGATATCACTCAATCGCAATTTTACTACAGGGAGCAGCAGCTACAGCGGAGATGTGGCAGATATCAATGGCCCTCAGCGCGGATACTATGACGAGGCAACCGTTGAGCCTACGGGGCAGTCAGAGTACAGGGAATTGACGCCACAGCCGCTCGTACGGCCTGGAGCTGCTGGAAAGGGGGTTGTCGGACACAGCAGTGACAGAGATGGCATTGTTAAGGGTTCCGTTGGGTTCAAGGCGCGGTACTACGGAGAGTTACGCGCGGGTACCCCACCTACGCTCGTGAGCGGCGTGAAGGGACGACAGGTGAGCTCCGGCATTGATATGGGCGTACCAACTGGAGATGGAATGAGGGATGTGAGTGGGAAGATTGCCGAGGAGGGACGTGGCGGATGGGGAGCTAGATTTAGGAAAATCAGCGGGATTTAATCGGGTCATGGGAGAGTTAGGAGTTCATGTTTGGGAGTTTGGAATGCGAAATGGCCCGGTATTGGCTGAGCGGGTGTTAGGATAATGTATTGTTGTTACTTTGGGTCATTGCTTAGCTACAGTAGCTATGTAGGAAATAGAGAGACTAAGAAACTGCTATCTGAACTGGGGTATCGAAGATTTGAGGAATAATCGTCCAAAAAACCTGTTAGCCAAAGTACCGCCCTATTTTCCAGCCATTGCTCTTTAATTCGTTCTCTTCTTGCGCCTCACATACGCATTCCAATCTGTTTCCCCATCTTTGTCTCCATCCACACCCTGCCCCTCTTTCCATCCTTCTTCGTCCCATCCGCCCAATCCACAGAGGTGTCTCATTGTTGGCCTTCCATGCGGGCAATTCCATGGCTTGTCGATCTCCCCCATATGCCCCACCAGCTTTGCCATCTGTTTCGTCGTCAAAGTCCGTCCGATCATAACACTGCTCCGACACGCTCTCATCGCAAACATCTTCCGCACTTTGCTCGGTCTTGGTATCTGCCCTGGCGGCGTCTCAGTGAGAAGCACAATCAGCTCCTCGAGATCAGACAGTGAGAACGTAGTCTCGCGACTCAGTGGAAGAGCAACGAGATGACAGCGTTCGCCTACTGGTGCGTCATGATCGATGCTCAGTAAGAAGCCGTTAGTTTCCAATACGTCCAGGTGCTCTATCACAATTTCTTCCTCGACAGCGGTTAGAGAGAGTGGTTTCGGCTGGACGAGTCGCTGGGATTGGACGGTAGTCGAAGCTTGGAGGCGTTCAAAGTTGTATTTTTCGTCAGAAGCATGCTGGTCGATGATGAAAACATCATCAGATGCTTTGTTAGTCGAATCAGATCCGTGCGACGTTCTTGAAGCTAGGATAAATCCAAGGTTGAATTGGCCGATAATTTTCATCTTCGCGAAGTCTGACTTATGGATGGTCAGAGAGAGTTTCTCTTCGGCGTTCACGGAATCTATTCCTGAAGCACTAGGTTCTTCGAAATGTTCCGAGGCTTCAAAGTGGACCAATGACTCGTTGAGGTTCTGCATTTGCTGTGCGATTGCGTCAACAGTTGTATTGAGATTCTTAACAAGATGCACAGTAGCATCTTTTCGTCGAGCGTCGTTTTTGAGCAAAGAATTGGCTCGCTTCTCGTTGTCTGCTGACGGCCGGCTAGCTACCTCTTCGGCGGCCTTGATCATTTCCTGAACTTTTGCGTCCTCCAAGGCTTTCTTATCCTCTTCATCCATGTAATCGCCATCTTGGTTATCGACCATAGAAGCTAAGTCTTCGGCAGTATCCATTTCATTTCCACCCTCATCTAGGATTTCTTCTTCGTATTCTTCGGCTGGCGCTTCAACGGGTTCCTCTGGCTCCATTTCTGAAGAATGCTCCATTTCTAAGCCTTCCGGGTACTCCTCTTCTTCTCCGGCTTCCCCTACTTCCTCCTCGAGTTCCTCTTCCTCTTCCACTCCCTCGTCTTGCTCTTCTTCTATCTCCTCTCCAACCGATTCCTCATCTTGATCCATTGAGCTATCGATTTGCTCTATATCCGCCCCATGTGCCGCGAATCTTTGCGAGAGGCGACTTCCAAATGATGGTGTTGAGTCTTGCTGAGCAACATTTGACGATGGCGGTTCCAACCGCCTTTTCTTTGGGCGTGGAGTTCCAATGGAGCTAACAGTTGTATGGTCGCCGATTGTGATAGTAGCGGTTTCTTCTGACATCCTCCTAGGCCGGACATGCTTTGAGATGATACTACCGGTGCCAGGGGCTGGGCGTCTTGTTGGAGACGCAAGGGAAGGAATGTGATCATCGTGGGATATAGGCCGCGGGGGTTTATAGCCATTGGCTTCTTGTCCACCATGTTCTGCTTCGGCCAGCCTCGCATTGAAATCCCGAACAGGCACTGGGAGCTGGTGAGATCTGTCAGGCATCTCATCCGCGCTGCCATGCTCAGAACCGTCATCCCCCACGATATCAGAAGCTTCATCGTCCATTTCTCCTTCCCTAGACAACCTCTTACTAAGTCTCAACTTATCCTTGGAAGGACCATCAGCTTTCTCAGTAGTACGAGCCTTACTGCGAGTCTCGCCCTGAATGGCTCTGTCTTTCGTTTTGGCTTCGTGCCACTTGGCCATCAAGTCTATAGCACCCCTATCTCGGTTCGCGACATCTCGTGATTCCTCGCGGACCTCTAATTCGCCGTTCCTGGGTTCGCCAGCCTGCTCGTCTTCACCACCTATGCTTTGATCCTCACCTGGAGCAGATTCTTCGTCAGTTTCTTCTGCCACTTCCCGCATCGCAGGGGCTGTCGGCCTGGCACTTGGAGTAGAGGGTGGCTCTCGATTAATGGTCAGCTGCTTATACGCCGGCTGCTTCTGGGATGACAGCTGCGAGACGGGCACAGCGTAATCTTGCTTCTCGAACAACTCCGTCAGAGACAGCTTCAACTGCTCCAACATGCTATTCTGCTCGTGCAGCATAATGGTGCGTTTATCAGGGCTGACATTAACATCGTAAAGATGCGTATCCAACTCGATATTCGCGAATATGAACGGCGACTGGTTATTATTGTATGACTTGTACACCTCGTTGAATGCCTTGGCAACTTGTGGCAGCCCGCAGGGCCGTGAGTTGACGAAGAACATTTGCTTGTCTGGCAACTGTCGACCCTCACCGGATATAGGTTTCGAAATATGGCCGACTATGCGGATTTCCTTCGTGCCATCGTCATCCTGCGTACTCCAACGTTGACTTGGGCCGCTTGAGGGCTCGAGTTCCAGGTTCAGGTCCAGCGGGACAAGGGCAACCAGGGTCTTTGCGCCGAAGACATTGGCTATGTTCTCTCTCGTCGTAGGATTTCCCTTTGTCGCAAAGACGGTTGTCTTCCTGCCCTTCCCGGCCTGCTGAGTAACGTTGATCTTGACACCAGTCTGTATGCAAGCGTACTGCCCCAGAACAGTAACGACACGGTTCCATTCGCGCTTGATATTCCTCTCTAGCTCTCGCCTTCTGACGGGCAGATTATTAAACAGGTTCTCCACCGTCACAGTGGTGCCTTTCTGTGCCGCGACAACGCTCGTTCCCTTCAGCTTCCCCGACACTTCGAAATCCAACTTTGTGCCCTTGGGTGCATCTTCAGCTGTACATGTTGTAATGGTGAAGTCCGACAGCGCACATAATGAGGATAGCGCTTCGCCGCGAAAGCCGAATGTATGTAGTGTCGTTAAATCGGCATAGGTTGACAGCTTCGACGTGTAGTGCTTCAGGGCAATAGTCTCATAATTCTGAGATGTGATGCCAGCGCCATTATCGTGTACCTCGATTGACTCCAAGCCCTGATTTTTGAACCGCACTTCTGCAACACGAAATACATGAGCAACATTCATTTATTATGGGAATACTGGTCAAATTACCAATACTTGAAGCTCCGGCATCAAGGCTATTCTCCACCAGCTCCTTCACAACAGAGCATAAATCTACTATGACCTGCCCAGATTGAATCTGGTGTATCTACATCCCAGAATGTTAGTGAAATTCTTATTCTTTCCAAGGCACCGCTTACCGTTCGGCCTTCTATGGCCTTAATTGTAGCCATGGCACGTACGTCGCGTTATCCATGGTCTGGAACCGCGTCTTCAATTAACGTCGTTGCTGATAAGGACCTTATCGCATATCACGTGGTTTAACAGTAGATGCCAAGCCAGCCGGGGCCTTGAGCTCTCGACGTCCTGCTAATACATGAACTCGTGAACTTTAGAGGATATATCCCATTCCTCGCTCTGCTCAATCAAATAGCCAAGATGGCAGGCAGGTAAGTTTGATATGGAATAGTTGCTCCGAGCAGGAGCGATACCCCCTTGGAATAATGGTTACTGATTGCTTCGACTGTCTAGCTGGAGCATATTCATCGGCTTCGTCGTCATTGTCCTGGCCTGCGTTGCAGCCTGGTTCTTATCTCCGAAGGGTGAGAATCAAACGTATGTATCCCTCATGTCCGCCGCTGTATTTTGTGGGCAAAGCAACCGCTGACTGAATCATTACAGTGTCTGGCGCAGCACCTTGATCCTCTCCTTCGCCAGTTGCTACATTATGTGGGGTATGAACTCTGACTCTCTCCTCTGCTACTCTACAGTACATGTGCTAATGGGGTATAACAGCTATCACCTTCCTCGCCCAGCTACACCCTCTCATCAACCCCAAAAGAAGCGACCTGCGGCCGGAATATGCGTCGCATTGACATGGGGAATGTATAGAGTTAAGCTGCTAGAAGCTACAGAGAACTACCAGGGGCGTTATGGACACGACGTATTCAGCGCTGTCACTTTTATGTATTAATAGGCATGCCGCGTTTTGAGTTAGGGTCGTCGCGGGCTTGAGCCTGGAGCCTGAAGCCAAGAAATGATACCATTATAGCATCGACTTCCTTTGCCTCATGTCCCACTACTTTCAGGATGATAAGGACGGCCCAATGGTGAAGACGACGCCAAAGTGACCCAGAGCAACAGTCATGTCAGTCGTTCAAGAAATATAGTTGAATTGCTGTTTCATAATCATAACCCGCCCAGTCTCCCGCCCCATTCCCTAGCCATCCCAATTGCACTCCAAAATGCCTTCCCATCGCTGGGAGTCTCCCACCCACTATCAAGCCCTTCTAGCCCAACAACCCACAGAATTCCTCTCGCAACAAGCCATCTGCTCACTGCACCCACCGCGGCCAGAATCGCTGCAGGGACATATCCGCAATCCAGCAAGATCTTCAGCGCCTCGATATTATTCGCTACAACCGCCCATCCCAAACTCCTCGCTGCAGCAGGCACATCATACTCCCATATTACCATCAATATAGGAAACAATTTCGTGCTTGAGCTCACGAGGAGAGCTGTGGAGACAGAATTCGGTCGCGGATAGGTCGGCAAGAGGCCCAGGAAGTGGAGGGGGGATAGCCGGGAGGACGTCAGGAAGCGGATCGAAAGGTGGAAGGCAAGTGTCGAGAGGGCGCAGAGGACCAGGAAGAATATGTACTGTATGCCGATAGGTTGCTGGGCGAGACGGCCGAAGTTGGATGCTTCGGGGGCGGAGGATGTGGGTGCGGCCTTCTCAATGCGCGCCCAGGTTAGATATACATCGAATAGTAGAAGAAGGATGCCGAGTCGTATTATAGAGCGCTATGGTTAGTTAGCGATGGGATTGTTAAGAGGAGGATATGGATTGCTCACATCAAACTGATCATCGGCGCGCATAAGGGAGTTATGGAGAAGATGTCGATAAACCTGGTCGGGCGCATTAGCAACCGCATTGAGGACGGATCCAGCATAAATACATACTTGCGGTTTGATCAGAACCAAGTCTATAAACAGCACGACAAAGTCATGCTCGACATATTTGTCACAGAAGCGCCCACAGTTCTTGCATACTGTAAGTCGCACTCCATGACCGGTCGACTTGTCATCAGCGCCTGAATATTCGGTGTAGAGCGTCTTCACCGGATACCGACACTCGATGCAAATCGGCATCGCATCAGCGCCTCGAGCTGCGAGTAATTCCAAGCCAAATGCTCAAATGCTGCGTAGCTTCATGAATTGTTGTATGAGATGCTCAGGGTACAAATGTCCAGAGTCCGTGCACTCAGCCTTGCGTTTTGGGGGAAGCCGAGGAAACAGAGCAAACATTGCAAACAAGGTCCTTATCGGAGGTGGGCTGTTGATATGAAGCCCCAAATTGTGAAAATGGCGCACCCTCGGCACAATTGACTCTCTCGTGCTTATACACCGCTCTAGTTCTTGTGTTTACGTTACAATGCTTCATTCGTGATAATATTTAATTTGGCCTTCCTGGGGCACGCATTATGAACGGACAGAGCCTGGCGTTCAAAAGTACCAGGCTTGCTGCTGGTCTACAGGTGAGTCAGACAATGTTACACTGAGCTTCGATGAATGATTCTAACTTTGGAAGCACTCCTGTAGCTTGAAAGCAGCTAAAGAGGCATCTCGAGAAAGTAAAGGCATCCGATGTCTATCGACAGCATGTCCCCGCCTAAAGAAAGAAGACGGTCCCGAGAAGGTGGACAACACTGACGTAAAACCAAAAGGGAATGGAGCAAAGCATGATAAATTCGCAAATAGGGTAATAATTCAAGTGCATTCCCTATATTTCTATATATCTGACTCTATTCTAGGACTTTTTTCTCTCCATTCTCGGGTCAACGACGACGAAGCGCGACACTCGAGCTTACGTCAAACATTTCGCTCCTCCGAAAGAAACTTCACAAAAGGCGGAACCATCTTCGTCGCGGACAACAAAGAAATTAGCTGGGTCACCACGAAGTCATGGTGGCGTGAACCTAGGAAGCTTTTATGGATCTCGGGCGGTGGAAAATAGCCCACGATTCGTACAGGAACCCTACACCGACTTTACCTCTCGACTACAAAATGGCCCGCAACACGTTGCATTGGTCAAGATCAGGGCACCTCAGGAGATGAATGACGAAAATCTTAACGGAGTCGCAAGAACTTTATCACAATTGGCAAAGCTTGGCATGATCAGTACTGTTGTTGTGGACTGCGGCATTCCTTCCAATGGCGATAATGGCAGGACTGATCCGCATTGGAAGGCCCTCGTGATGAAACAAGTTGACAGGATTGTGGATGCTATTGATGCACAATCAGTGCCAGGAGCACGGAAGGAAGATAATATTATTGGTGTCCTCGAAAAGGACCTGCCACACCAGCCTCTATCGGATTTTGGGGGCCGGACTCATATTCGTTACAGGAAGCTTCTTATGACCCCTCTATTGAGGGGGATTATACCCGTCATTGCGTGCATAGGATACACAGATGTATCTCAGCAGGCAGTTCCGGTCAAGGCCGACGATGTTGTTCTCGCCCTCACCCGCGAATTTGCTGGCTTCGGGTTTAATGAGCCTCCAGCCCCGGAGGAAGACCCAAACGAGACGAGAGAGAAGCTAAGATCGTTACGAAGCCAGGTGTTACTGGATCGTCTCATTATCATCGACCCACTGGGTGGAATTCCTAGTTCCCAGCGACCAAATGGCTACCATGTTTTCCTCAACATGGAGCAAGAGTACGAGGTGGTGAAGATCGACCTCCTGAGCGCCCATGGACTACCAAGCACACAAAATTCTGCCAGTACGTCTAAATCTTCCAAAGTTACAGACCTGGGAAAAAGCAATCCCTTTTCCCAATTCGTCGAAACCGAATTCGGCGCACCAACGCCCTCACCCGAAGCCCTCGCCACCTCAGACCTCTCCCAAGGCCTCTCAAGCGCCAGCACCATCCACCTAAACAACCTCGAACTAGTCCGCAAAGTCCTCTCCATCCTCCCCCCCACCTCCTCCGCCCTCCTCACAACCCCCACCGAAGCCGCCAACTCAGGGAACCGCTCCTCCTCCCCAGCGCTCACAACAGGCGTCGGCACCCGGTCTCACCGCAACCCTTTAATCCACAATCTCCTCACCGACAAGCCTGTTTTCTCCTCCTCCCTCCCCCCCAGCCGCCTCGGCCCCACTAACCCTACCTCCCCATCTGCAACCACACCAGCAACAGCTTGTCACACCACCTTCGCCAAGCGCGGTATGCCCGTCACCATCTTCCCCGACCCGCGCATACACCCCTGGCGTCCTCCCAGCCGAAACAACCCCGGCCTCAGCCTCAGAGACGCACGCATCGACCTCCCCCGCCTCGTCCACCTAATCAACGACTCCTTCGACCGGAAACTCGACGTCCCCGCCTACCTCGCGCGCGTAGACCGACGCATAGCCGGCGTCATCATCGCCGGAGAATACGAAGGCGGTGCGCTCCTCACCTGGGAGCTACCCCCCGGCATCGACCCCGATAGCCCCGAGGCCGAAGGACGCTGGGTGCCGTACCTCGACAAGCTTGCGGTGCTGAAGCGGAGCCAGGGGAGTGGAGGGGTGGCGGATGTGGTGTTCAAGGCGATGGTGAGGGATTGTTTCCCTGAGGGCTTGTGCTGGCGCAGTCGGTCGAGTAATCCGGTGAATAAGTGGTATTTTGAGAGGAGTCGGGGGACGTGGAGACTGCCGGGGAGTGGGTGGACGATGTTTTGGACGAGGGAGGGGGTGGAGGGGGGTGGGGGGGTGTTTGAGGATTATAGGGGGGTTTGTGAGAGTATACAGCCGACGTGGATGGATAAGAAGGAGGTTCTTGATTAAATTCGAGTTTGATTGGGGTTTCAAAAGGCGGAGGTTAACGGTCCTTGAGACTTGTAGCCGGATTGCCACACAGAGTTTTATGTTTGAAATGTATATAAAATATAAGCCATCAACTTTATATGACGAATTGCAACTTTCCCAGATTCGATGTGCAAATATCTATTAAAGAGGCTGACAGGGCGAAATACGATCTATCCTGGTATGGATACTAGACGAACGTTCGAGGGTATATATTGGCAACGCAGGCCCATAATCAGTCAACATTCACCGACACTAAAGAGTGCCCTATCATAGGTAGCTCCATCCCCTCCAGCAACGATTCTCTAAATCGACAACAACATCAACACGTGGAGGAGACAGTCGTGGGTGGGACAGCCGCGGCACCACCTAGCTTTTGATCTAGGTAAACGCAAAACCTCGTCGCGGCGATTTCATGTGGATCTCCAGGCATCGTGACATAAATGATCTGAGTATCTTGGAAATACAGAGCCTTTTGTGATTGTGGAAGAAGTGACTGACTGCTCGCAGTCTCCAACAGCATTTGCTTGGCTTTCTGCTGTGGTTCCATATACTGTCCCTTCTGTTGTCGTGTATCCGATTTATACTTCTCCCATTAGTCTGTCATAATAGCTCGGTCTCCTGGGAGCAAGTCGTTAATCATGTTTTTCAAGTAAGATATCGACCGCGCGGAGCCAGAATTTTTGAATATCTGACGCAAGATTCGTCCTTGTCATACTTGAAATCATCTGGCGTTGGCTCTATTTAACCACATTCACCGCCCAGTAGACTGGGTGGGATGATTCTAAAATACCCTGGTTTCTACAGGCGTGAGTAAAATACTCTGGAAGGCTCTGTACTTAAATATTGGGGGGCTACCTTCCCCAGTGGGTGAGCGGAGGCGGCGCGGTGAGAAGTTGAAGTCAGGGGTAAGTTCGAAGGTGTCATAAACGGTGTTCTTCTGGTGTATGCTAAAATGAGAGAAATATTTATCAGAAGCAAAGTTGTTGATTTTGTATCATAATATCAGTCACCATAATACTAAATAGCATCCCCCCATTCCCGTGAACAGATCCATATGATGGGCCATGCGTTCATGAGTAAGAGGCGCTTCTCAGGGGTACCAGCAGGCCACACTCCCATTTAAAAACACACGCGCGCATACACCTCAGGGGCATTTTATGAGGCTGCAAAACTATCACCAAAGATAGATTTCATCGTGCCTGTGTTTGAGAGACTACTTTTACAAACTGCAGCGGATATAATCTTGGTCATCCTGGCTCGTGTGCGGTATCACCCCTTTCCCCCAAGAACGAGAATCCTAAACCGACAGGAATATCAAAACAGTGACAGCAACCAACTTGACAGTGAGAATGACCTGGCGACAGCAACACGCCGTCGACAACAAGATCCGACCTCCACACGCTAATGCCTTTTCTCTTGCTGGCAGCATATCAATCTCCGTTCCGCTTAAGTTCTTCGTATATTGTTGCACAGCACGTACCATTGCCTGGTGTTCCATTTCTATCATGTTTGTATCCTATTTCTGCATGACTGATTCTTTAATATCACTAAAGATGTGATTAAGGGCGTCGTAAACTGCATCAATGTGTTACTCCTCCATGGAAGAACCATGGTAATATGTATCTAGAATAAGAATATAAACATGTATGTACTATACCGTATATACACCCCATCCCCCAACCTCAACTCTCTATCTCCCCATACATCACTCCCCCCCTCACAACCTCACCGGTCCCCTCCTAACCCCCCTCCTCCCCAAATTCGGACTCGTCCCATTCCCCACCGTTCCATTCCCCCCTCCCCCCCCATTAACGCTCGAAATCCCACTCCACACCAAATCCGCCGTCGGCACAAGCGGCTGCATCTCCTCCAACCAAACCGTATCATACAACCCCTCCCCCCCATCCGCCGCCTTACTCCCCGGTTCCAAGCTTCCAAACTGCTTCGAATCAGTGCAGCAAGGGCTATTCGGTCCCCAAAACGGCCCGGCCGCCCAAGCAGTCCATCCAATATACTCTTCATTATCGGCCATATAATTCAATATATCAGACACGTAGGACGCGCACTGTGTGCCGTTAGATGCGCCGAACTCGGTGATCATAGCTTTGAAATTATGCTCTTTGAGCCAAGCGGTCAAGGGGGCGAGAGCAGTAGAAGCGAGGTTCTCGCACGAGCTGTGCGTGCCGGAGAAATCGGTGTCGAGGTACTCGTGGATGTCGAAGGCGAGGTTGGAGGCCGGGTCGGACAGCTGGTGCATTACCTCGGACGAGGCGGGGGAGTTGCCGGGGTAATCTTCGGTCCAGGCGTGGCCGCCCGTCCAGCCGTTGCCAGGGGCGATAATGAGTTGGAGGGCGCCGGTGGCGCGGATGGCGTCTACGGCGGCTTGGTCGTTGGCGAGGACGAGGTTGGTGTCCATATCGTGGGGCTGGGGGGGAGTGTTAGTAAGTTTTTGTTTTTGGCTTATGATAGGGATGGGGGAGGGGTGATTGGGTTTGGGTTGGGTTGGGTTGGGAAGACATGACATACCTCATTCATAAGCCCAAATATAACCTTCTCATTATCCACAAACCTTCTAGCAAGCTCACCCCAGAACGCACCAAACTGCTCCGTAGTCGCCGCAGTAGGATCAGACGTATCACCGATGATACTCCCCGTCATAGGCTGCTGCGACGGGTCATTATAGCGCATGTAATTATGCGGGTCAAGAATGCAGTAGGCGCCCTTGGTGAGGGTGATGTAGTTCACCGCGTCTTCGATCTCGGAGAAGTGCTGTTGGGATGATGGTCAGTATTGCGGCTATGGCTTGGTGATTGATTAACGGGGGTGGGGAAAGCTTACAGTCTCGCTGAACGTAGCACCGAGGCCAGTCTCAACGGGACAGAGACGCTCGAGCAGGAATGCGACGCGGAAGAGGTTAACTTTGTTCTGGTCCACATAGACGTCGATACCAGCTTCGTCGATGAACTTGTAGTCCACGCCGAAGGTGCCGGGGAGGCCGAATCCAACTTCCGCCGTGGGGCCTGGTGGATGTTAGTTAAGTGTTCGCAGCTGGGGGAGCTCTACTCGAGGAATGGAGATGACTTACTGTAGACGCCGAACTCGCCGCCGCTCTCTGCGACGCCGGCGTAGAAGATCTTAGCTGCCGCATTTCCGGCAAGGAGCGCCACTGCCGTGAGGGTTTTGCTAAGCATCTTGGGATTAACCTTATTTGAAATACGCCTCTTGAGAAGACTAAGGAGGATGCTAAGGGATAAAGAACAAGAACCGAAGAAAGCAAAAGAACACGATGAAGAGGCCATATATATAAGCATTCGGGCAAAATAGATTAACCCCCCCGCCACCTACCGCATTATACCTGCAATTGCCATATTGATAGATGTAGTATGTAAGTTATAGATAATCATTTTCATGGTCTTTTATGGCCATCATTGCAATTACCCACGACCACAAGCATATATCTGAAACCCAACCCAGCATCGAGGGGGAATTGCCGTATTTAGAGGACGGAATATGATGGCTTTGGGGGATCGTCGTCAGGGGTCAAGGGGCTGTTGATATGTGTTAATCCGGGGTTCGTGGGGATATATTCCGCCGGTGCCGCTGGTGCCGCTTGGAGTTGAGAGGAGAAGGGGGAAGAGGAATGCAGATCGCGAATATAGAGGAAACAGGCATGTATGGGGGGGAGGTAATATGGATGTGTTCGGCGTATATTGTATAAACTCTGGGTGATATGGAGGATTGTGGGGATGTAGTCCAATCACATCTTTCATCATGTTGTCAACATAGGCTGGGGGATAGTCAGACGAGAAATGTAAGAAGAACAGTGAGATCGCTATATTCATGCCGACTGAAAGTAGACGGCGTGATTATATTGTTATACATACAGTAATAGTGTGAATAAAGTGAGAATATCGTCCATCCCATATTCAAGTCACATGATTCGCGTCACATGATATAAAGTATGAACCACGTGACTCGTATTTACATCCAACCGCTGTCAACATGGCTGACCACAATTTGCCGACTACAATAAGGTTAATGTTATCGCCAGTTGCCGTTGTTATAAGGTTATACGCGTTATGCGCAGAGTCGTAGTGAGGCTTGGAGATATCCCACTTCCTCCTCCTCCTCTTCTCCTCTATCCTGTCCTCTTTCGGATGGGAAATCACATGCATTATATCCAAACCGGAAAGGACGGCTAGGAGGGGTATGGTATGGATTGAGATAGATGGGGATATGGGGATTGGTATGGGGATGGTATGGGAATGATAATACCGTAGCTTGTCAGTAGCTTTGTTGGTGGCTTCCGGAGTGGAGAGCATCATTTCCCACTTCAGTCCACTTCAGTCCACTTCAGTCCAGTACCGAGCGCTCGTTAAGCACGTTCAGCTGGTCTGGGTCGCCGTAGAGTAGCAGTAGAGTAAAAGTAGAGTAGTCGAGTAAGGGCAGTAACCCATTGTAGTAACATATGCGGGCGCACATCTGTCGATCACGAGATTAGCGAACAAAGTGCCAGAGAGTGCCAGTTGTACCGGTCAGTGCGTTTGCTCTCACTTTACTCCATATGCGAATGCCGAGCCTAGTCTTGGCACCCGTCATACTCTAAAGCTCCCCCCCCTGTTGAAGAGGAAGAGAAGGGGGAGGAAGAGAGGTAGACACGCCGATGCGACCATATCTTGGTACGATTACTTTATTACCTATTTAGGGCTATTTTACTCTCTGTATGCTTCAATAATAAACAGCATCTCATACATCTACCTACGATAATCGCATTTATACAAATTGCAGACCCATAACCCTACCAATCTACCCAAGAGGGTCCCGACAACTGGGTCTGACAATTGGGTCTGGTTCCTGTCTGCCAAGTCCACCCACCTCTCATAGCTTCGACGCTAGCCTGTGGCGACTCCCCAATTCCTTGTTTACCAAACAGGGAAATCTCAAATTCCGCATAGGGGCATCCAGACACTAGTCAGCGAGAGAACCAGAAGCTAGAAAAATTGGCGCCCAGTGGTCCAATTTCTCATATCTCCCCGCCGCGAACCCTGCCCTCGTCGCGCGTTTCTCAATCCCCCTCCCTCCCCCCAAGCAACCACCACCACCAGTTACCCCAAGGGTCAGGGTATTCGCGCGCCGGCATCAATATCGATATAGAATCGGTATCGCATATATACTCAGTTCCAAACTGAGGATTGACCATCTCGGCCGATCGCAATGGCACAGCAGCAAGCTCACGGCGGTGCCGCCGACGAGTTCTTCCGCGGCGCGCCCGATGGAGGACAACAACAGAACTACCAGCAGCAGCAGAATTACCAGCAGCAGAATTACCAGCAGCAACCTTACCAGCAGCAGCAGCAGCAACAGCAGCCATACCAACAGCAGAACTACCAGCAGACGGACTACAACCAGAACGCCGGCAATGACCAGGTGCCGCCCTACAACGCGCCGGCCAACCCCGACGAGAAGCAGGAGTTCCACGAGGCGTTCAAGGTCCCGAAGCCAAAGTGGAACGATCTCTGGGCCGCCATCCTCTTCCTCGCGACTTGCGCTGGCTTCGTCGTCGTCTCGGGATTGTCTCTCAATGGATACCAGACAACCAGCCATGGGAGCTCTACGAACAACACCTTTGGACTTAACAGACTCACCATCGTCCTATTGTGAGCTTTTCCCTCTCCTCCCCTCAAAAACCGTATGCGCGCAAACTAACACCTCCCCCCCAGCGCCTACGTCCTCGCTGTCGCCTTCGTAATCTCCTTCGCCTACTTCTGGTGCATCCGCGCCTTCACCAAGCAAATCATCTGGATCACCGGAATCCTCCAAATCGTCTTCGGCATCGGAACCGCTGGCTTCTACCTCTGGGCCAAAGAATACGCCGCCGGCATCGTCTTCCTAGTCTTCACCGTCTTCTACATCATCTGCTTCATCTCCTGGATCCCACGCATCCCCTTCTCAGTCCTGATGCTCCAGACCGTCATCGACGTCGCCAACAACTACGGCCACGTCTTCATCGTCTCCCTCCTCGGCGGCCTCATCGCCACCGCCTTCGGCGCCTGGTTCTCCGTCACCCTCGTCGCCGTGTACGCGCGCTACAACCCCGGCAACGCCGCCTGCAGCGCCGACGGCGGGTGCTCGACCGCCAAGGTCATCGGGCTCATCGTCTTCATCACGTTCGCTGGGTACTGGATCACCGAGGTCCTAAAGAATATCATCCACGTCACCATCTCCGGCGTCTACGGATCCTGGTACTTCTGCTCCCAAAAACCCTCTGGATTCCCCAAGGGCGCGACCCGCGGCGCTTTCAAGCGCTCGGTCACGTACAGTTTTGGCTCTATCAGCTTCGGAAGCTTGATCGTGGCTATCATCCAGCTCCTCCGCCAGGCGTGCAATGTGGCTAAGCAGAATTCCGCGGCGCAGGGTAACATGGTGGGACAGATCATGTTCTGTATCCTTGGGTGTCTGATCAGTCTCTTGAACTGGCTCGTGCAGTTCTTCAACGAGTACGCGTTCAGTTACATCGCGCTTTACGGGAAGGCGTATATCCCCGCCGCTAAATCGACATGGCACATGATGAAGGATCGCGGGATCGACGCCCTGGTTAATGAGTGCCTCATCAACCCCGTCCTAACTATGGGATCGGTATTCGTGGGCTACGTGTGCGTGCTGATGTCGTACTTGTATCTCCGCTACGGCAACGTCATCGTCGACACAAACTACTACGCCGTCATTATGGCGTACTCGTTCTTGGTGGGACTGCAGATCTGTAACATCTTCTTGGTGCCGATTAAGAGTGGTGTTGCTACCCTGTTTGTGGCGATGGCGTTTGATCCGGCGGTGCTGCAGAATGAGTACCCGGATTTGTATGATAGGATGGTGGGGGTTTATCCGCATGTGCAGCAGTTGGTGCATGCTTAGACGTGGAAGCGTCTTCTTGCACTGAGTCGGATTACGGGTTTTTCGAGACCTGTGGGGAAGAGGTTATGGGGGATAGGGGGTGGGGGAGGTAATGGAGTGCAAATACTAGTGCATAGAAGTTGAAAAAGAGCGGGGGTAAACGCACTATTATGTGCTGGACTGGACTGGGTTAATAGGGGATCGATAAACTATACTTTTTTTACTTTCTTTACTTTCTTTTCTGTTTCAGGGTTCGAAGTGCATGGGGCGCGTGGGGGGGATACCAACGTTTAAGGGAATATACATATTTTAGACGCGAGGGTGCGTCTGTGGGTGTGGAAAGGGGTAGTGATAGGGGAGGAGGGGGTGGGAAGGTGTGTAATGAGAATAGGGGTAGGGTAGCAGATAGCAATGAGAGAGGGTATTATATTATATTGCGTTGCTACTCGCTCGTGAGAGATCGAAATGTCTGGGGGAGGGGGGATGCTAGACGTCTGGGGGTTCACAACAACCAAGTACCATATAAGAGCAGCTTGTCGCACAGCTTCTCCTGAGCCAAACGACCCTAGGACCGTCATGGGCTCAATAGAGGTCGTGCCAGAAATGGCTGTGGGGGTTGAGCCCGCCTGTGTGCGATATCAAGATAGCTAGCTTACAGCGTGGAGGAAGGAGACCGCTGCTGTCACCCCTTCCTTACCCGCCTTCAAATCCCATTATAAGCACAGCCAACCACCGAAGACGCGGTCTCTCGTGTCAACAGAAGGGCTTGTCGTTATGGAATCGCAAGAAACAGGGCCCATGATCATCTCATGAACCCCGTGGCGGATTGCACACGGTGCACGAGGCCGCGGGGGGGGTTTTTTTTTCTTTTTTTTTCTGGAAACTATGTATTCTCGTCACCGACGTGTTCTTCTCACCACCGTATTCTTTTCACCGCGCAGCAAGACGCTCGAGGCGGGCGTCATCTTCGTGGGGAAGGATGGGAGAGTCATCGGTGCGAGAGAGGGATTGCACACTGGGCAGACGGCTGATATTGGGGTCTTTGTCCCAGTTGACCCAAGGGAGGTAGATGGCCGAGACCGGACCCACGACCGTGGAGTTCTTCTTGTTACTTGATACGTATCTAGTCCATTAGAACGCACGGGGTGAGATGTGGTATGTTCTTTTGCAACGGCTGGGGGGTTGGTGATAGGCGAGTGGGGTGTGCGGTCCCTTCAACAGATCCTTGGGAAGAAAAAGTATTTATTATCATATAGTCTGTGAAAAATGACTGGTGATGCTTTAGGTTCGGTATTATGACTTTCCTTGATTCGAGGTTTTCTGGGGGGGGGCCGTTGGGTGGAGAGCGGGGTGTTGTTAAAACTCGAAGACGGGGGGGATGGTTTGTATAAAAGCCACCATCGAAGAGCTCAAAGAGCTGGCAGAGACAAGTCAAAACATGGGAAACAGGATCATGAGGATTTTAAGTAGCCGCCCAGATAGCATCGACGTACAGAAGGGATAATAGGTGGGCTGCGGAGAATTCAAGATGCTGAGGTTCGGGCTGGGAGAATTACTGACTGTGAGAAGTGATGACGGTGAGAGGGGATGGTGGTGAGAATTGAGACGGTGAGACGGTGAGAAGGCAACGACTGTGAGAAGCACCGAGTTTATTTGGGGGGGCCTATTCCGCATGCTTGAGGACTTAGCCATCTGCCAGCAAGGGGCCCGTACCATTGCCACCCCCCAATATGCAACGTACACATTTAGTTGGGAACACACTTATTTTCGCAATTTGGCTGAGTGCGACTGCCTTTTATCAGTGTTGAGGACATCGTGCAGAGTAGCTGGATCATGTTGAGTAATCTTATGAGAGAATATCTTCCTGGGGGAGCCAAATATGATAGAAATGGGGTTTGCAAGCTGCGCAGTCCCATCGTCAGTCTCTTGGGAAGCATGAATACTATAATCATGATCAATGCATTTACTACGAAGACGTACGTGACATTCTACCATCCATCCATCAATCATCACTCCTCCCCCCCATCACAAACATTCTACACCCCCTCCCACCCCCAATTTTCCACCATTCCCCCCCCTAACTATTCAAATACGCCCTAACCGCCCCTCCCAACTTCGTCGCCCCCTCCCCAAGCACCTGCGTCAAGTTCTCCAGATCATCTCCCGCCGTAACCCCAAACTTCCTCACAAAGTCCTTCGCCGCGCTCTCAAGATCACCATAATCCTCCTCTCCCCCATCATCCTCCTCACGCCCGAAATAAGCGTTCGAGGAGATGGAGCTGGCGCCCTCGAAGCCTTGGAGCCGCGACTTGGCCTCGGTCTGTGCGGCGGGGTCGAAGGTGCCTTTGCCGAAGAATTCGTCGGAGGAGATGCCCTTCTGGGCGCCGAACTTTTGGCGGGCGTAGCGCTCGCTGTCATCTAGGGGGGTAGGTTAGCAAGGGTGTAGTTAAGACTGTGGGTGAGGGGTGGGGGATGCATACCTTCTTCCTTGGCCTTGATAGGACCAACCGAGCCGAAACCGCCCATCTTCTTAGCACCTCCAGCAGGTTTCGGGCCGCCGCCAATCTGTCCAAACCCAAGACGCGCCATTCCCATACCCAACTTCTCAGCATCACTTCCCGAACGATCCCTCGGCGTCGGGTTTCCATATGTGCCACGCCCAGGGCTAACAGGCGACGGGCTCGCAACCTTCGACTCCGTCTTCGCGGCCGTCTTCTTCGCCGCATCCTCCGCCTCAGGATCATATCCCAACTTCTCAATCCTCTCCGCCTCCTCCTTCGCCTTCCTCTCCGCAGCATCAAAATCAATCACATCGCCACCACCCAACTTCTTCGCGCCCAACTTCGTCGGCTTCTTGCCACCGAGCACATTCGCCCTGCGCGGGGCGCCGCTGGCAGCAGAGGACTTGCGCAGCGCGGAGGAGTGCACGGCGCGGCTGGCGGGGGCGGGGGCGTCGGAGCCAGCGAGCGGAGAGGGCGAGCGCGCGGGCGGAGCGCCGTCGGCGGTTAGGAAGGGGGAGGGAGTGCGGCCTACTACGGGGGGGGTGGCGGTGCGGGAGGTGGGTGGGGTGGGGCGCTTGATGGCGGGCTTGTCCCAGGAGGAAAAGAAGTCGTCGTCGGGTTCGCCGGCGGGGGTGGAGGAGCCGTCGGATGGGCCATTGCCCATGACGTCGGTGATTACGACTTCCGTGGGGTATCTGTGCGAGTGTGTTAGTTTTGATTTGTATGGTGTGGTAGGGTGTGAGGTTGGATGGGACGTACTCTATAGCATCCTTTGCGGCCCTCTTCTTGAGCTCCTCCTTGTATTTGGTGGCGGCGTTGGAGGTGTACTTGGTCTTGGGATCCTTGCTGTTGAGCGCGGCGGTTCCGCCGTTGGTCTGGAAGAATTTCGTTGCCGACTCATTTCCGCCCACTTTCATGATTCGGAGTTGGTCCCATTGCCATTCTGTTTGTCGTGTGAGTCGTCGTTAAATCCATAAAGGGGGCGGCGGGGAACATACGGTCAAGGTTCGTGGATCGCACGAACGAGATGTGAACACCGAGGTTACGATGGTTGGATGAGCAGTCGAGGCAGAGATAGATGCCCAACGGGACTGAAGTCCACGTCGGGTTATTCTGGCCGCAGTCGAAGCATATCTGTAATGGTCACGTCAGTCACAAATTCGCATGTGGAGCATTGGGGAGGAGACATCTCACCCTGTTCGCTTGCTTGGTCTTCAATTTCTCAAAAATCTTGAGCGATTGAGACTTGGAGGCTAAGGCGCTCATCTTGCCCGGGAGAGATGGGAAGTTGTGGTGTTATAAGATAAGTTGAGCGATGTGGCGTCGTTGTGGTCGTCGCCGCCGCCAGGTCGTTTAATGGCCAAAGTTATTGACACCTGCCCTGAAATGGGATCGGGCGGTGGGGTCAGATCAGGCCGCCGCTTTATGTATACGAGTGAACGGTCCCCACATATGAATCCAGCGATTACAACAACTGTAATGGAAATGACGACTTCAAATCACTGGGAACTATAATTATTCGTGTCTGTAGTAAAGGCTAACAGAATTAATTCCTTGGGCTTTAGTTTTCAGCAACTATCTAGCTATTGAACATTTGAGAATACCATCGTCAATTGGGGACAGTTCACTCGGTTCCCGCCTTGTGAAGGGTCGTGCACGGTCCAACGAGGCGGCGGAAATATCTTGAAGGTCACAGCCGCATGGCAACCGCGAACACTACAACGGCTCACCAACCTCAACGCCATGACTTGACGAACCTTGGAAGTAAACAACTAAAAATCAAAGAAGAAATACGTGGAGATGTTATCGGCCGCAAGATCGCCCACGCTGGCGCACCTCCCAGCGACCATCAGACCCCTCGTTACTGCGCGGCTGTATGCGACGCAGACTGGACTGGGAGCATCGAGTGCACAACCCCAGCCCAAGAGGAAGACAGTGACTCCCTTTAACGACAATGGGAGAGTCCCTTGGGGCATGTTGTCCCCGGCCGAGAAGGTTGCGAGGACGACACAGCAGTCGTTCAATTTTGGGTTTATGATCGTGGGAGCCATCTTGACAGTGAGTCCCCCCCCTCCAACCTTGTAGCTGTGGCAAGATGCTAATGACAAGTAGGGGGGTGTAGGATATTTCCTGTATACAGAAGTGTTTGCGCTAGACAGCAAGACGAACTGGTTCAACCGCGCCGTGGACAGAGTCAAGGACGACGCCCAGGTGCAGGAGTTACTGGGAGACCCGAAGAAGATCACAGCCTACGGCGAGCAGACAAATAATAAATGGGCAGTTGCCAGGCCGATTGCGTAAGCTGCCGAATCTCATACTGGGTGGATAATACTGACTGTTATTAGCTCGAGTCATCAGAAGGACAAGACCGGCACGGATCATATTATCATGCACTTCAATGTTGAAGGACCATTGAATAAGGGAGTCGTTAGCATGCATGTGACCAAGCACCCCTCGCCAGACTCAGAGTTTGAATACAGATATTTGAAGCTGGATGTGAAGGGACACCCGACCATCTACCTGGAGGGTGGAACAGCGAATGCTGTGGGCAAGGGCAAGACGAAGCTCTTCGGGGTGAGGTGGAGATGAAGGGATGTAACGATGTAAGCTTAAGACTAGCCCAGTGAGTTCTTGCTCGACTATCTGGGGTGTATATAGAAAAGGGCAGAAGCAAAGCCGTCGTTGCTAGGGCTTTGTTAAATGTAAAATCTCAATTAAGCAATTATTCGTTCAGTACAATTTGAGGCAATGAATCATGGGCAGGTATGGTTTAAATTGCCCTCTCTTGGAAGTATCTACTGTCTTAGGTGCCATTTCAGATTATAAGCTGAGTAAATGCTTATTTTAACTGGTAAATTATGGAGCTTTTTAATAAAAACAGCTTATATCCTCAATATTTGACACAGGTAAGGTAGACATAGAATGCAACGAAAGCTCTAGAGACATTGCGAATCAGCCCGTGATATAATATAGATGTGTAATAAATAAAGAAAAATATATTATCTACTGTTCCATGGGCGATTTAACATCTGTAGGAAGGGTCACAATCAAAGGGACTATGAAGCGGGGATAAATGCAAGCGATCTTGCTTGCCGCGCTAAGATAAATTTGGCGCGGCGATTCGGTCGGTTTACTTTCATGATAAACTATGCCTTGCGACCAACAACAACGTTGAAGCTCTGCACCCCCTTAACACTCACTCCAAAACCTTCTTTTCACGCCGGAACAACGTAGACACCACAAATACGAATAACGGTTCAGCTGTCTTATGCGAAAGTCTCCGATCTAACAGCCATCCGACGTGCGAAACTCCCGATATTGCCCCGCAGTCATCACCTATGGCGACGGCAAACAGCAATGCGGAACAGGCCTTTGCGCCGGTCCTGAGCGCCGTCAACTCTATGCGTGATGGGACGAGGGAACAGAAGAAGGAGGCTTACGAGTTTCTCGAAAAGTTTCAGAAATCGGTTCGTTTCTCGGCGATGTTCACGCCGCACTGCCCCGCCATGGCTCCAGCTAACAACCCTACGTAGGTCGAGGCCTGGACGGTCGCGATAGGAATCCTTCAATCGGATGCGACTCCTGAGGCGAAGGTCTTTGCGGCTACGACCTTGAAGGGAAAGGTATGCTTCGAATAATTATCGAACTGAAGGTCGGTCCTGACATCATAGATAACTTACGACGTCTCACAAATACCCCGTGGTGCGCTCTCCGACCTTCGAACACAGCTGCTGGCATTCCTAAAGCAGTATGCGCCGGGTCCCCGGCCGATCCGAACACAGCTATGCGTTTGCCTGGCCATTCTCGCCATACAAATGACTGAGTGGAAGGATGTTGTTGCGATGGTGGTGTCGACGCTTGGAACCGACGCGGCAAGCCATGCGTGCATGCTCGAATTTCTCAGAGTCCTGCCGGAGGAAGTTACCGAAGGACGGAAAATCACCTTGTCTGTATGTGGAACGAAATCAACTAGCCTGATGGCGTCTGCGCCGACACTACATTTGAGGGACAATACCAGAGTCAGAGTCTAACGGATCAACTAGGAAGAAGAACTCAGCGAGAGAACGCAGGAGCTTTTGGGAAACAACGCGGCCGTGGTTTTACAGCTTCTCATCGATTACTCGCAGTCCTCAGGTAAGGTTCACTCGATACTTGTCTTGTTCCCAAGCTGATTGATGATATGTAGCTGAGGCATCTACTAACCCACATCTCCTTGAGTGTGTCAGCTCCTGGTTACGAGAGATTCCAGTCACCGATGTGGTTAATTCTCCCCTACTGAGCAGCATATTCGCAGCATTGGGTACGGAAGATTCGTTTGACTCCGCCGTTGAATGTCTTTGCACCATTTTCAAGGAGACAAGCGACGTGGACGAGTATATGCAGGCCATTGAAGTACTCTTGCCCAAGGTTATCCTACTGAGGCCTCGCATTGCTGCTGCTGCGGAAGCCGAGGATGCTGAGGTATTTAAGGGAGTCACACGCCTCTTCGCAGAGGCTGGAGAAGCTTGGTGTCTTCTGATAGCTAGACAGCCAGAGCACTTCCGTATCCTCGTGGAGTCGATCCTCGAATGCGCCGCAAGAGACACAGAAAAGGACGCCATCGGCCTTACGTTTAGATTCTGGTATGAGCTCAAGCAATATCTTGTCCTGGAGAAATATATTCAAGCTCGGATGCAATGCGTGGACGTCTACTCGAAGTTGGTTGATATACTGATCAAGCAACTGGAGTTCCCTACCCCTGACGACCCAAACTCCCTCGATCTCTTTGACGGTGATCGAGAGCAAGAGGAGAAATTCCGGGAGTTCCGTCATGTTATGGGCGACTGCCTCAAGGACTGCTGTGAGGTGATGGGAGTCACTGAGTGCCTGACAAAGGTACTTGAGTGCTTGAAGCTTTGGATGACGAACTATGGAAGCTTGGCTACCCCAGATTCTGTTCCCCACTGGCAAGCACTTGAGGCCCCGCTATTCTCTATGCGCGCGATGGGCAGGATGATTAACAAAGAGGAGAACATCATCTTACCTCAGATTATGCCCATACTGGTGCAGATCCCTGCTCACGAGAAGCTCCGTTTCGCAGCTATCATGGTCCTTGGTAGGTATACTGAGTGGACGTCCAACCACCCAGAATTCCTTGAGCCACAGTTCCAATACATCGTCAAGTCATTCGACGCGGATTCGAAGGAGATCATTCGGGCTGCTGCCATGGCGATGAAGTTCATCTGCACTGACTGCAAGCATTTGCTAAGTGGACAAGTTGTTGAGTTGCAGAAGTTTTACAACCATACGCTTGACGCCCTACCTCAAATCAGTCAAGAGGAGCTAACGGAGGGTGTCGCGTCGGTCGTGGCTGTCCAGCCACCAAATGATATATATGGACTCCTGGAGTTATACTGCGACCCTCTTGTTGAACGGATTATGCGAAACGCGAACGCAGCTAAGGATGAGGACGGCGAGCTTGCTGTTGCTGGTATGAAGCCCAATCCATGTTCTTTATTACAACCACTAATATTACATAGATGCCGTACAACTCCTTAACCCATTCATCCAATGGGTTGTTCCTCGTGTTGACCATGGCCAACCTGATCCAGCAGTTCAGTATTGCCAGAAGATATTCCCACTGCTGGCACAGATAGTCCAGACGTTCATCAAGAGCGCGCCTATCTGCGAACGTGTCTGCCGCTGCTGGAGAAATATGTTTATTTCCTACCGCACCGCCATGGAGCCGCTTCTCCCAGTTATGGCAGATAAGCTGGCCCTCGGCTTTTCTGAATCAAAGCAGGGATGCTTCCTCTGGACTACAGCCGCCATCCTTCGTGAATTCGCCGAGGACCGAGAGCACGTCAGCCCCACGACCACCGACGCTATCTACACCTTCTTTGAAGCACAGTCACGCACCACTCTGCGTATGATGTCTAGCCTCGAGCCCCGCGACCTCCCGGATATCATCGAGGATTTCTTCCGCCTCCTCACTGACACCGTCCTCTACTACCCCTACCGCCTCATTCCATCGGAGCTATTTACCCCTATCCTGCAAGCAGCGCTCAGCGCTCTGTCCCTGGAGCAGCGCGAGCCCCTTACTGCGACACTGCACTACTTGCGCGATGTGATCGCCTTCGGTGGCCCCAACCCACCCGTCTCGACCGGTCAGCTTAACCCCCCAGAAGTGCAGGCCGCCATGCGAAACATCCTTGTGGCGCACGGTGAGGAGCTTGTGAAGCGGGTGATGGCGGGCATGATGATTACATTCCCACGCGACTGTTTTGCTGATGGTAGCGGCGTACTACTGGAGCTTATTGAGCTGATGCCCGAGGCAGCGGTGGGTTGGGTGGCGGTGACTGTGAGGATGCTTCCGGCGGGGACAGTAAGCCCGGAGGAATCGAAGAGACTGATTGATGGTATTGGAGCGAAGCTTAATGGAGGACCCGAGGCATTAAGGGGTGTTAGGAGCCTGTTGCAGGACTTCACAAACGCCTATCGCAGGAGATATGTCGCTCCCCGCGATGGTCTGGGAAGGTTAGAGGCGACCAGATTTAGGTTCAGCGGATAGATGGGAAAGGGGAGGGAAATTGCGAGATGAAAGGCGAAAGGTGAAAGGCAGCAAGACGAGGGAGAGTGGATTGTATGCCGGGGGTATGGCTGGGTTGCTGTGTGGAAGGCTGCTCTGTGAATCTCTACTTTTTTTTGCATTGGGCATAATAGCGTTTTTGGTCGGCATTGAGGGAGAAAGACTCCTTTTGATGGGTAGAGTGGATGTTAAATCCATATGTGGGAGTGGGAGGGGACGGTGAGGTTGGTAGATATGCGGAGGGAAGGATGAAAGGTGGTGGTGGCTAGATGGACGGGTGAGGCTGACGTACGTGGAAGCGAGTGGGTGGCGACATCGTGAGATTGGGCTACCATGACGGGTCAGGTGGTTTTCCGAATGAAGAAATCTAATACACCTGTCTATCTTGCCATTACGGAGAGATGGAGGGTATGAAGTAATTGCTTAGCTGAGCTGAGTTGGATTCCCAGGATACGCTATGATGAAGAAAGACAAGCATTGGGAGGAGGACATTTTCTCACAACCATCACTATTTGTTCATAGGAAGGCATCATAAAACTGCGGAGATATTTACACACCATTGAAGAAATTTCCATAAATCGCGATGATATTTTGAAAATTCATTTTCTCCTAAATAAGACGTTGTGTTTCCCATCGTATGATTCCCATGAGGTCTCACAATGTCATACCCTCATCTACCTCCCCCGCGACGCTAGTCCGTATCAAGTCTAAATAACACAACTTCGCGGAGGAACCTCCGGTGCTCAGACAAAGGGGTATTCTCATCGACTTTTGACTCCGACCATGTAGGTGTCATGAGGTGATTGTCATCTATAGCCTATGGCAATGTTCTAATATGAACGTTGGACTGAAACAGTGGCGTCTCGTACCTGCTTGTTGAGATGGTCTGATGCCTCTCGAGGTTGAGCATGAGAGGACCTAGGCAAGCAAGAGCAGATCCATCGACAGACCTCAGTAAACTTGTTCTATGTACATGAGATGGAGATGACTGGACGGCAATGATCAAATGATGCATCACTAACAGTCGCATTTTTTAAAAGAAGCAAAGGTTTGCCTGTCGCCACAATCCATTCCGAGTCCAAGTCAAAACGCCACCGGACCGAAACAGGACAAAGCAAGCACTATGGAACGAGGTGAAGACCCTGCCAACAGTTGGGCATGCTGCGGATGACAACTAGATGGATTGCCAACCATGCGAGCCACTCTGGGAAGGTTGAGCAAAGTCTTTCTGTTTCAGCGGTCGGACGACGACGATGACGACAATGTTTAGCGACGGCGATGAACGATGGCGATGAACGGCGATGACGATGGGTAAAGGGGACAACGTGCACCGGCGATGAACTCCGATGAGATGAACGCCGGCGACGATCAACAAAGACGACGTTGAACAACGGGCGCGCTGATCGAAGGCGACGATCAACCACGGCGAGTACGAACACTAACGCCAATGAGCACCGACGATGAGCACCGATGATGAGCACCGATGATGAACACCGACGATGAACACCGACGATGAACGCCAACGATGAACACTGCCAGTGAACACTGATGATGAGCACTGACACCGACAATGATCATGGACACCGACGATGATGAACAACGACGGCGATGAACAGCAGCGACGATGAACGGCAGCGACGATGCACACCGACGAGGATGAACATGGCCGAGGACGGACACGAGCAAGGATGAGTACCAATGAGAATGAGCACCGACGGCAATGAACACCGACGAGGGTGAGCACCCGCGACGATGATTACCAACGACGATGATTACCAACGACGATGATTACCGACGATGACTACCAACGACGATGAGCACCGGCGACGACTATGACATCGACGGCGACAACGACGGCGAAGAGGCATGTATTGTGATGGCGTTGGGGGAAGCGATGTTAGGGATCTATCATATCCAAACGCGCTATCTGACATCTACCCAAGCCCGCTGAGCTCCAGTGTCATTGAGCTCCCCATCGTCGAAACGCAAGGAACAATCCATCCCCATGACCTCGAAAAGATGAATTTCCGGCAACAACACAAGATGATGGCTATACAAGTTAGAGGTATAAGTTGCACTTGAGGCGTCTTCCATTCGAGCAACTGTTGTCGATTCATACTTTACCCAAACTTCAATGAAACCCCAGAAATACCACGTATGAACGACGTTACGACCCTCTTAGCCTAGACGCCTTCAAACCGCCATTCTTCAATTCGTGTTCAGCAAATTCCTAATCTGCATCAAATATGGGATACTCCTATCCGACTCGGTCTGCAGCTCCCTCAGACTCTGCTGCCCTGGTGGCGGCAGTCTAAACCCAAATTCTGGACTTTGAGTATAAAACTCCTCCGCGAAGTTACCGTCGAATTTCTCACGCACGCCACGTAATGGTTGGTGATAACTCGGGCGGGTGCAGACGTCGATAAAATCATTATACGAATGGGCCGTACGCCCATTCCCCTGCTGCGTTAGGAGATAGTCAAGACTCGGCGGAAGTTTCAGCGAACAGGCAACGGCAGACCGCCGGAGTAGCTCCTGCAACGCCCCAGCGGCTGGGAATCCAACATTTGACTCATGGAGGACCTCAATACCAATTGTCACAGCCTCAGATCCATCTTTAATGGATGGATCATTGGTGGGTTTTGCTGGGAAGAAGCGGGCGATAAGGTGGCATATATTCAAGACAACGAACATCTGCAGGGCCGGCTGATAGCGGCACGTGTAGTGCAAGCGGTAATGGCGCTCCAGGAGAAGGAGAGCATGTTGTGCGTGGGACCACACGACTTCATCGACGAGCCTGGAGGGAAAGCCTTCCAACTCAAGTAGGGGGCACAAGAGTTGGACAATGGAGTAATCATAAAGGATTCTTCAAGTTTTAGTACGGGCTGATCCTTTCTAGGGTTTGATTGGTTCTTACAACAAGGACAGGACGTGTGGGAGAGCCTGGGTGGTCGTCTCGGCGTCACCAAGGACAGGCGGCAGCGCCAGTCGCCAGGCAACAAATTTACTATATTGTTCCAAAACGTGGCGAGCCGTTATGGTATTGGATAGCGGGCTCCATATCATCATGCTCACATTGTTGATGATGCTAATGAGCTTTATCTTCTCTCGATTCGTCGTGGCGAGGAGACTCGGCCAAGCTGGGCACTGGTCATCTTCGTATCGGTAGAAATGCCACGGCAACTTATCATGTGTAGCATCCTCGTGAGTATTTTCAACATCACGAAACCCTAAGATAGAGGGAAACTGAAAGGTCGATTGTGCCCATTCACTGATCGGATTAGCAGGGCTATTTGGGATAAGAACAAAGGGCACTAACACGTTTAGACATCGTATACCTTGGATGGTCTTCTTGAGTACATATGGCAGCTCATCGTTGGAGCTAGCCGACAGCTCAGCAATGCTTTCGGTGGCAAGCCTGAGATATGACGATGCGCGCAGTCCGAACCCCCTGCCAAGCTCCACCAAGAACATAACGGCTGCGGCCTGTATAGTTGTGATCGACTTATCATCAGGCTCGAAACCAGCAAGGAATGCCTCAGAAAATTGCGCACCAAGCTGGTCAGAGTCTAACTCGCTGTCTTCGGATTGGGTGTGATAATGGCACGCAAGGGCGCACATGGCGTTGACGAGCGGAGATGAGCAGTGTCTCTGCCTCTGGTGCTGATACGCGTCGACAAAGTGGCCTTCGCTGAAGAGTGTTGATACGGGATGCACCCAGGCGAAGTATAGCTGGAAGAGATGATCGAATGTGGCCGAGTCGTGGGTCACCGTCGTCCAGGAAAACCCTGACATAACTTGGGCGTCAAGTTCATACTCCGAGCCTCCAACGGCGGATGAGGGGGATCCGATGGGCGAAACCCCTTCCTGTTCCTCCGTCCCCGGGCGACCCAGGCTTTCGGCGATGCTCTCGATGCTCTCGCCATTGCTTAGAGCGCGAAGTATGTCGGGTGCCTTTTCACTGGACTGCAGCGTCCTAAAGATTCGTTCACTCAGTCGATTCTTAGTGCGAAGCTCGCGGATCTGTTTCATCAACTCCTCTTTAGCGTGCTTGATATGAACCTCGTAGACGCAAGGTGACGTCTCTGCTCGCGTCGTGCAGCGTAAACAAGGCGTATTCCCATCGCACTACGCATAAGACGTTAGCTTCGCGTCGGGGACGTCGGCCCCGTTAACCGAAGTTGAAGTCCAAAGTTGGACTCGGGGGGTAGCAAGCAATGGGAAGGGTGGTGGATGCTATACCTTTGCTCTGGCCTTCTTGCAGTTTACACAGGCGTTCCGTGTGATGGATACAGGCACTCGTCGTCGCTTGGAGGGTAAGGGACCCGGATCTCGCCCTTTATCGGTGTGGTGCTTAAGGCGAGGGTCAGAGCTTGTGGACTCGGGCGTCGACTGGCTGGGGTTACTGGCGGAAGCACTGGTGCTATCCGCCACTGACGGCCTTATGGTTCGGAGGGCTACTTTCTCCAAATCTCTGGGCGGCATTGCCTATATGAGAAGGGGCGCCTCGGATATAGCTATACAGGCGGCAACGTTCACTGCGAGCGGATCGTGGCCGGTGAGAGAGAGAGGATCGCGTCTCGTTGACCGAGGGCTTCATTGCTCAGACGGGCGAGAGTGATAGAAATGTCTGGGCGTGGCGGATGATATATGTGAGATGCACGACGTTTTAAAAAGGAGGCAGCTTAGAACAAGGTTTAGGTTAGGTTATCTACGCAACTCTTGATTCTCGCTTCCTCTTTTCAGGGAAATCGAAGCTTCGGGCGCGATGTATTTGATGGGTCTATTTCTCTTTGTGGGGGGAGGAACCCTTGAGCTCAAGGGAATAATAAGGCATCACATCGTCGATTTCCGGCACGGGATTAACATTGCGGCGCACTCTCGAGGAGTCATGGCACACCATGGGATGTCCCCGTTGGTCGCCTCCCATTTATTAGCCACATCTTCCTACTGTAGTGGCAATACATGCACCTGCATTTTACTGATGAGAGTAAGTTGAAAAGAGGCGAGTACATATAAGTACCAACCTGGACTATTAACCTATCTGGTGCGTTAGGCGCGCATACGGATGTTAGGCAAACCCCTAGAGATATTTACACTCCTAGGCAACTCAGGCATGAGTTCCTTCCAGGCTGGTAACTGAAGCTGGAATATTTGCCTTGGAATATTGACGCACGCTGATTGGAGCAACGGACATAAACCGGGCCCTAACGACATCATCGGTCGTACGACTTAATGTATTCGCTGTACCCACACCCTGATTTATGGGAACGGTACGAGCCAGTTACCAAATACTACCCGAACAGTACCATCCTACAGATATACTGTGCCAGCTAACAGTTACCATGTGCCTACTAACAGTTACCACTATTAACTGCACACTACTGCTAAAGACTCCGCGCATACTCCACACACACGGCCTCACGGTCGTATTTGATGCCAGCGAGAATGACGGAGCTACCGGAGATTCAGGGACACGATCTTCACTGCACGACCAATGCAAACGCTACAAGTTCATATCTGCGGTGGTAACGGTGGTAAACTCTGAGACCCATATGCTTGAGGGATATAAAGAACTATCTGATCCCGCTACATCACTCTGTTGGGATTGGGATATATGTGGAATACCATCATTCATGCAGCCCTTCCCTGTGTCAATCCATATATCTATACACTATACCCGGCCTGCTCCAAACAACCCCGCACTCGCCACTTATATATCTCCATGGCCATCTACCGCCATCTGCCGCCATTTATCGGTATCGTCCGCCAACTATCCGCCACCTACCGCCAATCTATCTCTCAAGCCGAGAGTCCTCTCTTCTCGCTCTCGGAGAAGAAGATGATCATTCTCCATAGTTTCTTTACCAGGACTTCAGCTTCCTCATCGAGGGCCTGGTACACCGTGGTAGTCAGTATGTGCTCCACAAAACAGGGTTTAGATGGTGGGTAGGGAGAGGTGGGGGTTGACGCAAAGCCGAATACATGGTAAGGTTACAAATAGAGGGGTAAACACAAAAAAAAAGAAGTAAGCTCACCCCTTCAAGCGCGTCGACCAACTCCGCCGCGCCACCACGTCTCCGCACGTGCTCCTCCACAACTTCCACTATCGTTTGCTCTTGAACCCCGAGGTACTCAACGATCTTGCGCTCCACAAATGGTCGCAGCTTCTCCTTGATCGTGCTCTCGTCCATAAACTCCCACTGTACCGTCCAATCCCACAGTCCCTGTCGGTCCGTAGGGATCTCAGCCGCCAAATCCTTGACAGCCTGCTCGCGCTCCTCATCGCTGAGGCCAGCGCCTCGGTCAGCCAATGCGTCGTATTTGATCGGGATAAGTTGGCGGCGCTGGGTTTGCGTAGCATCCTCCTCGTCTTCCAGAAGGCCTTCCACCTCTGCAACTGTACGCCGGGTCGTAGTCGCCTTCTGAGCCTTCTGCGCCGCCGCTCCGAGACTCAATTTGAATGGTTGCTGTGCCGCTCTAGCCGGCTCGCGCGCTCCTAGTTCCTCAGCCTGTCTGTCCAGGAAGTTATCTGCCATCCCTCTAGCAGCCTCCTTCTCGCTCCTCTCCCTCGCGCTCTCCATGTCCTCGTCTGCACGGTCAGCCGCATCTGCAGCCGCCTCCCTAGCCCTGAATGCCGCGCGGTTACGGTTCCACATGCTGCGGTCCGAGTAGTACTCCTCGATTCTCTTGTTTCCTTGCTCGTCGTCATTCCAATCCCGTAGTCTCTGCGCCATCTTCTCCTTGGCCGCAGTTGCCTTTGCATCCTCCCCCTCGTCACGCTCCTTCTCGCGCTCCACAGCCGCTGTTCGTGATCGCTCGCGGTTAAGCCATCTTCGCTCTTGGTCAAGGTACTGCTTCTCGAGTTCGGCCGCTCGCTTGGAGGCGCGGCGCTGTTCGAGCTCCGAGTCAGACGCCGAATCATCATCGTCTTCCCGGTTAATCCAGACGTTTCCTGATGCAGCGCCATTGGTACCACTGCCGTTGACAAACGAAACACCCTTTTGGTAGTCGCGTGGGATGTTGGAGCCCTTAGGGCCCGAAGGCGCGTTTGTGATGCTCCTGTCTCGTGGACCGAGAGGGATGTTGTTTGCATCACCTCCGAGCCTACTAGGTGCTGGGCCAGGCGATGCAAGGCGTGATGGACGAGAGGCAGCGCCGTTACGCGCTCGCTCAGCTGCTTCCATCTCCTCTTCGCGCTTCAGGCGCTCGATGTCCCTGCGGTTGCTACGGTCTCGGAAGGCGGTGATTTCTTTGGCGACGGTTTCGCGCATCTCGGCTGGGATATCGGCGAGCTCGTCGTCGACGGCAAGGGGGATGTTGACTACTTCCACAGCGTCGCCCGAGTCTTCGTTGTCGTGCATTTTCACATCGCCGTTGGAGTCGCTAGTCTCGACGCGCGTGGTTGGGTTGAACAGATAGTCTACCGCAGATTTGAGTGCGGCGCGGGCATTGTCAAGACGAGACTGCTCGGCAGCAGGGTCATCGCCTCGGGAGGAGTGCCAGTTCTCGAGATAGTTTAGAGAGTTGTCATCCACAAATACGAGAAGCTTCTTCTTTGCCGGCTCGTCTTTATCGTCTCCGTCTTCCTTCTTGGCCTTGGAATCTGGTGTTTGCTTCTTGAGTGGGATCTCAATGTCCTTTAAAACTTCAACCGCAGTAGACAAGCTTTCGGCATCCTCGTATTGCGCAAATCCAAATGAACATTCCTTCCCATCTGAATCAATGGCCCTGTCCCAGCGTCGTAGTCGCCCAGCAGAGCTCAGTATACGCTCGATACCCTCATTCCCTCCAGCCCCTTCCGTAATGCCTGCCACGAAGATAGTGCGAACAATCTCCTCCTTCGTTGGAGGGGCAAGCGCCATCATGCTGTCCCTGAGCGCCTGACGTTGCTGCTGCGGGTCCAAGCCCCTGTCTGCGCCCAGTCCCGGTCTACCACCGCCTGCAGACTCACTCCTCCCATCCCTTCCTCCGGGGCCTCCACCAACAGGTGTAGATGGTTTGGCCGGGCCTGTTCCAAGGCGTATAACGGGCGCGGAGAAGTTGATATTCGGCATGACCGTTGGACCCTGGAAGCTCGCTGGCAATCCGCTCGGTCGACCGCTTTGCACGGCGTTCGCTTGGTTCATTCCTGGAGGTGCGGTACCGGGCGCGGACATGCCTGGGGCGCCACCTGTTGGGGTTAGTTTTTGAGGCTCAGTTTGGGGCACGCGAGCAACTTACCCATACTGGGAGGAGGCCCCATTCCTGGAGGGGCTCCAGGGGCACCTGGGAAGGCGCCAAAGCCTGGTGGGCGGCCAAAGGGAGCCTCTGGGAATACGTTAGCTGTGAATATGAAGTGCGCAGCCTGACGTTGAAGGCCAGGCCAATGGAGGGTAACCTACGCCCATAAGGATTGTACGCCATGAGGCTGTGAACTTGGGTTTGCTAATTTGGTACAATGCTGTAGATTCTTAAAACGCAAATAAAGAAGCACCTAGTCAAGTTCAGTTCAGATCCGTAGGTGTTTATATCCGTTGAAGAATGTCGCGAGTCGTAGTCGCAAGTTGAGGCTGCCAAAAATCGCGGTTTGGCCAGGTCCCGCACGAGCCACACCACGGATTAACTTTAGCGCGGCTCGGGATCCCAAGATTCAAAAGTTCGTTGACCTCAATCACCACCCGCAGTCAAAGGGCTTCCACTCCGTGCGATTGGAAATGCTCAATTCGTATGTCTCAATTGATTTGTATAGTGCGAGAGGATACTGACTTTACACTAGACCCATGATGGAACTCCGGAAAGCCGCGGACGCTTTACTGCGCTCCCAAGCGTCTCCGTTGGCGCAGATTCTCGCACCCTCGACATCGACAAGATGGGCGACATCTTCCATGAGACTCTCGCAGCGAGCCTTCTCATCCTCTACTAGACGATTTATCGCAGACTCGAACCAATCAAACCCAACCTCAGCGCCTACCAATGCCAACCGTGGCACCCAAAACTCTCCTGACACCCAGACCAGCTCTCCTGGCTGGGCCGCAGGTGCACGCAGCAACCGCTCATCTTCGCGCATCCTCCCCTCGACATCGTCTGAAAGCGCCGACGCCGATTCATGGGATAGCGGTATCAGCAGCAACAGCGCTGCTCAGGATCTCCTGACGGGCTTCAACGCTGGCCGCAAAGAGCGCGGAGCCAACTCCCTACTCAACAGCAAGAAGTCGATAAACCTGAACCGCATGCTGTCTCCTAACGTGAGCGACAACGATCTCAAGGATGTGATTAGCAACCTGACTGCGTCCGTCACCGCTCCTGTTCCACCGAAGCCTGCGTTGCGGCTGAATGCGAGGACCGGCCGGTCGGTTGTTGTTGCTGGAGGTGTTGATATTGGACGGAGCTTTAATTTGTTGGGGATGAGCTGTTCTAGGAATAAGGTCAAGCTGGACTTCAACCGCCAGAAGTTCCACGAGAGAGGCGGCCTGAAGAAGAAGAGACTAAAGAGAGAGAGGTGGCAGCGGAGGTTCATGGCTGGGTTCAAGGCCACTGTTTCAAGAGTTAAGGAGATGAAGAGGCAGGGCTGGTAGATCCCGTGTTTGTATATTATGGAACATGTATTGTAAGTGTGGTTTTATGGTTGGCCTACGGCATGGAGTGTTATGGTGATGTGAAGTGTACTTTATGATAAGTTCTTGTATGGTCAGCTTGGCCTTATATAACTACACATTGTCTTATACCTTCCCATTACTACTTGTTTTTGACCTGTTTTTGACCTCTACATATGACATTGAAGATGTATATGCTCGCGGGTATTTAGACGCTCTGGTCGCGCCTAATCGCGCGTAGGTTACTGTCGTCATTTTTGATCGAACCTGTCTTGGTGGACCCTGGGCGGTATCAGATGGCAGATCGAGGAACATTATCCACAGCCCCGCACTCTGGCCAGGAAGTTATACCATAGCTATCCTTACAATTCTACGTATAAGGACATAAATTGGCGATGGCGTCTAGCATTGCCCCAGCTCCGGTAATCCCAGGCCGCATAACAGCGGATGCACTATCAAAGATCTTGTTAAACCCATCTGAGAGCAACAAGGTTGCAGTTATCGATGTGAGAGGTGAAGGTGTGTGCCCACATTCCAACGACACCATTTCTTATTTCGTACGTGCTTTTTAAACTTCAGATCTAACTTCATTTTGTAAGATCACATCGGCGGCCACATCCTCTCCTCCATGCATGTGCCCTCCAACACTCTCGACCACGCCATTCCCTCCCTAATCCGCAAGCTTTCCGATAAGGAGATAGTGATCTTTCACTGCGCATTAAGCCAGGTTCGAGGTCCCAAAGCAGCGGCTCAGTATATGCGCGAGCGACACCGCTTGCTGGGACCACAGGGCGCTGGGAGGGGAGACGTGGGGAAGACGTTGGTGAAAAGCAAGGTTCGGAGTGAGGCAACGGAAGGTGGAGCTTCGGATTCCAAGAATGGCGAATGGGTTGACGAAGGGACGGCAGAAGAGAAGGGTGAGGAGTCAAAACTGAAGGAGCAGAAGGTTTATGTGCTGGATAAGGGGTTTGAGGGATGGCAGGAGGTTTACGGAAGAGACAAGAGGTTAACTGAGAACTGGTCTGAGGAGTTATGGCAATCTTGGTAGAATATATTAATTGGAAGGGTTCTCTTGCTTTTGCCACATCGTTGTGTAACCAAGAGAATTATTTTACTTACAGTTACTGTAAATATTGCCATATGTGCAGTCACTCACAAGTAGGTTTGGCTGGTTGAATATGGTGGTCCACTAAGGATAATGACCCTCAAACTATTGGTTTTGGTTCCCGCGGGCACCTGTCAAACCCGACGTCAATCTCAGAAGATGCTGTATCATTCGATCATTTATGTTTACATCATTTGTAGGCTGAAGTGCAGTAAAACGCTATCATTCCATCATGTCCTCAGTAGAAACCCTCTTTAGAGTATGGACAAATATAGGGGTCGTCTCCTCTCCTCATTTACAAACACTCTCATTTCTCAATTCCATGAGACGCATATAGCCACCTAAACCTACGATCACCAGCTTTCGTCCAATTCGACATGTACATAGACCCGCACGTCCTCGCCCTTAAATCCGAATCAGATGATCCTAGCAACCTTGGATCATCTCTCTACAGCCGCACCGACGACAATGGCTCACTCTCACATGAAATTATACGGTCCCTCGAGTCCTTTGACCCCCTGATTCCAACTGATACCTCCCTCGCCGCCGAGATCACCCCAAACACCGCAGACGTGCACCCCCGCAAGCAACCATCCCTCATCTCCTCACACATCGGCATCTTCCTCTCCTCCATCATCGGCATCTGCGCCTGTCTAATCTTCTTCTACTGGCTCCACGGCTGCTTCAAAGTGGGCGGCCCAGCTCGACCCCGCGGGCTAACTCGTCCAAACTCTGGCTCTCCACGTCCAGGGATCCTGACTAGACTCCGTCGGTATTTCTCAAAGGCTCAAGCCGAGGGGAGACGGAAATTGACTCCCAAGAGAGCGAAGCAAACGAAAGACAGACATGGGCCGTGCGGCTGCCATTGGCAGGACTCCGAGAGCGCGTATCCCGTGCGCGACTATGGTCCGTCGGGCGGGGTGGCAGGACTCAACATGCCCTCGCCTGTATTGGGAGGTGGGCGCATCCGCGGGCCTTCGTGCAACTGGGACCCGTCGATGCCTAGCCGGTACTCTAACGCAATGCTCTACACATCGTACGGGGATTCCGGCTTGCGAGGGATCGGAGCTGCTGAACCGGGCATTTTCTCGGGTTTGACGATGCCGGCGAGATCGTTCATGAGGTGTGGGAGGCGCTGGACGGGAGGTAGGCCGGGCGAGGAGACTTACTTCATGGATCGGGCTAGAGGCTATCCCACTATATCTGAGGTGGGGTTGTTTGCCGACGAGGGGTTGCGAACGCCGCCGCCGAGATATGATGAGATGTATATAGATGGTTCGAGACGTGCTTTTTAAATTTTTGGTTGGGCTGTAGGTATATGTTTTGTAATTCAAGGGCTGCGAAGTGCAAGTATGTCTCCAGGTTCGCCCAAGGAAAATGTTAGATCTATTTGAGAATTAATTATCAATTTTTTGAATTGTTAAATATGAGAATGCGAAATCAAAGGTTGCAAACCACCACATTGATAAATACCTCCTGGACAACAACACACATTTATCACACCAAATAAAATAATGCACAATCGACGGTCACTTCGTTTGAATTCATGGTATGATAACAAAAAAGCAATCAGGCGTGGAAAACAAAAGCTTCCCAGAACAACACCTGGAGATACGCCCAACATTGGCAGTAACGCACCCGGTAAACATCACGAAGCCATAGCTATATTTAGTGCCATGTCCACAGTGACCGATCCAAAATCAATACAAACAGAAACCTGAGCGGGCCTCCCATCAATATGTCTTCGGCGGAGCCTCGGCATAAAACCTCCGTATTCAACTCAACTCATCTCGTCTCGCACTCTTCTTCACGACGTCCCCTCACGGCTCTTGCGGTAGCTGGCCTAGAGTATCCTCATCAGCAGAGTTTAAGCACTGTATTGCGCGGCTCTATTCACCTCCTGGTCAACCTGAAGGTTGTCCACAACCGGGGCGAGTTCGCTCAGGATCTCGTATGCCTTCTTGTGGAACTCCAACTGCGCGGCGATCAAGTCTGCGAGGTTGCGGAGCGGCTCTGGGGTGTCGAGAACCTAGGCAAAAAGGTTAGCACTTAAAGTTGCAAAAACAGCAATCGATACTCACATTCTTCATGACACCAACAGCCTCCTCGGTCTGGCCAACGAACTCGTCCTCAGCCTGCTCAATCTCGACCTTGGCATCCTCAGAGGTCTCGGCCTCCTCATGGTGCTGCTGATCCGCCTTGCCAGGGAGCTTGAACATGCCACCCTTAGCCCTCGTCTTCGCCGCATCAAGCAACAATCTCGAGTTCTCGACGCTCCTGCGCGCCCTCGTGGAGAACATCAAGTTGGTGTTGAGGGTAGTGTTCCACCCCGCCAGGAAACGGGCCTGGATCTGTGCGTCCTGCGTGAGCCTGGCCTCGCCAACCTGCTCGCTGGCAAGGGCATACTTCTCGAGCGCGGTTGCAAGAGGGTCCTCGCCGGCGCCGGAGTGCTGTTGTTGGAGGAGCTGGCTGCTGGCTAGGGAGGCGCGGGCAACGGCGTGGGCGAAGGTCTTGGGCTGGGGCTTGGCGACGGGGGGTGCGGTGAGGGCGGCCTGGGCTTCGGCGGCGCTGGTGGCGGTGGAGAGGAGCTGGATCTTCTCGCTGACGCTGCGGCCGAGATCGGTGATGTTTTCGCGGATGTTGGTGTAGTCGTAGCTCTCGTTGGAGTATTGTGTTCTGCGCCTTGGTCAGTCTTTGTGCAATGGCGTTATTCGATCCATGGCTACATACGTGACCTGCAGCATCTTCTGGTGAACCTGCTTCAAGGCATCCACCCTCTTCTCAAGCTCAATGTAGTCCGGAGGAAGCTGGGTCTAGTATCTGTCAGTAGATGCGCCTGGAACCCTCCTCCCTTCCATATGGGGCAAAGAATATAACGCACCCTATCCTCAGCTTGTCCAAGCTGCTCCTTCACATACTGGGTCGTGCGAGTGGCAAAGGGCGTGAATGACGAGCTTCAGGGTCATGTCAGCACCACAATCCCTTCGGGTTTCATAGGCAGCAATAGCCCGGCGATGGATCAGAGTTGTCTTACCCGATGCTCTTTCCGAAAGCTGACACCTTGTCCATGATTGCTAGCTGCACAAAGAGGTGTACTGATGACAATGAATGATGGATTATAGATTTGAAGATGCTACGTTTGCGTTGTTTACTTGTAATCTCGTTGCTTGGAGGTATCTTAGGGAGCTTCGACCATTTCGCTAATTTGGATTGGTGCACATGGGTGTCGACAGCTAAGATCACGTGTCATTACTTTATATGGCACTCAAGGACGGTTAGAGGGATTCATTCACTTGTGAGATACTGTGAGTAACATCTATTCATGCGATGAGACACTTCATAGCTGGATTAAAAAACTAGAGTTTTCTATGAAATGTGATAAAGGTTCACCCGTCCCCACCAGAGGTCATCCATGAAAGAAGCTCCCAGGGTATCTGCATATGCACACTGAGACTCCTTGCGCACAAATTCCGAAATCCAATGCGACAAAAACGCCTCCAAACGCACCAAGCATACAAAAAAACAAAGACGCTTCCGTTTCCATGCATACAAGTACAGTTTAAATCCGATCACGATGGGCAGTTCCTATGGAGGAAATATGCCGGCGCAGCTTGTTATGCTCCATTCAAAATGCATCGCCTGGATATAGCTGATCGGTGCGGGGTATAAAGCAAAAAAACGAAGTGCTTGCCGTTGATAGTGTTGGTAATAGCCATGTCGTACAGTCGCTCGGCCATATATATTCGTTCGGCAGTCGCTCACGAATCGCTCTTCCTCCAAGGGTATCATACGCATCGTTCATATCGTTGTGTTCAACCAAATTCCCCCGCTACTGTTCACCGCCAGCGTCCTTTGGACGGCGACGAAACCGGTTCCTCAAACCCCTCATCCATATCGGTATCCCCCATCCCAACCTCGTCGACATCCTTAACCTCAAATGTAGTACCGAGCGCCTCTTTCCCCTCGCGGATCATTGCCTGAAGCTGCGCATTGAGCTTGCTCATACTTTTGTCTGCTTCAAGATCTTCCTTGCGTTTCTTGGCCGCCCATTTCTGTGCTTGGATAGCTGCAGGGCTCGCGGCAACGGCGCTTTGGGAGTTTGACGAAATGGGAACTGGGATCTTTGAGCCGCCGGGCGAACGTGGGGAAGCGAAAGACGCCGGTCCGGAAGAGCGCAGACCTGGAGAGCCAGCATGAGATACCGCAGAGGCGCGGGTGTGCAGTAAAGGACGTCTATGGCCTGGTCTTGCTGATGGCCGACTGGCTGTTGATGGTGTGCCGTTTGGTTGCCGACGGCTTACGCTTGAGGACGTGGGCATACTGTACCTGCCTGCTGGCTTGGGTGTTGCAGTAGCTGGGGTACTGGGGACCACAACCCAATTCTTTCCAAGGCCAGCATCACTACTGCCAGCATCAATCTGTCTCCGCTTCGTCGCGCGCGCCGGAGTGCCTTCAGGTGTTCCGCGATCCATAGGGTCCACGATACAGATACTCTCATCCGGATATTGCCCCGGGACGGGGGTTGATGAGCGGCCGCTCGTGTCGTTGAACAACGTCGCTTTCCGACTTATTTCCGACTCCCAAAACTCGCTGTCATTCTGGTTGTCTAGTTCTGTCTCGATAGTGTGATAGGGGTCGAGCTGATATTGTTGTCCTCCACCCGCCGTGAATCCGCTGAATGCCCCAGCCTTGCAGAACTGCCACACACGGCCGACGACACCCCCAACGACGTCCAACGCTGTCTTGCTCCAGCCCCCACTGGTGCTTTGTTGCAGGGATGGCACGCGCGCCTCTCCGTTGGTCTCCATACTCGCAGAAGATGGCAGCCGTGCAAAACTGTGGTATTCTGTCTCGAAGTGAGGTTTGGCAGAGCCACTGGGAAGGTTCCTGCGATAGCCAGTATCTGAGAACTCGCTCTCTTCAAAGTAGTGGGCCGCTGCTGCCGACGGCGTATCCAAACCACCAGCTATTTGATAGCGCGTGTTGACAAAGGGTAGCGGCGACCCTGGATCCAAGCTTCCAGACATTGCGATAGAGTCACCGGTTGGGTAGCCGTTGGACCAGTCCATGGTTTGGGAAATCGGCGTGGCTTTATTACTCGCTGTTGAATCATGACGACTTCTTTTCTTCGTCACTATGAGAGGTTTGTGTTTTTCCATCATTATCGAGGTTGCTGGTTGCGCAAGGTGAACCGAAGACGAAGCTGAGGAAGTTCGTGGTGGTTGGAATACATTCGCCCTGCGACCCACCCTCTGTCCATCGTGTGTGTTGAAGGTGGTCGACATCGTGTGCAAATATGGTGTCCCCAGAATCAAAGCATATCATGTAAAGCTCATGCGCCGTGTAGTTGCTTGTCGTCGTCGCTCTCTGTGATGCAGTATTCGTTGTTACTGTCTTGTGTTGCCCTGCGAGCTGGGGTTGTCTCTAGTCGCAAGGGTATCACCGTGGCAGAACGGGGCTGACCGCCTTGCGAGGCGGGGTCTTTGGTCACGATGAAGAATAGGTACAACGGCTGATACATGTACTTGTGAGATTCATCATTTTGAAGACAAAGGGGCTGGTTTGCGACGAGGTTTAAAATGGCATGGATTTGAAATTCATCAATATGCAGGGCGATAGGGAAAGTTTGATAGCTTGACCGAGATCCACATAATTGCAGGGGTCTGGTTGCCATAGCAAATTCGCAAAATGAAGCTCTAGTCTAATCGATAAGATTGCACAGTTCAAGTGAAGTAAATCTATAAACACAACCAAGCCACCATCCGATGGATAACAATGTCTAAATATTTCATCCCTTGGTTCCACTCTATTTTCCCTCCTTGCCGTAATACTCGTTAAGAGTCGCGACGTGTTTCTCACGCTTCTCAGTCTTCTTCTCATCGCCCTCATTCGAGAAATCAGTGTACACCCCGCCATTTGCCTTCCAAAACTCCTCTCTCTCCTTCATCACAGCATCACTCCATGCCTTAACTTCTGGCATCTTAATCTTCGTTGCGACCCAAGTGAACTCCCCCAGATCAAGCTTTCCCTGCTTCGACTTTTCGTATTCGAACATCTGTAGGATAAGCTCGATCTTATCCACGTCATGGACAAACTGACTTTCCAGGGTCACGCTGTCCTCATACTCTTGCCAGATTGCCATTATATCCTTGCCGGTCATGCCGCCGTTGACCTTCCCGAGGAGGCCATTGACGAAGTAATCCATGGTCGTTGACTCCCGTCTTGACTTCTCTGGCTTCGATACGCCGTCCATTGGGGTTATGTCTCCGACAAGAGCCTCAGCCATGTCATGGATAAGGGCCATCTTCGTGCAGTGGGGGATGTTGAGTTTAGACGATAACGAGGGCGGCGCGAACATGGTAATGAGAGACATGCGGTACATGTGGTCTGCGATCGACTCTCCCCTGAGGGGTTAGCGGGGTAGAGATGTTGCAGAGGAATACATACTGGTCAATGCCGAATCTCCTCCATCCCTCTCTCTTCGTAGTTTTTAACTGTTGAAGCATGTGGAAGAATGGAACTGGCGACTCAGATCCGGACTCTGGTGCCCCGCCAATCATTGACGCGGCAACGTCTTCAACAGCCCATGGCTTTTCGGAGTCTGAAAAGGGTCAACAGGATGAGCAGCGTAATGGCGATCGAGGCAACTTACTTGCGGACATCTTGTAACTGTTGATGCGATGTGGGGGTGTGATATTCAATCTCAAGCGGGGTGGTTTCTCTCTCGTCCGAAAACTGTTGCTGGCCGCGACGCTGAATATATGCTTCTCAGAGGATCTACTTCCAATCTTAAACAACAGCAAGCTTGTTTTGACAGCAAACCAAGCCCAGGCACACGTGTGAATCGGAAAGGCTAAGAATCTCTAGATTACCAAACATTAGTGCGGGGAGCTGCTCGCATCGCAACGCCAAGCCCGCCCTTTCAGCCTTGTCCACCCAGAGCCAAACCCCTGTCCTTTGTTTACCCTCCCGACATTTCGGCAGACAGACAGACCGCCCTCACACGCAACCCCAGAACCACCAAACGACGCAACTCCCCGGCATGCACCAGCCCGGCACTTCCTCACCATGTCGTCGGCAGCTACCGCAATCTCCTCACACACACGCAGCAAGAGCCTGCGTGTCCCCGTCTCAGACGCCTCATTCCTGAAACGGTCAGTGGTCGCGCCGACAAACTTGCAACAAGCAGCCGGACCGTCGCATGTTGCTCTTTTCTTGACGAATTTGAGATTGCTGGATTTGGATAAGAGACAGGATTGGCCGGGGATTACGCCGGTGACGTTTGCGACGAAGGATTCGCAGCAGAATATTAAGAAGCGGATTCAGTGTGTGGAGTGGGCGCTTTTTCGGCTGTTTGAGATTTGGGAGCCGGAGGAGGCGAGGGAGGTGGGTGGTTTTTTTACCAATTATTAGGGGAGACGAACTAACGTGTGCGTCTTGTAGAAACTTCAACCGTTCTTTCCCCCACTCGAACCGCTCCAGTCGCTCAACTTGCGCACGGCACTCTTTCGATGTCTCGATCAGGCGAAGAAGAATGGCACCCTCGGGCGAGATGCAGTCCTACGAAAGACGATGCTAGATGAGTGCAAGGGCGAACGATTGGAAGAAGTCCTATCCGTTTTCTCCACCGCCGTCGTGAAGCGCTCAGTTCGCGAGAATCAAGATGGCCCGGAGGCAATCGCTCTCCGTCTGGCTATGGAGAACTTCTCATACACCGGTGACCGCGCTAGCCTGTCAGCGCTGGTATTGGCGCACAAAAGCAGCTTGCGGAAGAAGATCGAACAGAAAGATCGGGCAAAGGGGATATATAACGATTTCTCGGGGCTACTGGAGTTGAAAGATCGGCAGATAACGAGACGCAAGGAGCAGTTGAAGGTGGCTATTGAGGAGGATGAGAATACGGAACATATATCGAAGGCGGAGATGTATGAAGTGCAGGAGAGGGCACGCAAGAATTGGTATGGGAGTAATGATTGGCTTGAGAGTATATTACAGAGTGACAGGCAGGCTCAGACCGATACCCTGCTCTCGGAACCATACGACCAAGTGTGGAAATACGTCGAGAAGGGAAGGATTGGGGAGATTGAAGATAGCCAGCGCAAAGGCCTGTTACAGCAATTGGACGCCAGGGTCAAGGAGCAGAAGAACCGCTACGAAACGTGGCAGAATTTCGAAAGGTCTATCAAGGCCAGGAGGTCAGATTCTGGCAAGGTGGATGTTATGATATCTACTAAGCCGGCCAAGGATCTTAGTATTAGCTTTGGGGCACACGAATCGTTGCAGTTGCCGAGCAATCCTCTGCAATCATCGAAAAGCTGGCAGCCGCTACCTGAACAAGCAGAGTTGTTAGCAAATCTTCAGAGGGAACTCGCGGATGTTGGGAAGCCGCAGCGTTACGAGGAATTACCAAGACGTCGGGTTTCTACGCGAGGAGGGTCTCTGGAACCGCAGCCAGAAGTACAGAGCAAACCTCAGCCTCAGGATGATGAAAAGGACTGGGAAAGCAACAGCGACAGCGACAAGCAAGAAACTCCCGTTCCCCAGCGTCGACACACTCGGCGTAGAGTAGAGCGGCGGAGAGTCGTAGCACCACCACCAGAATCGTCAGAGACTGAAGATGTGTCTGACAGCGACGATCAGGTTGTTGAGCAGGAGACGCCAATTCCCCAACGACGTCCATCGCGACTCATGGCTGAGCATCGAAATGCGGCAGCACCTCCGCCTGAACCATTCTCCGAGATCGAAGAAACCGACAGCGACAATAAACAGTTTGAGCAGATGACTCCTGTTCCCCAGCATCGCAGTGCAGTACTCCCGCCACCATCAGAGACCGATGAAGCCACCGATAGCGACAATCAACCAATGGAGCAGGAAACCCCAGTCCCCAACCGTCAATCTTCACGCATCATCCCAATCTACCGCACCGCATCACCACCACCAGCAAACCACCCCTCACTCGAAGCCTCACCCATCCCCTCCGACCAGCCTTCACCACCCGTTCCAAGGGTGTTATCAACAATCTCCGACATGCCACCTCCCTCACGCACACCCTCCCCATCTCTCCCCTCCCCAGACACGACCCAACTCCCCCTCTCAACCCCCGCCACCTCCCCCTCCCCCCCCAAACCGCGCCACATCCTCTCCCTCGCCGAACGAACACGCATGTCCATGTCTCGCTCCCTTCCACGGGCTAGCGAGGACTTCGATTCTCCACCCGATTTGCCTGCGCCACGGCTGGGGTCAAGCATCACGACAGATCCAGAAATCAATCCAGCAGCAGCAGCAGCCGCAGCAACAGCAAAACGGCACGAAGACCTCCTCGCGCGAACGAGACAGTCAATGTCCAACACCGCCGCCGTAGCTAAATCCGCACAACTCGAGCGCCGCCGCAGCGTCAAGACTGCTGCGAGGAAGAAAAGAGAGAGCTTTATGCCTGTGAGACAGAGTCTGGCGCCGTTTGATGAGTATGCACTGGAAGGGGGGGTGGATAGGGAGGCGTTGATAGAGGAGGAGGAGGTGGATATGGAGGCGGTGTTTATGAGTCGGCCGAGGGTGAAGACTAGTCCTGCTAGTAGTCCGAGGAAGGCGTGGGGAGAGATTGGCGGGGGGAGAGAGGAGGAGGGGAGTTTGAGTCCTGGGGCGTAGAGGAGGATTCTGGGTCTGGGTTTGGATTCTGGGGTTGGGTTGTGAAAGGGGGTGGATGCGGGGAAGCGCGGGGAGGTTGGGAAGGGGGAGATAGGGGTGGGTGGGTGATACCGGGTCCCTGTGTTTGCACGTGAAATAGTGTATTGGAAGAGGGGGGACTGTGTATGGTGTGTATGTACTATCAAATGCACGTTTTATGAACTATACTCCTAGGTGCGTTGTTTTCTTTGCTTTTTTATCTGGGGAAGATGGATGCGGGTGAACCCGCTGTCAGGGAATGAATGGGGCGTTGAGATTGAGATTGATGTACTGGGGTGGGCCTCGGTAGGAGTGTAGATCTCGGTATGTACTGTGTTGCCGTGTGCGGGTTGAAGGCTGGGGGAGCTGACTTGTTCGGCTTTCTTGATGAGGAGAGTGAAGGGGGATATTTGAAGATTGAAAGAAAAAGGGTTAGGGCTCATAAAAGCCTCGCACGATGAGTCCTCCCTCAATACCAACGACGATATGAGAAACAGGCTCATCGGCCCGTCTACCAGCTCCAATCCCAACACCCCATTACCAACTCCCCATCCCCTACTCACCACACCCCTTCAACGATCCCCTCATCCCTACCCCCTCCTCACGATCCCCTCATCCCATCCTTCCTTCTCGTCCCTCCTCGCCCCTTCCACGCCCACAGCCAATAACGAAACCCACCAGTAACGGATTATGCATTGGTACCTGAAATCACATGGGCGTACTGTCGACCCACCAATCAGCGCTGACAGCGACGATGAAGGGGATTAAGTTAGTGCGTATGAGAGCGGGTTGTGACGGACGGGGGACTGAGGGATAAGGCAACTGGGCGAGGATGAGCCACTGTTAGACTGGAGACTGAACTGTACCTCCGTTGTGGGGCAAGCAGTTCGTGCTATATCGTATCTACCTCAGCCATTTCTCTTATCTCTTGACGCCCCGGCCGGATGGATGTACAGTGTGGAAACGGACACGACGACAAGTTTGAGATTCGTACTCGTTCGGCGGAGGCAGTTTGTTTGGAAATGCGAGTCAGGACCCATAATTGTTTGTGAGTTGCCTGTTACTTGAAGTTATTTGGACAGTGATTGGGTGAGTGATGAGGCAGAGAGGGATGCCGATTCGGTCCTTGTTTATCGGATCGGCCGGGGTGGGGCTATCACGGGATTTTTGTGGAGTTAAGTGAGTGAGTTGAGGAGTTTGAGTGATTTGTGGTTTTGAAGGGTGGTTTTTGAGAGGCTGGATGGGGAAGTTTGGAGGTTGAAGTGGAAAGGGGTATCGTGAGTGCATGTGTGAATGTGCTTGTGAATGAGCTTGTGAATATGATCCGCGTCGTGTGCCGTTGTCTTCGTTATCACGTGCAACCTAACGGCTACCTGTCTTTGTGTGTTACCGTATCGCTGTCGTCGGCGTCATCTTGCATACCGTAGCGGTAGTGGCGCCCGCCGCCGTCTCACTACACACCACACACGTTCCTTCCAAGGCGTGGTGTCGTCATAGGTAACAACCCGTCAACCACACTCTGTCGTGTCACGACAAGCCAAGGCCGAGAAAGACGAAGCAACGCCGGGAAGGAAAGGGCCACGGATCAATCCTGGTATTCCTATCTCCTCGGTCTTTGTCAAGGGGATTATTCATCGCCGAAACTCAACTATAGTACACGTTATTGTACGCGCATACCGAACCCCTATCCATGCAAGCCGTAGCGAAAAAGCCGCAACGATCATCCTCCTTTACTTTACCGAGAATTGAGAGGGCAATCAATCCGCGGAAGCCGCAGAAGGCGCCGGCAAGCGCTGGTGTGTTTTGCGCGACTTAAGGGTGTTGATACGGTAACGGGGCACAGGGCTACTTGGCTGAACGATTGTGGTGAGTGTGCGGCCGGGAAGGGGACTGACTGCGGTCTGTACAATGGGGATGTGTGGACGGCACAGGCGCCATGGGCGTCATTTGTGACACGGTTTGGGATAAGCTCCGCCCGCAGGACCCTGGACGGGTTAATATGGAAATCTGTAGGCGGATAGATTGGGCGTGTTTGTGGATTAGGAGAGGGTGAGGGAGTGAGAGCGCCGATAGGCAATTCTTTGACACTTGAATGTTTCCCCGGGCTTGCAATCTATGGATTGGATTGTCGTCTTACTACGTATGGGTATGTATGAGTGGTATGATACCAAGAAACTAAGCAGGAGGCATGAACTGCGTGGTTTTCCGTCCTTACAAAACGCTTAGAGTACTGTACATCCTTACATGCCCACACTATAGTGTCGTACATATGTACTTCGGGTGCATTAAGCCTGATTTGTTGATTTGCTTGAGCTGACGGCGATGTATGGTGGATTGGATAATTTAGACCCTCTTTTTCAAATGTTCAATGTTTCCATCTTCCAAGGGTCCGGCGGATAAGTCGAGCTGGGATAGCCGTGGTATCTTTAGTATCCCTAGTAGATGAGTACTGTATTTGCATCAGCCCACGGCAGCGACGAACCTGACGATGATGGGGCAACCCCCGGCCTGAGTCTTCCTCTTTCCGCCGAACTATAAAGATGGCCTCTTCTGCCCCTTTCCGTACATTCATAAACCATTGCATCCCTCTAGGACAAAACCACTACCTATAAACCACTACTATTACTATCTATCTACTACTACTACCTCTTATCACCTACAATCACCATCGTCGTCGATTTCCAACTTCCCCTCAAAACCCCACCCGCTATCCTACGTCACAGATCCACAATCTCCTTCCTTACCAGAACGCCAACCCCACTACTACGCTCTGAACCTCGCACTACAGTCACACTAAACACTCGCCATCATCCACCCAAAATCCACTTCATCACCACCCACTTGTGTCATCCAGCCAGGCTCCCCCACCCCCTCATACATATATCATCGACCTCGTTTCCCTTTTCCCCGGATTCTCCAGAAAAGCAAATAACACATTCCACTTCTTCACACCCTGCTCTTTCGCATGAGTGGAATCGCATGATCATACGCACCCCTGAACATTATCGTTTTTATCATACGCCATAAACGGAACAATGGAGAACTTATCTATCACCAACAACATGGAGGAGAGCGATAAGAAGAAGGCCGTCCACTTTGGAGCTGGAAATATCGGGAGAGGATTCGTTGGCGAGGTAAGTTGTTTTAGAATCCTTTATTTCTCATTATCAGGCTAACCATCGACTTAGTTCCTACACAACTCTGGATATGAGGTTGTCTTCGCGGATGTGCAAGACTCCATTATCGACCTGCTAAACGCAAAGGACTCGTACGACGTCATCCAAGTAGGAACCGAGGGCGAGCAGAGGTCCCAAGTAAGGAATTACCGCGCCATCAACTCCCGGATCAACGAGGCCGCCCTGATCAAGGAAATCACTACCGCAGACGTAGTAACCTGCTCCGTCGGGCCCAACGTGCTCAAATTCATCGCCCCCGTCATCGCCCAGGGAATTGACCGCCGCGCCTCCGGTCTCCGCCCCCTTTCCGTGATCGCCTGCGAGAACGCCATCGGCGCCACCGACACCCTCGCCGAGTTCATCAAGAAAGGCGTATCCCCCTACCGCATCCTCGACCTCGGCAACCGCGCGCGCTTCGCCAACTCGGCCATCGACCGCATCGTGCCCGCGCAAGACCCCAACGCGGGGCTCGACGTCAAACTCGAGAAGTTCTCGGAGTGGGTCGTGGACCGTACGCCGTTCGCGCCGTACTCCCCGCCGGATATTAAGGGTATTAAGTGGGTCGATGACCTCGTGCCCTTCATAGAGAGGAAGTTGTACACCGTCAATACTGGTCACGCTGCCGCAGCGTACCACGGGTATTACCACAAGAAACAAACCGTCTTCGACGCCATGCAGGACCCCCGCATCGTGAAGCAGGTGCGTCGCGCGCTGGCGGAGACGAGTAGTCTGATCGTCGGCAAACACGGCATCGGAGCCGAAGAGCAGAGCGAGTACGTCGAGCGCATCCTGCTACGCATCTCGAATCCCCACCTTGAGGACTCGGTTGAGCGCGTCGGCCGCGACCCGCTCCGTAAGCTGAGCCGCAAGGAGCGCTTCATCGGCCCGGCTACCGAGTTGGCGGAGATGGGGCGCGAGTATTCCGCCCTGTTGCTGGCGGCGGAAATGACCTTCCGATTCCAGAATGTACCGGATGATAAGGAGAGTGAGGAGCTCGCGAGGCTGATGGATAGCACGAAGGACGCTAAGGAGATTGTCGAGGAGGTGTGTGATGTTGAGCGTACGCATCCGCTGTTTGATGATTTGGTCAAGATTGTCGAGCGTGTGCAGGGCGAGGCGGTATAGATGGATGGGTTTACCTCGTGCATTTTTTGGTGGTTTTAAAAGGGCTCTGCTGCGTTTTCTAGGCGCAATTAGTGGAGGGGGGGAAAGGGTTATAGGCGCTGTTTTTCTTTGCGATTCCCGGCTTCGGATAAAGCCACTCATTTGTTATGTTTAGAAGAAGCGTTGTCTTGATGGCAATTGCGAATATGAATCTGTATGAATATATGATATACTCGAACAAACAACCAAGATCACTTTTCAAGTACGTGTGTTTCGTAACTACGTTGGAAGCCGCCAGAGGGGCAGTTATGTTCGAGGCAATCAGGAGAACGGTTGCCGCTCTGGATAATGCAAATGATGAGCTTTTGGAGCCCTGGAGCAGAATGCCTCGTTCGCTTGCGGAAGCTGGTGTGCTGTCATCATAGTAGCTGCTGTCATCGTAGCCGCTGTCGTCAGTAGTATATGCTGTCACTATATGTTCCTGTCATCTTTGGTTTTGCCTCATAGCGATTCTCCCGTTGATGAGAGATTCCTTTGGCCGTAGAGGGAGCTATGGCCGCTTGCAGTCTTGTTAGTTCATGGCACTGGAGTCCACCACCTGTAGAATGAAATGAGTTAATAATCTCTTTCAGTCGGCTAATTTCCTAGTCTTAAGAGCTGCTGGTATACTGTTGCGATATCGAACTCCTCAGTATAATGCGAACATATCATGTGACTTTGATGTAATTATTTCACGTGATATTCATATACCTAACTTCAAGCCTCAGGCACCAACATCCAACCCCACCCAATCCAGCCTAGCGTACCACCCTACGGCGGTGTAGACCGGCAGCCCACGCAGCTGGAGCTCCAAAGACCACGAAATCCAAAAAGGACCGCCGCAGCTCTCCTGTCCCCTCCCCGCACTCCGCCATAAACCCACGAATCCATTACCTCCCCAGGGCAATCACTGCGCATATATCCGACGCAGGCCCCGGATTCTATACGCCCTGCTATTTGCAATTCACTGAGGGAGACGCAAGGACGACTCACTGTTGATTGAGATTTGGCGAGGAAGCCACGTTGAGAGTGTTTGTGTGAGAGTTTCAACGCCGACGAATACGGAGCACGAGAGAGAGTCGGCAAGATGCGTTTGGACGTTAAGGTTTGTGCTCCCGGTTTTGCTATGTCTGTTATATGATGGGGGACCCTGAATTTGGGGAACTGGTGGTGGTGCTGGAGGGAGGGGGGGGTTGGATGTTGGAGGCATGTGAAGGAGGGTTTTGGGGATAGTTGGCTAACGGGCATGGAATTATAGAAACAACTCTTCGCGAGGAGCGAGAGGGTGAAGGGGATTGATTTCCATCCTACAGAGCCGTGGATCTTGACTACACTTTACAATGGTATGGATAGCCTCCCCGCACCCCCCAAGGTCAGGGAACTGACATATATACTCCAGGCCATGTATACATTTGGTCCTACGAGACCCAGTCGATCGTCAAAACCTTCGAGCTGACCGACGTTCCCGTGCGCGCGGGTCGCTTCATCGCGCGCAAGAACTGGATTGTCTGTGGATCCGACGACTTCCAGCTGCGCGTGTACAACTACAACACCTCGGAGAAGATCACCACCTTCGAGGCGCACCCGGATTACATCCGCGCCATCGTCGTGCACCCCACCCAGCCATTCGTTCTCACCGCCTCCGATGATATGACTATTAAGCTGTGGGATTGGGAGAAGGGGTGGAAGTGTGTGCAGGTCTTTGAGGGACATGCGCACTACGTTATGGGACTGGCTATTAACCCGAAGGATACTAATACCTTTGCTTCGGCGTGTTTGGATCGCACAGTCAAGATTTGGAGTCTGGGGAGCTCGACAGCGAACTTTACGTTGGAAGCGCATGAGACGAAGGGTGTCAACCACGTGGATTATTACCCGCAGTCGGATAAGCCGTATCTCCTTACTACCTCGGATGACAGGACGGTCAAGATCTGGGATTACACCACCAAGTCCCTGATTGCCACCCTCGAGGGCCACACCAGCAATGTCTCGTTCGCCTGCTACCACCCGGAGCTACCAGTCATCATATCTGGTTCAGAAGACGGAACCGTCAAGATCTGGCACGCAAACACCTACCGCCTCGAGCAGTCCCTCAACTACGGCTTAGAACGCGCGTGGTGTGTTAGCTACCAGCGCGGCAAGCAGGGCGTCGGAATCGGTTTCGACGATGGAGCGGTTGTTATCAAGATGGGTCGCGAGGAGCCAGCTGTTTCCATGGACGGTTCGGGGAAGTTGATCTGGGCCAGGCATAGCGAGGTTGTGTCGTCCATCATCAAGGGCGGCGATGCTTCGCTGAAGGATAACGAGCCCATCTCCCTCCCCACCAAGGACCTGGGCACGTGCGAAGTCTACCCGCAAACCCTGATTCACTCGCCCAATGGCCGATTCGTCTCTGTCTGCGGTGATGGAGAGTATATCATCTACACTGCTCTGGCGTGGCGTAACAAGGCGTTCGGCTCGGCGCTGGACTTTGTTTGGGGATCGAAGGATAATAGCAATGACTACGCTATCCGCGAGTCGCCGACAAGCGTGAAGATCTATAAGAACTTTGTGGAGAAGGCTGGGGGACTTGATGTTGGATTCCAGGCTGAGGGCCTTGCTGGTGGTGTTCTTCTTGGTGTTAAGGGCCAGGGTGGAATCGGCCTGTTCGATTGGCAGACTGGTGGCTTGGTTAGGAGGATTGAGGTTGATCCCATCAATGTGAGTACATTCTCTCCAATCTGGCACGGCAACGTTCTAATTTTCTAGGTCTACTGGTCCGAGAGCGGTGAACTCGTCACGCTTGCTTGCGAGGAGACCTTCTACGTCCTGCGCTTCTCGCGGGAGAACTACCTTCACGCTCTGCAGAACGGTGAAGTCGAGGAGGATGGCGTCGAGTCAGCATTCGAGGTCATCACCGACATCAACGAGAGCGTGCGCACCGGAGAGTGGGTAGGCGACTGCTTCATCTACACGAACAGCACGAACCGCCTCAACTACCTCGTCGGCGACCAGACCTACACCATCAGCCACTTCGACCAGCCCATGTACCTCCTCGGCTACATCCAGCGCGACTCGCGCATCTACCTCTGCGACAAAGACGTCTCCGTGACCTCTTTCTCCCTCTCCCTCTCCGTCGTCGAGTACCAGACCCTCGTCCTCCGCGACGACATGGAGTCCGCCGCCGAGCTGCTCCCCTCCATCCCCGCCGCCGAATCCAACAAGATCGCCCGCTTCCTCGAGGGACAGGGCCACAAGGAACTCGCCCTCTCTGTCGCCACTGACCCAGAACACAAATTCGACCTCGCCCTCGCCCTGAACCAGCTCCCGACCGCCCTCGCGCTCGCTCGCGTCGCTGACGCGGAGCACAAGTGGAAGACGGTCGGTGATGCCGCGCTCGCTGCTTGGGACGTCGCACTGGCTGCGGAATGCTTCATGCATGCACGTGATCTGGGATCCCTGCTGCTTCTGCACTCTGCAACTGGTGACCGTGACGGACTCGCCGCGCTGGCTGAGCAGGCTCGCGAGGGAGGCGCACATAACGTCGCCTTCGCGTGTCTGTGGCAGCTAGGCGATGTACCAGCGTGTATCGCGCTTCTGAGCAGCACCGGACGCGCGGCTGAGGCGGCGCTGTTCGCGCAGACGTACGCGCCTAGCGCGGCGCCTAAGGCGGTAGAGGAATGGAAGAGGGAGCTTGAGGCGGGGAAGAAGGGACGGGTGGCGAAGATTCTTGGTGTACCTGGAGCAGAGGGGGATGAGGAGTTGTTCCCGGAGTGGGATGAGTGGATTCGGTTGGAGGAGGAGGGTGGGGTGGCGACGGTGACGGAGCTGGAGGTAGAGGAGAGGGAGGAGGAGGTTAGGGAGGTGGAGGAGAATTTGATTGATGCTGAGGCGTAGATTTGTGGGGCGAGGGAGTATAAATAGTAGAGTAGGAAGGTATACTGTTTGATTTGTCTGCCTGTGGCAGTTCCTGTCTTGTGGGGCACGGCGGGGTCAAAAAGGGAAGATAGAAGATAATGACATTTCATATTTTTTTAGTTCACGCGCATGAGTACTCCTGCTGCCCTAAAGTGCCTATAGAGAGTTTGCTTGGTGGTTGGTAGAACTCGGCCTGAGCACTATCGCTACTTTTCGCAACGAGAAGGTGATTCTACCGACAACGCTTGGTGAGAATAAGGAGACCATCAGGCTCAAGGAAGAGGAGATGCTGGACGTCAGTCAATATCCTCCATGAAAATAACGATCGGCTCCGTAATGCGGCTGATGACCAAATGGCTGCGTTGGAGGCGCATGAGAAGGATATGGAGGGAGGCATGGGCGAGCTCGACGCTGCCAGTGGCAAGTGACAGAACGTAGTGACAAGAACGTGGTGATAACAGCACACGAATAGACCAAATGGGGAGCAGAGGCTAGGGTTCATACGAGATTGTATATTCAAGTCCCTCCTTGCGAATGTCATGCTAGCAGATATCGTTCTAAAGCCATTGCCAAAGAATAAAATATTAGTTTCGCAGTCACATTCAAAATCACATTACAAAGAAAACCGAGGTTTGGTGTCCATAATTGGATCTGATATTTATTGGAACTTAAAGAAGCAAACGCGAATGTCAGAAGCCGAAGTCCTCCTATTGATATTTGGTTGCCGAATATGCGAAAACTATCATTCTTAGCGTCGTGCGTGATGAAAAAGCCGTCAGTCATTATCATAATAAAACCTCGTCTTGGAGGCCGAGGAGAAGCCGTAAATAGACCCGATGGTAAGCGCCCGACGGGGAGAAAAAAAATGTTAATAGCCCAATCTCCAACAACAGAGGCGCGGAAGAAGCGTCGCTGAGAGTGGGGGAGATTTGAGCCAGGCAGCCAGGGGCAATATTAGATAGTCGTACACGTTCCAGCTTTTGAATGCGAATCTCGCCGAGAATTTCGCCCTGGCACTTTACTGCCAATACATATTCCAACGAAGGTTTTGGTGGACGGGACCGAGCTTCATCTTCCCGTCTTCCGCATCGACGAGATGCAGGCGAGCCCGCTCACAGGCTTGATCGGCATAGTAAACCGGCGGGCAAACAGCAACTGACGTCGTTGCTCGGGCGTACGAGGAGCACAGGTTGAAGGTCAGACGCTGGAAAGCGTCGGCACTCATGTTGTTCTCATCAATAATGGTCACGTAGCGGGTCGGTCTCTTGGTTCCTTGAAGATCTGGGCTGTAGACTAGGTTAGTGGCTGATTCTTCAAATAGGGGGTCTTTAAGGGGTATAACTTACTGGGCGATGATGAACGCATCATTAATCGTGGACGAGTTCTCAACCACAGTGCCGCATGGAACGTTTCCGAGCTTCGAGGCAATATCCCTGTCGGCGAAGAAGCGGGTATGATGGCGTTTGATCGCCACAATGATTGTGATCTTTGCGTTGGCCCCGAGTTCCTGGGATAGCTCATGCAGCTTACGGCCCTCTTCGATTTTGATCGCCTGGAATTCTGATTCAGAAACTCCGTCACGGTAGTAGACGATGTGCTCGGGGTACACTGCAACTGTTAGTTTTGCGGTAATTCAGCGAAGGGGTGAGATATGTCTTACATCCGTTATTTTTTTCCGCATATCTTTTGAGGAGTTCAGCCATCATAGGCTTCACATTTCCAATAAAGCCCAGCAGACTTTCTTGGACACTGGCAACAGCAGTATATGCCGTGCATTCGCGATCCCAGGTGCCCACAAGTGCTGCAGTTGAAGGGGGCGGGTTGACTGATCGAAGCGCTCCTGGAGCGGCATGAGATATGTCACCGCCCAAAAGCATGCAACGGCCTGATCTAAACAGAGGTTCCTCCGCGATGCAGTTGGTCCCGCCGAGTTTGACATTTACCTTCATGGCGATGTTCGCCAAGTATTGAGCGGAACCGCGACCACTGAGAGCCTTCTCTTGAAGCATCACTTGGGATGCAATTCCCATGTGGACATCAAGCCCGGCTTTCAAAGTTTTGTATATGGGAACACTGGCTCCTTGGAGTATGACAAAGATAACATCCGGGGGGACCCCGAAGCTGTTGTGCGCGCGCGCAACGGAATCCTTGACGACTTGTGTCAAATTTCCAAACGGATTTCCGACAATGATCGGAGGACCTTCTCTGGGGACCGTCATGCCACAATCAGTGAATGAGCGAACCATCTCGCTTCCGAACCTCTCAAGCTGGCCATTATCAAGAGGTTGTCTGGCGGGAATATAAACAATAACCCAAGACTTAATCGTGGATGGCCGAAGAAATCTGAGGCCGCGCAGGTTCCATCTGCCATCTCTTGGAGTCATTGGTCGATTTCCTCCATATGTCAAACGAGGAGCTGGTAAAACCCGAGCCTTCACGCTCATCATTTCTGGATTAACCTTGAACCCATGTGCTGCAATTGTAGGGACAGCGTGGTGGCTAAGCAGCCTCAATCCGTGCTGGATCTGGTTCTTTCTTTCATATGCAGGAGCGGTCGCAAATCTTTGGCATGATGTTAGCGTTGTAGAAAAATATATGGAAGTGGAATACATACTTTATGAAGTCCGCTGTCTCTTGGCCTTGAAGGACCTCCTTGTACCGCTCTCCATCGGCACTGAAGCACACTTCAAGGGGGAAGTCACCAAACCGAGTTGACGCCAAAGGAAGCCTGGGGAATTGGAGCTTAATGCCGTACTTTCTCTCAAAGTAGTCCGAAACCGAGGTCGTCTGCGTGGTGCTTTCGTCGTCGCCAACTCTCTCCTCAAATGTTGACTCAATGGCATTCCGCTGAGAAAATCCAGTCAACCTGATCTTTTTATCCTTCTTTGCAGACGTCAGATGTCTGATATTGAAGAAGCTGCCGCGAAGTCGGCCGCAGGCAACGAAGAACGTCTCAGGGTTTGAACGAAAATCTCCTTCCAACCGACCGGTCTGGGTTCCCATAAGAGCGCACGCAGTATCGATGAGACAAACTCCTGGCACCCAGAAAGGAGTTGTAGCTGTGTCGATGTTCAGTGTAATGCGGCCAAATCGAAGTTGCATGGATTGAAACACGCCGCGGCGTGCCTCAAGAACATTTTTGGTGGATCGAAGCATCATTGTTGTCTCGGGCGAGCGGTCGAAGTAGGCGTTCGAGTTAGGTCTGGTAATGAAGCGAGTTGCGGGATCCTTCCGAAAAACCGCCTGAATCCATTTCAGAATGTTTTCGATGCTCTCATTTCCGGCCGGGTTCAATTCGAACTTTCCATTTTGAATATAGTTGACGAGAGTTCCAATTGGGAGAACCCCGGTGCTTCTCACTGATACCTCGACTGAGTTTGGCTTGCCGTCTCGGCGCTTCTCCAACTCGACGACGTTAGTCTCTGCCGCCCCCACCGGAACGATTATATGTGGTGACCACCCAAGGCTCACTCCATCAAACACAAAGTCTTCCTTGAGAAATGTGGTCACTGCCTTTGTCATCAGGACACGCGCGAGCTGTTGCGTGCTCACTTTGTCGCTGCCTTTGAGCTGGGAGTCTTCCGGTACACGGAAACGAAATTCATATCTTGAGGGGCATGTTAGTACTAGAAAATTCATGGATGCAGTGGTAAACGTACTGGTATATAGCTTTTGTTGGAAGAGACTCAATAGTGTGATGATTCACCTGCACCATGACTTTTTCGCCAACCGTGCCTCGAACTTGGAGGTCTGGATAAGGTACTTGTCGAGCGCCCTCAGGGATAGGGACATCGTTTGGTAACGGGGGAAGGTTTGATCGCGGAGCATCTCCTGGGGTGTTTCCTTGGTAACCACCTCTGCCTCTGCCTCCGCCTCCACCTTTTTTCAGGTCAGTTACAAGCAATAGCTGGGGTGACATAGGCTTACGAGGCTCTCGGAACCGATCTTCACGTGGGGCCTCATCACGCCCAGGTGATCTGGATCTATCACGGCGCTGATGATCCCTCCCACCACGGTCTTGATACCCTCCGCGATCACGGTATCCACCTCGATCTTGGTTTCCGCCTCGATCGCGGTTTCCGCCTCGATCATTGTAGCCCGACATTGTGTCTTGATGTTGTGACTAAAATTGATCTGGGCTGAGAAGTCAGCTCGGCGCATAAACTGAGTGAAATGAACCAATGCTGAAATGGGGATTTTAATGAAGCAATTCTGGACTTGAAATGAGCAATTGGCTTACCTGGAACGGATATTTTGCGTGGTAAAGTGCGGTTGAAGAAAATAGGCTTTGGAAGAGAAGTCAGTCCAACGAAGGCACGATGTTATTGGTGATTGATGTGGAAGGAGGAAGAAGGGTAAAGGACGAAAGATGAGCTTTTATACTCACGAATTGGTAGCTTTGAAGTTGTTGGTTGATGTGTTTGGAAGGAAGATGAAGGGTCAACAACCAAAGATGAGGTTTTATACCCAGTAACTGGTGATATTGATTGAGAAAAGAGAAAGTGGCTCACCCGGAACGGATAGTTGAAATGATCAAGTACTGTTCAAGAATGGCTGGCTTGGTAGGTCAGAAGCTGGCCCTGTGAAACCTTGGTGCTGATGTTTGTTGTTGATGAAGAAGGATGAGGATTACGGATAAAAGAAGGGTATTTTATACCCAGATTTTGGAGTTGATGATGACGAAAGAAGAACGAGAGTCAAGGAGGATAGAAAGGTATTTGTACTCACATATGATGGTGAATAAGGAGGGAAAAGGTGACAAGCTCCTATTTACACTCACGCATTAGAGTATAAGATGAGAATTTGTAGGAAACGGCAGAAGGTTGAGTGTAGGTTGCATTGGGGGGCTTAAAGAGACGACAGACGCAGACCTCAGGTCGAGATCTGGAGTATTTGGTGTCCGCGTACGTGGCCAGAGGAGAAGACGCGTGTAGAGGATGTAAACAACAACCGTCAGGTAACAAAATAACAACCAATAGACTCACTTTAGGTTGACGGGAGGTCGACACACAGGAAGGTTGATGCGTGCTGGTGTAAACGTAGAGGGGACCAGTGGAAGAGTTCAGAAAATATCGAGAGCAGCTTCGGAATGAGATTTGTTTTTCACTAATAAAGGAAATAAAGGGAAAGAGCGACTATCGCGAGGCCTTGAAATCAAACTATATGTGTGTCCGTGATTTCATATGCTTGTAATAGCAACGGAATGCCCTCCCAGTATCTCAAGATGTGAGGAACCACGATGTCAACAAGGATCCAGAAATGTCCACAAAAGCCTCTCCACGGACAAACGGTGACACCAGAATGTTCAATTGTATCTTTGACGATTAATTATATTGAATCAAAGACAGAAAGGAGACATATGTGGAACCTTTCATTACCTTTGATTTACTTGGGATGATAAATTCTTCACACGCAAAGAAACCGAATAATAATGAAAACAATAAAAAATAATTGATGGAAATTGTTTTATACAGAAACCGCAAATTGAGAAGTGAAAACATTTCATACGACAAATATCAATGAAAGGCCTGTCCTGGACATATCCCTTACCTTGATTTCCTCCATTTTGTTCGTGTTGATGGTGTCTATTCTCACATGTCGTCAGACCGCCAACCTAAATCTGTCCACCGCTCAACAATACCACCCCGCCCCTGCCGGTCTAACCACATCAAGCCGGATATCAGCACCCCACCATCCACCGCTCCGAGGTTGCAACTCTTGATTCTGCATACCCCAACAAACTACATACTATTACTCCTAAAATCCAAGTAAGATGAAACGAAGCATAAGCTGCTAGAGTTTCCAGGAAAAGCTGACAGTCTACAGAATACATCGCACCAGAACTTCAAAATGTCAGGCGTCACTCTCAGCCCCGCCTTCAACCAGGCCGTCGTGGACAGCAAGAAGCTCGTCGAGAAGCCCAGCAACGACCATCTCCTTGTATGTCACCACTCCTCATCCGTCTTCCATACTGCTCCGTCGATATACTCCCAGGAAAAGCACTAGCTAACACACACAGGAAATGTACGGTCTTTACAAGCAAGCCACCCAAGACCCCCCGATCGAGAAGTCCGAGGCCCCCGGCGTCTTCGACCTCAAGGGCAAGGCGAAGAAGCGCGCGTGGCAGAAGGTTGTCGATGAGGGCGTGACCCCAGAGCAGGCTCAGGAGAAGTACATTGCGCTTATCGAGCAGCTGAAGGTGCTTTACAAGTTCGATGAGAACAAGGTCCCTGAGGCCGTTGGCGGGAAATGAGCGGACGATGGTTGATGTAGCTACTTATGATGCGAGAGATACACATAGGGGAGGCTTAAGCTTGAACCGCGAGGACTGCACAATACATGATTATTGAAGCGAAGATGGGATCTGTGAGAAGTGTCGAGAGCGTGGTATTATATGCTCCAGCTGCAGCCCTTCAGCTCTATAATCTGTATCCGTGGTATCTAAGTCCAGCCCAAACCGCACCAGCAACTCCTGAAACCCCAACCCCCTACACCCCATACGACCTTCCCATCCAGTCCAGCTCCTCATATGCCTTCGTAGCACACCAAGGTTCTTCATCCGCGCCGTATCTAACAAGCGGCAAATCATAAGGCATCCTGAACCCAATAGTTATCTTCCCATCCACCGCTTCCTTTGGCACATCCGTTTGAAATGTAGGCACCATTACCGCATCCTCCGCGTACATGCTCGGTGACACCAGCACGCCTAACTCGTAGCTACAAATCCTCACATCGCCAGCCGCGTTAAGCCCCTCGCCCCACGCCTGCTTCGACAGGTTCGCGGATGTAACAAGCGCCCAGTCGATGCGCGTTTTAGCTTCATCGGCGAACCGGATATAGGTTTTGATATGGGGTGCCGCACGATTCCGCCCAGCTTCTCGCACTGTGTTAGCTACTGTACTGGGTGTGCTAGCCACTGTACTGGGCCCCGCGCGGTTCTGCCAAGCTTCTCGCACTGTGCTAGCTACTGTACTGGGTGCCGCGGCCGAGGTGGATGGCGGTGCCACAGGGCGGTTTTCACCCGACCAGTGGTAGAAGAGGGGTTTGAGGTACTGGAGCTGCTTTGCCTGCGCGGCTGTCTGTATTTTAACGTGGATCGAGCCACCGGAATTGTAGCCATCAAGTGACTTCCTGATTTCATCTGGGGTGGGAAAGACAATGCCGAGCTTGGGAGTTTTGCTCTGGCTATTCGATGATGCGGCGAGGGCTGCGAACAGCGTTTTCTGGAGCCACTGGTCGGTGACGCCGAGAGTGGCAATGGAGGAGACTTGGGCAACGACTTCGGGTTTGTCGCCATTATGGGCGGGAATGGTATTCAGTATCGCGCGTATTGCTGACCAGCCAAAGAGAGTTGGGTTGTCGCTCTCCACATGATGACGGCCTGGAACGTGCCCAACAAGGGCGCCGCGGATGGAAGAGAAATCGTACTTCAATAACTCTTCTATCAGGGGCCTGCAAATTGTACGGCGGCTATCATACGCTTTCAGATAACCCAAGAAGTCCAGCTTGAATCTTAGGCCAGACCCGTATGAAGCCGTGTTTGAGCCTCGAGCCAGAGCTTGATCTGCCAATTTCTCCGCAGGAAGTAGGGGTAGAAGAGGGCTTGTCCATGCAGCTTGGCTCAGGTTGGCCCAGTCCTGAGGGATCATGTTGGCTGTGTGAATGATTATTTGGGCTTGGTCATCATGCCGGAGTAAAACCATCATCTTGGTATGGTCTAGTTGATGTTAGGCTGAGAAAATAGAGGGACTATGGCACGGCACTTACGAGTACCAAATATCTCTGGCATATATGCACAGCGAAGATGAACATTGGGATATTGCAGTGCTTGGCTCTGTAATCATGTCAAACCTAACTTCTCCCGCCAGGAGCCAAGTCCAATTAAACTTGGACTCTGAGATAGAAAAATCGGCAAGCAAAGAAATAATCCGGAGGCCTACACGAATAGTGACTATATGACTGCACACGATGGGCATATAATAAAACAATAAAAGGCTTACCTTCATGTGAAGACCAGACTCCTTCTTCCAATACCCGTGGACAACATGGATTTTCACCATATCCTTCGTATCCGGGTCCATATTGCTCATCAGAAAGTCCAGGTCATGCATATAGTTGAACTGCCACATTTCACGTATCATGGGGTCACAAACTATCGTCCCCAATGAGACGCTGCCATTGTTCAGCGAGCCCGGAGAATCTCTGATCCTCGTCAACTGGAAGGGCGATGATATAAGTGAACCAGGGGCAATTTCAGGCTCATCCTGACGAGGCGTGCCATTGGAACTTTCCCGACTTTGAGTAATCCTTGGCCTCGGAGGTGAGATTGAAGCGCGTAAAGAACTGAGAGTAGACCCTTCCTCAAGAGCACCTGTCGTTCTCGCTCTCTTCCTGGGAGGCTCATCACCACCCGTGGCATCTTCTGACTGGCCGCTGAGCGGCATACCGAAGGTTTTTGCAGTAGAAAGTTCCTGAGACAACCCTTGGTTATTGTCTCGTCACTCAATGTCTCACCTTTAATTTTGTATGCACAGTTACGATTGACGTTGCTGTGGCGCGGTGCAAGACTGTGGCTTGCGTGACGTTCGTGAGGCCCAGTCCAGATTTAGCTTTCGCTTATCCACAATCTCTCGTGAGTGCCAGGGGCGCAATGTGGTAACAGCCAACCCCAGTGGCATAATCCTTCCAACGACGATGCCGATCGCTCTTTTCTCTCCTTTGTTGCCATGTGCTTGAAGAACTACTAGGTTCCTCTTTCTTCTGAACCTGTACTGTCGCATAATCTGCCCAGCACAGTCGCCAGGGTATCTCCGAATCGATCGACATAATTGAAACGAAGAGCTTCCCGCCATCAGCAAACGGAAGTCGCATTCACGCTACCCACGCGCCTGTGGGCCTCGCAATCGAACTGCAGGCTTCTCTCTATAATAACACAGCTTGGGCGCGCGCGAGCGGTACGACTACAATATGCGATTCCTCTCGTCGACCTCGCTGCTAGTGGTAGGAGCTCTTGCCACGTTGGTAAGAGCTGCGGATACAAAGGCAGATGTGTCCAAAGATGCGGGCGACTCCCAAGCCGACGAAACATACACAACTTTCAATGACCAGAAGGTACCGGAATTAAAGGAAGTCGGGGATAAGGTGCTGGACGAGTTGATCCAGAATGGATACACGGCTGTCAAGTTCTATTCTCCAGCATGCCACCACTGCCAAGCGATGGCTCCAGCATGGAAGACCATTTACGAATATTATTGGACTTCGAAGCCTGTGCCGTCGACGACTACAGAAACAAAGGAGAGTCTTAATGATTTCCACCATTACTACGGTTTCGACTTTGCCAGTGTCAATTGTTTAGCCTATGGAGACAGCTGTCTCAAGTACGGCGTTGATGGGTTTCCCGTTATTAAAATATTCAAGGATGGGAAGGAGGTGGATGAGTATATCAGAAAGTCGGATATGCCACCAATAAGCGTTGAAACTATTGGGCAGTTCATTGAAAAGACACTGGAGACCATCAGGCCGGGATCCCGCGTGAAGGATGGACCAGTATGGCCAGAAGCAGGAGCAAAGAGTGTCGAGGGACTCAGCACTTCTGCGGCTGCTCCGAAGCCAACGGCTACAGCAAAAACAAATGCGATCGCGCCGTCGACCCCTCCCAAACCACCAAAGTCCAACAAAATCCCCTCAACCCCTGCAAACCCCCATGGGGCGTCCGTCTCATTTACTCCCGAGAGTTTCCATACGCAGGTTACACTGTCGCAGGACTCATGGTTCGTCAAGTTCTACGCTCCTTGGTGCCACCACTGCCAAACCCTTGCGCCGATCTGGTTGGAGCTGGCGAAGGAAATGGAGGGCAAGCTGAACATTGGCGAGGTTAATTGTGTGGAGCACAAGGCGCTTTGCAACGAAGCGAAAGTAATTGGATTCCCGACTCTGGCTTTCTTTAGCGGTGGTGAACGGGTCGATTACGATGGACTGAGAGGCCTTGGAGATTTGACCAGGTGGGCAGGCAGCGCAACTGGGATCGATGAAGGCGTTATGGATGTCACTGCCGCCGAATTTAAAACCTTGGAAAAGACGGAGGAGGTCATTTTTGTCTACTTTTATGACCATGCCACAACCAGCGAGGATTTTGATGCTCTCGACCGAGTCATTCTGAGCTTAATCGGCCAGGCAACGTTGGTAAAGACCAAAGATCCAGAAATGTATGAACGATACAAGATCACATCCTGGCCGCGACTGTTGGTGTCGAGAGATGGCCGCCCAACTTACTACACTGCCCTTGCACCGGACGACATGCGCGATTATCGTGGAGTCCTGAAGTGGATGCAGTCTGTCTGGCTCCCCATTGTGCCTGAGCTGCTTCCGGGAAACGCACGTGAAATTATGGACGGCAAGCTTGTCGTCCTGGCCGTCCTCACACGAGAGCGTCAGGACGAGTTTAAGGCCGCCAAAAACGAGCTCAAGTCCGCGGCTATGGAGTGGATGGATAAGCAGATTCAAATGTTCCAGCTAGAGCGCCAGGAATTCAGAGATGCCAAGGAACTCCGCATCAAGGAGGCCGAGGCAAAGGACGACCAACGTGCAGTCAGGGCAGCGAAGAGCATTCGCATCGATATGACCAAATCGGAGCGCAAGGAAGTTACCTTTGCGTGGGTTGATGGTGTATTTTGGGAGAGATGGATTCGAACGACTTATGGGATCAATATCGCGGATGGGGAGAGGGTTATTATTAATGATGAAGATGTAAGCATTACCATATCGACTCACCGACCATACTAACTGTTCACAGAACCGACGCTACTGGGATACTACTATTAACGGCAACTCTATCCTCGCATCTCGCACGTCCATTTTGGAGACTATCCCCAAGGTGATCACGTCGCCTCCCAAAATCAAGCCGAAGTACACCATCTCGAATTTCTCAAAAGTCTTCTTTGACATCCGCCGCGGCGCGGGATCGCACCCAATACTGACCATCGGACTGGTCGTTGCAATTATACTAGCAGCCGTCGGATTGGGACGCAAGAAGAGGAGATCACGTGGAGGGTTCTTCCGCCTCGACGACGAGAAGAACCTTGGTTTGTTGGGGGGCGGTGGAAATGGAAAGGTGGACTAAGAAGGCGACAAGAGTTGTATGATCGGGAACGATGACTGTAAATCATTGGGGGGCTATTGGCGTTTCAACTATTCAAAGTGCCTTTTTTTGGGTGTTTCTTGGCTAGCAGGCCTGGACAAGGATATTCCACGCCTGTGGCTCATGCATTGCCAGGTGTATGAGGTGTAATTATTATGGTTTCTCACAAATAACTGATGCATCAAATACGTAATGTGCAGTTTGACTCGTTGATTCTCTAGTCTATATGTACAGTACAATATCGCAGTCTTGCAATGTACATTGCCGCTGCATCACAGCAGCTTTGATCTTTTAGATCGTATAAATCACTTGCGTTCGAAGTACACCCATTGGCCCTCAACTGGCTTCTCCACGAGATCTTCCCATCTGTGGCTGATTAGTAACGTTCTAGGGCAGTATGGGCGGATGGTACATACACCTGGCTCTTCTCCATCGTATCAACGAGCTCCAGCTCTCCCTGTGCAACTTCGATAACCTCCTCGATCAGGCCAGCTCCGATTTTGTCCTCAATCTCTCCAATCCTGCGTCTAATTAGATATAGTTCAATATGAACGAGCGAATATCACCTACTGTTCAGCAGTCAAGCTTGGCTCATCGTCCAACTCCACACGCTTCGTCTCCTCCTGTGGCCTCTCCTCAGCCAAATCTGCCTGTGACTTTCTCTCCGCCTCCGTCCGTGTGCCTTCTAACTCGCCATCGTAGACCTGCTCTCCATCCCACTCATCGTTCTGCTCATCGTAAACCTTTCCGACTGTGCTGGTCACGAACTCATTTCCTCCCATAGTCTCCTTGACGTGCATCCCGCCCATATACGCAGCGGCTCCCTTTGGCGTCGTGAAAACATCCGGGTTCTCCTTGACGAGCTTCTGGAGCTTCTCCTGCCACGCGGCGAATCCCTCCGGCACGACGGACTCGACGATCTGCAGGCGCTGCTTGGTCAGCGCCTCTGTTGACTTGCGGTAGACCGAATCCTCGGGGAATTTCTTGAGCTTCTCGAGCGTCGACGAGTACAGGTAGATGAGTGCGGAGCGCGGCGCAGGGTGGGTGAAGAGGCCCGTGAGCCCGGTTGGTGCGCCGGCCTCGAGATACCTCGAGGGCTTCACGGAGGCGAAAAGACGGATCGTCGCGCGCATCGTGAATGTGGTTACGCGAGTCAATGGCTTGGTGGAGGGTGGTGAGGTCGTGAGAGGTGCGATGTTGGCGAGCTTCGGGGAGGAGGCTTGGCGAGGCACTTTTTAGCGCCGTCGGCATCGCAGCAACTTTGAGCCGCATTTACGTGGATTGGTTTTGTATGGGCTTTGATAGGCGGGCCACGTCGTCGTTATATTTTGGTGGCTAAGCTACTCTACAAGTTTTTAGTATTGGGACTGTTTTATTAGAGGAATTTTAAGTCCAATTACTACTCATAGTAATATTGGTTACCTGAAAAGCGTCCGCTGGAATCCCGCGGAGTTCCCCTCCCGTCACGTGCTTCTGTTCTCATCTATCTAAAAATTACACTCCATCATTCCAACCAACGTTGGAAACTAGCATATTTTGACATTTAATCTCGAGGATATAGCAGAGACTCTTAAAATCTGTTTGCGGTTATCCGCACCCTACAACGAACCTCATCAAAGCATGACCCTACCCTCAACGTTAACCTCCTCATCCGCAATGCAACCCTCCCCCTCCCTCAAGACCGCAAAATCGGCGCTCCGAAAGGTGATAAAAGCTCGTCTCTCTACTCTACAACCATCAAGCATAGAAGAACAAAGTTAATCTGCCGCTCCCCTACCACCTGCTCAGAGGCTAACGCTCCATAGGCACAATTGTCTCCAATGCCGTCATCTCCTGGCCCAAATATCAAGCCGCAAAGAGCATCAGCGTCTATCTCTCTATGCCAAGCGCGGAGCTCTCCACGGCAGCCATTGTGCGTGACGCGCTTGTGAAGGGGAAGAAAGTGTTTGTGCCGTACCTTCACCTGGCCACGGAGCGGGACCGTGGGCAAGATGGATACCTACCGAAGCGGTGTATGGATATGGTGCGACTTCATGGATTGGAGGACTTTGAGGGGCTAGAGAATGATAGCTGGGGGATCCCGACGGTGGCTGACGAGGGGGTGGAGAAGAGGGAGAGGGTTTTGGGAGGAGAGAGAGAGGCGCAGTTGGATTTGATGCTTCTTCCTGGAGTGGCGTTTCAGCCGATTACTGGTGGTGATGAGGACGGGATGATTAGGAGGTTGGGGCATGGGATGGGATTTTACGATTTTTTTGTTAGGAGATACAAGGCGAAGACGAAGGAGGTGGCGGGCGAGGAGCCGCTGTTGGTTGCATTGGCCCTCAAGGAGCAAGTGCTGGAGAGTGGGGATGCGGAGGTACCGCTGGGAGAGCATGATGCAATGTTGGATGGACTGGTTATTGGAGATGGGAGGATACTTGGTAAAGCATGAATGGCGTTGAAGGCGCTTAATTAGGTCATAGTTACTATGAATGCCAATTTCAATGACGGCGATTGAACAAATAGATCTTATTTAAAGTTTCTGTAGGCGTGAGTTATAGTCGTATGTGATTATCGGGAGATATTTTAGTTATAGTTCGTGTAAACGCGAGTTATAGATATTTTATAATCTAGTCTTTATGCATTATAATTACATGGGAACTTTCCCGGCTATAGTTCGCCAAAAATCACATCTTGTACCCCTTCCTCCCTCCCACGTATTCGCACTGGCGACGGAAAATGCGTTCTTCAAACCTGGTTCCTGAAACTGAGTTACCGTTGCGCCGAACAACGTGATGGCCGTGTATGGCGTGCCGCCCGTAATGTTGAGATTGATCTGCTGTGGTGATGACGCCGTCCAGGCCGGGAATTTGGTAACAGGATTAGGTGCCGATGATGTAGTGGGCTGGCCTCCACTTGCGAGGGCGGCAGATATGGACGGGTTGGAGGTGGTTACGAATTTGCCCCATATACCTGTTGATAGTGAGTTAGCTAGTCATCCAGGAAGATTATGGAATGTTCGGATGAACCAGACGGATACTTACTCCTGAAGGCAGCCACAAAGCTATCACTATGATTTGGCTGGGCAGGTCCGAAGACAGCGGGCAAATCATCGGTGTGGCCTCCAAATGGTACGCTGTACTGGTATTTGTATGCGGTTCGGCCATTGCCTGTATACGCGGATGCTAGCCAGTACGAGGGGCAAACGAATGTTGCCTCGGCGTAGATATTCTAAAAATTCTCAAGTTAGTATCCGTCTACAGATGATTGAACATCAGAATTTCTCACATTTCCTCTCTGTTGCTGCCCTGTCGCAACTTGGCTAACGTTTAGGGCCGTCGCTGGCCCAAGCCCAGTTGTTGCAAACATGGGATCATTAGGATTGACGGGTCCAGACGAGCTTGGGTATGCAGCGAGAATCTTGGCCACATCGCCGTCGGAGACGTTAGGAAACTCGAGATGTAGCCAAGCAACCAGATCTGCTTCTGTAGAAATAGTAGGGGGTACGAAGAGAGCCCCTTCATTTGCGTTGCTCTGTCACAATATCAGTCCGAGGGTCACAACTTGGGGATTTAATGCAAAGCCCATACCCCGACAAGGATTCTCTTGCCATTAACTTTTTTAGCGAGTAGCTGTTTGGATGGGAGCTGCTTGATGAACGTGCCGTCTGTGACGGGTAGGAAGGCCCTTGGATATCGTTAGAACGAGACTGTGAGCGGGTCATAGAACGAGAGCAACCCAGAAAACGAGATCGACTGAGGGCAGCTGAACAAACGAGCGAACGATAGCGACTGAGAGTGACTGAGAGAACGAACGAAGGCAACAGAGAGTAACAAAGTATGATGATGAGATTATCAAAACGTACCAAGTGCCATATGTCTGGGTTGTCGATATTTGAGAGCTGGCTTGCTGAAGAGTCATAGAGTCTTTAGACAGGAGGCAATCAAAGACAGAACCCGAAGACGGACAGCCTGCGGCTACGGAGAAATCGTAAAACCTTTGCGTAGGGAAGGTTGCATCGTAGCTGCTTTGTGTCAGTTCGTGCTGCTGTCTTCGTATCATTGCAACCTACTTGTTTTGTACTGGCAAATATGGCGACGATACGATGGCCTTGGATAAATGTGAGTCTCAGTGTCAATCACCATCGAGCAATAGAGAAACCTACATTTTGAAAGAGTGCCGTTCCTGATGTGCCACCATTGGTTAATGCATGATACATAACCGATCCAGCACCAGCCGAATTCCCAGCAATGGTGACGCTGCAACTGTCCCCTCCGAACAGATGGATGTTCTTTTGAACCCATTTGAGAGCATAGTCTTGATCCAACAGGCCGGCGTTCACAACTCCCTTCCTCTTAACCTCCGCCGAGGACAAAAATCCGAATGCTCCGAGCTATGAGTGGCATGATTAGAACAGTAACGGAGAATTTCTCAAATGGCACAATATTGCACAGCGCCCCAGCCTTGAAACATGAGATTAATAGCGCCCGACTTACCCTGTACTGTAGAGCGACGACAACAAAGCCATTGTTATTTGCGGCAATGATCTCAGTCATGTCCTGGGAAGCATCCCCATAGCCGTAGCCCCCGCCATGGATCCAAACCAAGACGGGCTGTTTAATGGCATTTGACGGAGCATAAACATTGAGGAAGAGACAATCCTCATTTCCAGGAATGAAGGGGGCATTCGGCACTGATGGATAATTTTGCGGGCAGATTGGACCAAACTCTGTGGCTGGAGTGATGGTACGATTGGTGACGGGAGCCCGAGGCGCTTGCCATCTAAGGGGGCCAATGGGAGCGGCGGCGTACCGGATTCTATCATACCATTAGATGAGTGTTATTACTGAAGTTTGTGCAACGATCGGTAATGAGAGGTTCACAAAATAGCGAAGAGAAAATCGAATCGAATCGAAGTGAGAAAAGCAGTAACTGACCCCTTCCATGTGTTCAACTTTGCCGATGCATCAAAGGCGCCTGTATATACGGCGTACCCCAAGTCTACTTGAAGTGCTGGATATTGTTGAATGAGACTTGCTGCAGAGATCGAGCTCGGAAATGCAGCAAGTAGAAGAATGGGGCCAAGAAAATGCATGGTTATTCCTTGCCACGTGGCTTCCAAAGAGGCTTCCAAAGTGAATGATGAAAGACCTTCTATTATGGAACGACGGGCTTCAATCCGATGGCCAAACCACAACACAATGTTTACCCAAAATTTGCGGGGTTTAGATCTGCGGCGGTCGAAGCTTTTAAAGACTTCATTTTGCGGAGTCCAGTTCGTGTCAATAGCGGATAATGCTATAGATAGAGTGTATAATTAGCATAATACTGCACGTAGCATCGGGTATAGTTAGAACCGAGCGATCAAGGTCTTTATGACAAAGATATACACGCGCGCGTGGAAGCAGGTACAGTGTTTATGGCACTTCCCCTGTCGCTGGCGAATCGGTTATTCTCAACGTTGGATTGGCATCCCTTCGGTCCGGATATTATCATCCTGGCTAGACCATGTACGGCCCGGATGATTAGCCTGCAATATCGAAGTGTTGGAAGACGCTTGGATGTCTGATATGTATATTCAATAATGCGACGTAGCAATTTGTAAGGCATCATAATTCTAGTAAACATGTGATAATGGAATCCTTGATGTCTTCATAATTATGCGTTAGCATTTTGTAGGTCGCCATAAATTGAGTAATCATGTGATGGCACCCCTGGCTTTTGATCATTATGCTTCATTATATCGTGGTGCTATAGATGTCCTATCGTACTAATTCTCTTGTACTTTCAGCTCTTCCGCCGCTCCCCTTGAAGCCGTTGTTATATCCATCTGAATCCTCATCCCCACGCCAAAAAGTCTGCTCAACATCACGGCTAATATTTATGCGCGTAGTGGTGTTGGCTGGGGCAACTGGAGGGGGTTTCTCCAATCGACCAAACCCCCTCCACGCGCCACTCTCTTGAACTTCATTCCTTGAGCCAGATCGGCCAGATCGGGCCCCATTTGACCTGATTGTAGTGGAAGGTGCAGATTTGTTATCTCCGAGCTCGATGAATGGCGGGTGTGTTTTCGAGGTGCGCCCTCCGCTCCCGTAGTCGGGTGTGCCAAAGATACGTGGGACGATGCGCACAAGGACGGGCCGAATCGCTGGAGCACAGGCGCAGATAATTCCCACGTTTACCTCGATACATGACCAGTATGCGGTTTCGGGCGAGTACCAAGTTGTATCCTCAGGGTGCTGGTATAATACAACGAGCGCCTGGAGACGGAGTATCGACACAAAGCAGACGCTGTAATTGATTAGCTGTGAAACGGATATGGCGTGCATATTGTGAGACAGGCAAACTTACAACCAACCAAGGGCAAGGACGGCCATGAGCGCGATCTTCTGTCGAATGTCGATCTGTAGCTTCCAGACCGAGTAAATGGGTAATGTTGCAATAGTGAGGTCTATCGCAATGTTGAGGCCACCATTAGCATAGTAGACCCTGTGGATGTCAGCTTGCTGCTTAAGGGTAGTGGGAATGCTGCTCACTTGTCTTGTGGTAGGCAACGCGACGTAGCTTGAATCTTCAAATCCCAGTATGCACGCACTGGCGTGCAAGTAAATATCCCGATTGTAACCGATTCAATCCCGTATGACACGACCACAGCCATCATTATAAGTGTTGCAAAATGCATGAGCTTGTTGACACCGAAAATGCGCTGCAGCTGGAGAAGAATGCTAATTTTCGTAAGGGTGATGGCCATGCAGTAGGCCAATATGCTGAAGTAAAGATACTATAATGATGGTTAGATGCGGATGAACAGCAAAGGGGTGTCGGACAAGAATAACCTTCAGAATGCCTATAAAGTTGTCGAGCTCCAGAAGCGCAGCATGACGGCCATTGCCATATTTGACCTCTGTAAAATCAGCGTATGCCCTTTGAAAATTCATCGATAGAGTCTCACGTTCAATCATGCAGGCTGCCATTCCAATTGAAAGTATCTTGAATAGAGTCAGCACAAAGCTCAGACTCGACACACAAGCCTCTCACCATTGCAACACCGATTGTATAATCCTCCGCACTCCCCCTCTTAATAATCGCAAATCGAGAGACATATCTCATGCAAACGAAGAAAAACGACAAAATAGTGAAAAGTATCACCACAACAAGAGTTGTGGGACCTTTCGATTCTGCATCAAGGGCTGCCAGTTGTTCAGGTGAGAAGTCCATGCTATTGCCCTCACAGGAACAGCAAGAAGCAATAAGTTTCAATCGCCTGGAACTGATATGATGGTGGAAGCTATGACTAGATAACTCATATGTTCCAAAGGTGATACCAGCTCAAGGCTGCTCCCTGAACGGGAGCGAGCCAAGCGGTTCATCTTATAGATCACGAAACTCTGGTCAGAGCTCGTTTTCACGCCCTGTGCGCTCGGACTGGATTCCCTGTTAGCCACCCGCCGTCACAAGCGATGCATTGGGAAATAATGAATGCCAATCCGCTATGATCATAGATATCCTGGACGTCAAAGCGGAGGCACGTACCGACGTTGCTTGCAATGTCTCAAAATGAAAACCAACATTTCTCCATAGTCGTATAGCCAGGTCGGGCGACGGGTAATGTATATTTTGATATCACCCGCCCGGCTCAATAGGAATTAGCCAATAGCCTTGTGGTACGCTTTGACAGTTCGGTTGCAACCGAACTGTCAAAGCGTACCTTTCAGCCTGACCACCGAAACTGGGAGTGATCCGAAATAGGAGCTGTTGTCCTGTCCCTTTTATCCCAACCATGTCTGTAATCCATGTCAGTATGGAACAGAAGTGTTTTACAAGGTAGAAGTGAGGTGAAGTGATGAATAGAACTGGGGTGAGAAGTTGGTTGCTGGCCAACTCGTTGTTGGGTGTGTACAACAAGCAAGTGTCAGAGGTCTTTAGCGCAATCGAAACCAATTCTAAGAATACTGTCCCTGTCGTACAAATACCATGCATAGCAGACACAGATCCGTCTCGAACTTGGCCTGAAACGAAGATGCTGAGGTTCAACAGTGAACACATTTGGACTTCCCCAGAGAAGGTGCGGAGTAGAAAGCACCGTGTCATCTGGTATCGGAAACGGCGTCAAATAGTTATTGCTATAGCTGCTGATGTTATACATTGTTTGCTTGCGTAGCTTTGGGATCGAAATATAAGCAAAGCGGGTGTCGCTCATCACTTGCTGTGCGCTAACTCGGAATTCGGCGTCGGAGAACGAATTAAGCTTCGGCGTGACGTGTGCGCTCCTATTGGCTGTGCTGGACCGAATGAATTATCGCGAGCTCTAATTGGGTGGGTTTGAGTATGGCAACAGCGCTTTGTAATCGGAAGGTTCGGAGGACTATTCTGTTGCCTCAAGCTTTACACGAAATATGTATATATATTTGTATTTGATAATTTATTATTGCCGAGTCTACTATCCAATATACCTCTTCGATATTAACCTATAGTTTTGTCGCATCGCTGGTGTTAAACAGTGCCTACGTTGACGACCCCGTTCATTATCTCACATTCTGGCAAACAAAGCAGAACTGGATTCCTCAACTTCATATTCCCCCCTTCCCACGCCAAAACGAGGACGTCTTAGACGCTTTCTACCTACCCTATTTACCTACAAACAAACTTCTAAAATGACGACCTTCGATATCGAGATCGTATCGGACGTGGTCTGCCCCTGGGTTCGTGTCTCCCTCATCCGCCCATCCTTTCATACCTGACAAACAATAGTGCTACATAGGCTACCGTCGTCTGCAAAAAGCAATAGCCATGTACCGCAAAACCTACCCCGACGGATCCAAGGATACCTTCAATATCACGTGGAAGCCCTACTTTCTCGACGAGAACCCCCCCGCTACTCCGGTCTCCCGATGGGGTAAGTCATGCTTCCTCATCCCGACAAAGGCCTATCACTAACCAACTACCCAGAACGCATGCTTGTCCGCATTGGACCCGAGCGTGCCCCCGCCATAGCGGCGCGACTGAAGGGCATCGCCGCCGGGGAAGGGATCCTCCTGGCAGATGACGGCGTAGTGGGCGGCACGGCGCTTTGCCACGTGCTACTGCACCTCGCTGGTACCATCAGCCTTGAGCAGCAGAACAAGGTGGCCGAGGAGCTATTCCATGCCTACTTTGTGGAGGCGAAGGATATTTTCAACGCACCCAGTTTGGTGGAGATCGGAGTTGCAGCGGGGATGGATAGAGGTGCCGTTGAGAAGGGCTTGGAGGATGGAAAGGCGCTGGAGGAAGTGAAGAAAGAGGAGCAAGAGAATAAGGCCAGACGAGGCAGAGGTGTGCCGCGGTTTTATCTAGGGGGTAAGACGATCGAGGGCGCGAAGGACATGGAGGAATTTTTTGAGGTGTTCCTCCAGATCAAGGAGGGGAGAGACGAGCTGCCATGAGGAGGCTGCGCAAGATCAGTTCCGGAGGCAGGAAAATAATAGGTATAGTAGTTCTGAGGGATGATTGCTGTTCCACTAATTAGCTTCTGTTTCCATTTTACAGTTGAGTGGCAACGGAGTTTACCTTGCGGGCGCATGATGGCCCTAGCCAACGCCTGTGTCCCTTCCTGTTTCCTTGTCCATGCCCACACCCATTTTAGCCCTTACTGATGCCTCTACTTAAGAAATCTCGGCCTCCATCCGCGCGACGAATTTGATATCTGACTCCTGCTCCCCCTAAAACCGTCTTCAAACCATGCATGGCACATCCTCGGCACAATTGTTCGAAGCTCCAGCCGAATGGTGGCTGAAGCCAGATCCAAATGTTGTGTACGCATGCGACAGGACTTCGCCGCTCGCGCATGTTCCAGCCTATGACTACGAGCCACTACGTGGCCCTTCAGCTGAAAGCCGAATTTGCTGTGAACTACCTGAAATACGGCCACACAGCGCCATCAGAAAATTTGTAGACTCATGGCGTATATGGGACTTGATCCTCGCGTGACGTCGTAATCCACAACCAACTTCAACAAACGGCCTCCTCTGTCGAAAATTCGTGTCCATGCCATCTCCCTTCAACACAAGCCTTTCAAACTTGCCATCACACCTCTCAGCGAGTCAACGCTCCCACACCCTCCTTCTGGCCTCTCTTCCTCTTCTTCCTGCAACATCATCCTTAGCACCTCATTGCCCATCACCTTGCCTAGCAATCCTCCCTCCCCGGCACTGCCCGCACCCACGCCGAGCTTCCCCTCTATCTTCCCTAACATATCCTCGCTGACCTGCAGCAGAATCCGGATCTGCATTCCAATCTGCCTCTCCATAGCAAACCCAGCAAGTTGCAACCCAGGGAAGATTGGTGGAAGCGCGTTCCAGGTGGGAGGAGGCAGAGGGAGTAGTGAGATGTAGATGCAACTAAAGATTGTGCGGAATATGCGGACTAGGCTTATATAGCACGTCAGGAGGGAGAAAGTTGTCGGGACATCGCAGTGGGCGGGGAGGGAACTGGTGGACAGGTCTGGTTCCAGACCCGAGGCAAGTGAGGTGAAGCGATCGGAATCGAATGGCGTGCCTCCATCATTCTCACAGCCAAGGGCCAAATCAAGATCTTCATGGGCCGAAATGGCCTCAGAAGAGCAACTTCTCTGCTGAAGCGATGGTTGTGGCAACGAGGGAAGAGAAAAATATTCTAAAATCCCAAGGTATTTCTCCGAGCTCCTGAGCACTTTGCCAACGGGGTGATCCGGCGCCACTCCATTCTCACTGGTCCTCTCGGCGGAAGAACGGGAACAATCACACTCATTTGCTGGTTTGGAGAGCTTAACTTCGTCAAGGTCTCGGAGTAAGCTTGCGTGGAGGTCGGCTAAGTTTTGCAGACAGCTTTTTCGATGGTCTTTTTTTAGAGATTGCGATTCAGTATCAATAGAATTTATATCATTCTGAGGAGCCTCTGTCCGTGTGTAGGATGTTGGTAATTCAATGTCGAAGTTGACAAAATCCTCGTCTGGACGATGTCCAGCAGCACCAAACGTAAAATCAAAATCGAATGGATCAGGGGTAGCATCGTGCAGGCGACCGCATTCATTAGCATCATCAACTGGGCCAATGACGCTGGATTCCAGTGGCTGCGCCTGGATATTTGTATTCTGCAGGAAGCCTTGGCTGTGAGAGGCATGCTCCGAGCCTCGCGAAACTTCTGGCTGGTTTCCGCTACCATCATCGTATCGGTCGTAAAGCTGTGCGGCAGGCAACTCTTCAACCGCCGCAGGAAGGATGCGACAAGGCATCTGATACTGGCTGCCATTTGAGCTACGTCTTTGGGCCGCCGCAATGGTCAGCGGCAGGCGCTGATTTTCAACACTAGGACCCAAAACTGGCCGCGGTTTACCTACCAGCACGCACTGAGCCATGGCCCTGGCGCATCTCTTGCAAGGCTGTGACACGGCCCCCAAATCTCTTTCACACCGCAGCTTGAATGCTCGACAACGGGCGCAGGCGGAACGGCGCGAGAATCGCTGAGATGAGCGTCCTGCAGGCTTGCTGCCTAGTGGCGGTTGCGGAGTATTGGAACTTGACGACATTATATCAATCGAGATGGCGCCTAGTTATTCTCAAGTGACACAATCCAGCTTTGCACCGGATATTATACACTGTCGTGTGTGGATAGAGAAGTGCTCCACGGAAGCTGTCAATTGAAGGTGCTCTTTGGCGATCCATGAACCGTGCGCCCAACACGCGAGCCATCGGATATCCTGAATATCACTCTGGACCGCCTCTCAAAGCAACCCCGCCCAATCAAGGATGTGGCTTCTTAATGTGAAGACGCGAGTTCTAGAGATAGCTATATATAAGCTACAGCTACTGCGAATACAGACTTGTATGAGAGTGACTGTGTACACACGTGCTATCTTGAGTTGCTGTAAATTTGATTCACACTCGTCAGTGATTAGGGATAGATTTTTGGAGTACAGTTCCTAGCGCATCACCTTGAGAAGAGAGACTGTTATTTCACTACGTTCGTACAGCATCTGTATCTCTTCATTCGTTTCATACTCACTCTTCCCTTTCCCTCCTCACGACTTGACATATTACAGAGCCAGACTCCGCGATGTACCATTTTGATAATAGATATTATGTTTCACTATATTATTGTATCAACCATCCCCGTCCATTTTGTAATTGCCCTACAGCTTTCCCCTCCCCACCAATGCCGCCTCGCCGTCGACAAGCACACACCACCCCTCACTACCGCCACCTCCCTCTCCTCCAACCGCAACACCGAAGTTCTCCTTTGCATACGCCATAACGTCACCATCGAAAGTTCCAGGCTGCAACCAGACCGCCGGCACACCGAGGCCCTTGGCCTCTTCCAAGACCTTCTGTGTGATCTTCGGGGGCGTGATGATCGAAACTGCTGTGGTCTTGGGGGAGGGCAGCGCGGACAGAGACTTGACGGCGGGGTGGTCGGCCGACAGCGCAGTGATTGTCGCGGCGGTGGGGTTGATAGGCGTCACAGGCAGGGACTCCGAGAGGTACCATGCGAAAACTGGTCGGAGGTGTTAGTATGGGGTGGACTCCAAGGGCTTTGGCCGAGCCGTAGCTGGGTGGTGGACAGAGGGCAAGGCCGTGGACTCACTCTTGTTTCCATACTTGGATGGGTCATTGGAAGCGCCCACAACAGCGAAGGTGGGCGTTGAGAAGAACGCACGCGCGGCAGCTTCTCCGGTTTTGGCGGCCATTGTGGATGATGACGTTCCGTCTTTGAGGCTAGGAGCTTGATTGCCGAGGTACAACGCTGTCGGACTGTGCTGGTTTGAAGCTTGCTTGAACGGAAGTGGTATGCGGTGAGTGAAGATGGAGGTTGGATATATCGTCGTCGACGGCTCGTGCAATGTTGTACTAAGAGCTGGTGATGGAGGTAGGCAGGGGTCGGCAGAGAGAGTGGGAGGTGGAAGTTAGAGTAAGGCGTGATGGCGGGGTTTGGCGGGGTTGATTGATGGTTGCTAATGTGGAGAACGGTCTTGGCGGGCGGCGCCGCCGAGACCATATCTCAACGACATATCAACAACACATCAACACGACAAACACAGAAGATGCAAATGTGACTTGACCTAGACTAACAAATACAAGCAACTGCGAGAATGTCTACTGTGACTAAACATAAATAAGCGGAATATCTAATATGAAGTCCATTACCCCTATTGTCATGGAGTCCGACACAGCCAAAACCCAAGGGGCATACAATAGCTTCCTGAACCTTGTAAATTACCTACGTCTTTTCGATGATTGACCCACTGCTAAATTCTTTGGCATTGGCTTTTGTCTAGACAAGTCGGATGCATACTGTCGCCGCGCTGGCCCAGAAAGGGGCGGTGTCAGAACTTCCCTCGGTTGAATCTACAGACTGATAAATTGTCACGCCTTGCGCCTTCGTCACCTCTTAATATTGTGCCAATAGTTTACCTTGAAAATTTAGGTGTCAAATCCTAGATATAGGGCACTTGACTTGAGCAGTGACCTTAGCTTGCAGATCACGGATTGATCAACAATTGTCAGTGACGCTGAGGTAAGAACAGTAAGATGGCTCGCCGCCTCAAGAGGAATAACACTCTGCCACTGGGGCATCTCCATCGACCTCGCCATCCCCCCCAACAAAATAGTCTGTATTAAAAATCAAGTCACGTCTTTTCATGTCCGCGCAGCGCCACATGCTCGCTGGTCGTTATAAATCTGCTTCGAGGTAAGAAAAATATAGGGTAGCGTAGCAAGGATAGGAAGTGTTATAACGTACATGTATAACGAGTCGGCCACCCAAGCGAGTCGGCCACTTTCCACCGTTTCTACCACCTTCAACTTTGCAACCATTTCCCTCTACATATAAAAATGGAATCCACTTCAAACGAAAGCCGTATAATCCTAGCGATTGAAGCTCTTAAAAACGACCCTAAGCTTACCGAACGAGCTGCAGCAAGTATCTATAATGTTCCCCGGACAACTTTAGCTGACCGACGCGCTGGAAAACTATCACGACGCGATATGACTGCAAATGGGAGGAAATTGACTAATCTTGAAGAGAATGTGCTTCTTAATCGTATTATCGATCTCATTGAGCGAGGATTTCCGCCCCGGCTCGAAGACATACAAGATATGGCTAACCGCCTCCTTGGGGTACGCGACGTGACGCGTGTCGGCTCACGATGGGCAGGGAACTTCGTACGACGCTAACCAGCCCTTAAGATGCATTTTCGACGTCGAATTGATTATCAGAGGGCCCTAGCTGAAGATCCTGAGATTATACGAGCTTGGTTTGCGCTTGTACGGAATACAATTGCGAAATACGGTATTGTCGACTCGGATATCTATAACTTTGATGAGACTGGGTTTTTAATGGGGATGCTCTCGCATGCTAAGGTTGTAACAACCTCTGATCGACGTAATAGACCTCGTACGAAGCAGCCTGGCAATCGGGAATGGGTTTCAGTAATCCAGGGTATATGTGCAGACGGCTGGGCGATGCCGCCATATATCATTGTGAAGGGCAAATATCACCTCCTCTCCTGGTATACCAACGGCCAATTCCCATCTACCTGGCGGATCCATCCGAGCGAAAACGGCTGGACTACAAATGAGATAGGCCTAGATTGGTTGAATCACTTTGAGGGATGTACTAAGCCTCGTACAACTGGTGGATATAGGCTTCTAATCCTCGACGGCCACAACAGCCACCGGGCTACTGAATTCGACGATTTCTGCAAGCTGAATAATATTATACCGCTTTGTATGCCTCCTCATTCCTCGCATATCCTCCAGCCTCTTGATGTAGGCTGTTTTAGCCCATTAAAAGCTTCGTATAGCAAGGCAATTGAGCAGATGATGCGGAGGCATATAACTCATATTACGAAAGACGACTTCTTTCCTGCCTTCCAGCAGGCCTTTTTTGCTTCAATGGGAGAAGATAATGTACGAGCTGGCTTCCGAGCAACTGGCCTTGTTCCGTACGACCCTGAAACAGTAGTTTCTCGCCTGGATTTTAAGCCTAGAACGCCTACGCCGTCAAACTCTCAGCTAGGAACTCCTACCTCCTGGTGTCTAAAAACGCCAACTACAGCAATTGAGGCTGTACAAAGCTCTACTACCTTGAAATCTAGGATTGCTAGGCATCAGAGTAGCTCTCCAACTCACCTATATAACGTAGTTGATGCACAGGCTAAAGGTATCTCAATGCTAGCACATAGACTAGTCCTCCTTGAAGCTGAGAACCGGGAGCTTTGTATAGCAAATGACCTACTAAGTAAACGCCGGAAGGCTAAAAAAAGCCGCCTACAGCTTGGAGGATCACTTTCGGCACCTGAAGCAGATGCGATACGAATAGAAAAGGGTGTGGTTGACGCTATAGGGGAGAATATATGTAGGGGGGGAAGTCGTATAGAGAGGGCTCAGCTACGTACTCGGCGCTGTGGCAACTGTAGCCAAACTGGCCATAATTCGCGAACTTGTCAAGTAGTTTGGGAGACGTCCGAAGATGGGGATTCTGAGTAGTTTCAATTGATTTAAGGCGTTGTTGTTGAATTGATTTATATACTATATATGTGGTCGGTGGAAAGTGGCCGACTCGCTTGGGTGGCCGACTCGTTATACATGTACGTTATACAAAAATACAAAAAAACATTAACTCCCTTCGATCTTAATGTTACGCTGAGAAAGTATAACGAGGAGCTTTGTATGATCTACCTCTCAACGTCCCATCCCGCAACGTATCATCCAGGCAAAGAATTAGCCTTAAAAAATCCGTATATTCCCAAACCCCTATTCCCCTTATCTTATAATTCATAACTCCCATTATTCCCGCCTCCTATTCCCCCTGCTCGCCCAACACCCCCCCCCCCCCCCCCCCCCCCCCCAAAACGCGCTCCCATCAACCTCCCATGCCTCGAAGACAGAACTCCCATGCCAATCTCCAGGTAATAACAGCAGGCAGGTAACCGACGCTGACGCCCCTCCCTCTGCGTAATTTTCCAGGCGTTTCATATTGCATCTGCACGCCATCCATATTTCCTAAGACGATAAGTTGATGCTCCCCAGGAGGGCAAGCAAGACGCCACAGCTCGGATCAAAAAGACATAAAAGTGCCTGCAACCCGCGCATGAAATGCGCGAACGTCGGAGACCAATGAGCTGACATCGGTTCACGCAGAACGCCATTTGCACCAACAACAACAACAGGGGAACTAGTGATAGCAGCAGCGCAAGCAGTGGCAATGGGCTCATTTCTTTCCACTTCGAGAAGCAGTTGCGGTGACGACAGCAGGGTTACTAATGACAGCAACAGTGGAAGTAGTGACAAGAGCAGACAGGTAAACGACAGCTGTAGCGCAAGCGGTGACAGCATTTCGCAACGACAGCAACACACCTATACGTGTCGCCCACGAACCCCCCCCCCCGGACCATCCTTTTCTCTAAGCATACAGGTGTCATTAGACAACGGGTCGTTGGCCATATCATCGACTTTGTTGTTGAGTGTGCGTATCTCACTGACGGCATCGCGCAATCCCTCAACAGTTGTCTCGTTTAGTTCAGCCCTAATAATGCGTCGGAGGAACGCCTCTCATTGGTCTGGAACGTCACAAAGCATAGTCTTTAACTGGGTCCTGCTCGCAGGTTCTAGATATGGGTGATATCAGCATGTCTCTGCTCTAATCTAGCCTCCGTCATGCTTATGTGCAGTTCAAGGGTGAACAATCTCTAGCGACAGACGATGCAATGGCAAGCTCACAAATCCCTGTCACACAGTTACTACGAATATGAATACGTGGTGTACTTCAGCCAAAACTCCAGCTCGTATCAGGGGGGGTTATATACCCATCACAGAACTCGCATGAATCCCATCATCCCATCCTAAGAACTGTGAATCCAAGCAACTGTCGTGAAAAATTCGTATATTTATAAAAACCCCTATCATATAACCCACCTCATTACCCCTTGCTCCCCCCCCCTGGGCCATTTCCCCCTTCCCCCTCCCCCCTCCCTCGCATCTCAGGTCCCTAAACCCACACCCTCCCATACATACCCCCGACCCCACCAGCCCCAAAGCGTCATCAGACAACAATTATAGAGGGCCAGACAAAGGTTATCTGAGTCAGCTAGCCAGCTTGTTAGTGTGTGCTGATACACGGGATGCTATGTGTGATGTCGGTGTTGAAGAATGGTCGTGTTGGGGATGTGTAAGAGTGGGGGAGGGGGGGTGATGACAGCGATAGGGAAACGGCAGTGACAGGGCACTTAACGGCGGCAGGAAGGCAAATGACAGCATCAGGAAGCCAAGCGGTGACAACAGTAACCAGTCAAACGACAGCAACACTCCAAGCAGTGACAGCATTTCGCAACACCAACAGCAGCAGCAGCGCAAGCAGATGGCCGCCAGCTGCCTCTCCTCGTCCTCGTGATGCATCTACGTCCAGTTAGCCGTAGCCGCCAACTCCTCTCTGCTTCCTCCCGCTGAATTTTGTTCTGTCTGTGTGTTGCTTTGGCCTCTCTGTGTGACTTTCTTTTATCCACGTGGTGCTAAGACCAGGACCTTGAGAATTCCGTTTTCGTAGTTGAATGGAGATTATTAGGCTGGCGTTTGGAGACTGGACTTGTATGATGGGAGAGCCGTGCTTTTTGATATAGACGCACAGGCATGGATCCTATCCCATCCCATCCCAACACCCGCGCAAGAAACCGCAAGAAGAAGCCAGCGTGAATTTGTTTTTGTATTTTCCGAAGTAAATCCCCATCATATAATCCCCTCATTGCCGGTTACCCCCTCACCCCATTTCCTACCCTCTCCCCTTTTCCACACTCCCTACCCCCCACTTCTCTACACCCCCCACTTCTCAAGAGCAGAATCTCCACGCCCACCCCTCCCCCCTTCCCCCCCCCTTTCCCTCTCTCCCAGATCCTCCGCCCCATAAATAGGTATTCACCCCACTAAAGCCCCGGCCTCACCACAACCACAACCGCAAGATCCACAACACCGCACAGCCGTCATCGTCAGAACGGATCGAGTTATGAGAGTCACAGTCACATTCTCACCACCCTCGTGCGTGCCGACGAACGATGTAAGTCTCCACCATGAACCATATGTGTTTGATCATCAACACCCACAGAGACCCGTGACAGAAACATCATCCATACGAGGGACTGTGCGGGAGATGTTGAAGAACAACTAATACATATCTAGGGAACAGATCACGATCGCCGAGACAACCTTGAACCAGAGGACGCCAACAACAAAAAGCGCAAGGCCGACGGCTCGGCACACGAGATGCGGGCGTGTTGAAGACTGCTGATCATGCTGACGATGACGGAGGGTGGTTAGAGGGGCTGTGATGACAGCGATGGTGACAGGGCGGCACTCGACGACAACAGGACTACCTCGTAACGACAACAGCACCCCACCTAATGACAGCAACAGCACCCCGATCAGCGACAACAGCAGCGTGTGCAAACGACAGCAGCACTCCCAACGACGACAGCACCCCCCAACCAGCGACAACAGCATTCCCCACCTCCAACAGCAGCACCACCCCAACCAGTCCTCCAACCATCTGTATCCGCGTGCAGCCACGCAGTCGTCCTTCGAACTTCCAACAATGGAGCTCTAGATGGGTTGAGTACTCATGAGCGCAGTGGATGCGGCAACAAGGCCGTCTAATGGTTGTAGTCGAGGGTGATCGACTCATGCGATCCTCAATTCAGGCCACTTACTGGGGATTCAAGTGGGATCGGGAAAGACTGCTATAAGTAGGTTGAATTTGTGGGATAGTTGTAAAAAAAGGGGGGGGTGTATATACACGCCACACCACACCATGCCCACACACCTGCACGAATCCCCATCCCATCCCTAAAACCCAGGAAAGAAAAATATAACCCCCTCATCCCTTATTACCCCTTATTATTTTCCCCCCCCCCCCCCCCCCCCCGTTTTTTCCCAACTCCCCTTTCTCTCTTTCCCCGTTCCCCCATTACTCCCCCCTCCCCCCCTCCCTACCCTTACTCCCTCCCTCCCTCCCCTATCTCCCCCACTTTCCTTACTCTCTTCCCCCGTTCCACCATTACCACTCTCTCTTCCCTCCCACCCTCCCTCCCCTCCCCCTTCCCTCCCATCCCCCATCCCCCATCCCCCATCCCCCATCCCCCATCCCCCATCCCCCTCCCCATCCCCATCCCCATCTCCTGACTTCGACCACCTCCCTTAGTAAAAGTAAACACCAGACCAGACGACTATAAAGCGCCCCACCAAGCAGCACGTAGCATAGCTCGACAAGAAACATTGAACATGGATTAAGCAACTATCTATATAGTGTGCGAAGCTCGGCCGGTGGGTTGGAAAAGGAGAAGGAGAAGATAAAGGAGTGGAACAAGGAGATGGAGGAGTGGTCGGTGTTGGAGAGTGAGTTGAGTGGGTGCGCGGTTTCTGTGTCGTGGATAGGGTGTGGTAGGTGAAGTGTGAGGTGGGAGGTGCTGTCGGGGGCTTCTCACCGTCGAGGAAGTCTGCTGTCATTGCTTTCTCGCTGTCATCAGCGCCTCTCTAGCGCTTCTCCCGGCTGCCACTTTAGAGGAACCGCGTTCCACCGATAACGACGCTGGTAGCTAGGTGTGCGCACCCCACACAGATGGCCTCTGGAGGCCTAGTTTTGGGAGATCAACTGGCATTGCGAAGTTGAGATCTGTAGACGACGGGGCGCACCGCTGGATTATATAGAAACACTTGATGCACGGTTTCATATGTGCGGGGGATATGTGGGGGATGGGTGGAGTTTGATAAGGTTGATATGGAGAGGGGAGAAGGGAGAGAAGGCAAGTATGGATGGATGGGACGGAGCGGATGAGGGAGTGTGGTCTATGAAGGTTAGTTAAAATGCTGAAATAACCCCCTTTTTGTCTTCTTTCTCACGTTATCTGCTCCTATTCGACCATCTCATCCCGCATTACTCCTCCCTTCCTCATCTCCCCACTTTCTAGCATTTCCCCCGCGAGCTTAGCGACGGTGTACACGTATATATAGCATCCTCAGCACTCACGGAGCACAGCACAGCCCAACGCAAAACGGAAAAACCTACCATAATTTCTTTGGGGCATAAATCAGCTGGGGGGATGAGCGGGTTTGATGTAGTTGGGGAGGGAAGTGGGTGGCTTGTGGTGGTTGTGCTGTCGGGGTTCGAGCTGAAAGGGGTTCTCGCTGTTGAGGTCATGTTGTTGTCAGTAGATTCCTGTCGTCGCCTCCCTTTTTCGTCACAAGCACCCCCCTGCCTCTAAAAAGCCTACCACAGGGACATGCATAGCAAGATCGCATATTGTGACAGAGCGGAGACTCGGTATTCTGCCATTAATGGACTTTGTGTGTGCGAATCCATTTTGTTCGCAATGTTGAAATTGATGAGGTCCACTGGAGAACTGCCGTCAAGCAAGTAATTGGTAGGCTTCGCATTGATCTTCCGTTGCGACTGATTGAATGTAACACACACTGTAAAAACAAAGTTGGGGCAAGTCATACCGGTAATCGAGGTCGAGTTAAAGTTCTATATATAGTATGGTGAAGCTGAGGCTCCCTATCGCTCTACTATAAGTTACAGGACCCAAAGCTGCATTTCCCGTGTCTGAGTTTCCGCGGACTATCTCACTTGCACGCAGTCACTTAGGTGCCGATGTTGACGTATGTATGTAGAGGAGGAGATGGAGGGTGATCAATCTCGGTGGCACATCTTCACGGCCAGAAACGTCGAAGACTTTCTCTTTTGCGTTGGTCTCTATCATCATACCCCCGTGACGCTAGTCTCCCATACCCCTTCTTCCGTCGCCAGTTTCTCACCCCTGTCTAACCGTCACCAGTCTCCACGTCCCCTAAACAGCATCGTACTGTCCCTACCAGCTCTACCCTCTGATCAGCGCCTCTCATCTTTACTCCGGCCCCGTGGTTCTCGACGGGTATAACCCCACTAACAAGGGCGTGGCATCGCCAGTGTCCCGTCCTAATAAAGAAATCATAATCTAGCATGAAAAAATACAATCATATATTAATTTCCCACCTTGTGACCATTTGGGCCGAAAATGCCGTGCCCATAGGCAAATTTATGAGCGCGTTGGTAAATCACCCCATATGTTTGATAACACTGCCAGTGATGCAACTGTTATAAGCATCTTAACTAAGGGGGGAGATGACGGGGAGGTGGTGTGGTAGAGTGAAGGGACATATTACTTTCATGACTAGACGCTCCATGGTGTGGGGAGGACAGTTGGGACCTCTGCTTATACATCTATCTCGTCGGTCCCCTAAAATACAGATATAGAGGGGTGGAAGCCGTCATAGCGATAGAGTTAGAATATGATACATAATGAAGATGAAACAGAATAGACACTGAGAAAGAATTGTAATCCATGCAAATTATCTAAAGTATCTCAAGTCCTAGTTATCTACTTCCGGCTGGTGGTATATAGTAATTGTGGCCGCAGAGGAGAATTCGACTTGCTTAACCTTTCCTGCCATAGTGCTGGTGTTGTTACTTTGCGTGGTGTGAGGTTTGGTTGTTGTTGAGATTGACTAGTGTTGACTAATAATCGCCTGACTACACTACTGTTGCTTCCTATTTCCAGTTGCCGTCTCACTCTCCGTCGTCGTTTTTAATTTTACGTTGGGCGAGGGTTGACTATTAGATTCGGCATACTGGATACAGGGAATATGGTATACCAATATAGTGCAGTTTCTGGCATCTTTTGTCATGGGGGGGGGGGTGGATGAAGATAGGAGTCACGGAATAGAGTACTACTCATCGAAGAGGAAACAGGGTATATGCTCAAAGTAATTCATAATCCATGCAATCATCTAAAAATCTCAAAGCATCCCCGTCTACCTCCCAAACGCCACATAAGCTCCTTTGCACAACCCCTTTCTCACATCCCCTCACACCCACTATACCCACTTCTGCACTGCAACCCCCCCTCTCTTAAACTCCTCCAACTCTCCCAACACTGCGCTCTTGTCCGTGTGATCCTTACTTGGGAACGTCGTCGCGACCACCCACGCGCGCGTACTGCTATCCGGGCTCGCCCTGGCGATAAAATCATACACATCCCCAATGCTGTGCGTAGTGTTGAAGCGCGCGGGAAGGCGCGTACCGTCCGCGAGCTGGATGCGGAGGGAGAGCGTCGGGAGTGCGGGGTTGACCTCGACCTGCGGGGCCTGCGAGGCGGGTTGTGCGCTTGACGGACCAGCAGAGGTTTGGATGGACGTAGATGCAGTAGAGGTTTCTGCACCTGGCACAGGCGACCCGAGACGCTGTCCTCCACCCGAGAAAGGCTTGTATACGGTCTTTGGCTTCTTATAGTCTTCCTCGTGCCTGTTGAGCTGGACATCTACTGGCTGGTCATATGCCACGTTCATGAGGTGGATAGGCGCGCGGCCAGATTCGATGACGGCGAGGTCGGCGGCGTTCTGGGGGTCGTCGAAGCGGTGGAGGGGCCCGTCTTCGATGCTGAACCCGTCGTTCCAGAGATGCAGGATGCGGCGCTGTGGGGTGGCGGGGGCGGCGGCAGGGGTGGCGGAGGGGAGGACGGTAGAGGGCGTCGTGGAGTCCCCGAGGGTTATGCCAGAGCCGTGAAAGCGCGATGGAGGTGCTGGGGCGGGGTCGCTCTCGGCGCGGGATGCTTGTCTGGAGGGGAGTTAGCTGGGCTCGGGAGCTTGCTGAAGGTGGGGGTGAGGGGTAGTGGGGGGACGTACGATTTAGCCTTCTTGATAATCTCGTCGACGAGGTTGCGGGGGTCATTGCGGCGGGGATCTTGGACCGCAAGGCCGGATTTCTCGCCGCCAGCAAAGAGATCGCGCGGCTGCTCGTCGTCGTGGAAGTCTGGGTCGTCGGAGTCGTCATCGTCGTGGCCGTGCTGGGCGGAGTCACTGGCAATGGAGCCTAGCGTCGCGATTCCGGAGCGGGGAGCTCGGCGGGGTGGGCGCGAGCTGGATGCTACTGTTGGGGTTCTGGATTCGGGCGCAGGACGGCCGTCGAGTGTTCGTGGGCCGGTGTATTCTTCCGGCGCGGGGGCGCCACCTTCGGCTTCGGCAGGGGCATCTTCTTGCGAGGCGTAGAATGTTGCCGCAGCGTCATCAAGATCCCAGTCGCTGGAGATTAGGAACTGCTCCGCCTGGGACGTGTTAGTGGAAGGGAAAAAGAGGTGAGATTGGGGTGAGGTTGAGACGCACCTCCTGCGGGTCAGCGCCAGTGATGCCCGAGAACTGGGCGATGAGGGCGTTTTTGTCGGTGGGGTTATCCGCCATGATGACGGTGGTAGGGGTTGAAAAGGCTGTTGTGTTACGTTGCAGTTATCACTGATAGATGCCAAGTTTCGTTGTTGAATGAAGCAGTAGACCAGGATTTGTTAGTGTGAAATGTGTTATGTTGAAAGATTGAATTTCCTGGGACCTGATTATCAAACGTTCCAACTTGCAAGGCAGCTTGGGCGGCACGTCACGACGCTAGCTTTATCGATAGCACGTCCCGCCTCGGATCTTAGGCCAAGACAGCCGAACAGGTTAACCCGCGTTTATAGCAACGACCATGATAGCTCTGTTTTGATAGCTTTCAACCCAATTGCCAATTCTACTCTTCACCACTGCCAGAGCAAAAGCTTGAGCTTTCACATACGCTATCCGCGAAAGCTCCTCTCTTCCATTTTCGCGTCCCCCATCCATCTCGACATGGCTGACCAAAACCCCCTCGCCGATTCCGGCATCACCATCCGATCCGACAGCGAGCAATACTCCAACTCTGGCCCAGACGACCTCTCGATGTCCCCATCGCCGCCCTCAACATCCAGCTCTCCGCTGATTCTATACTCGCCGCCTACGTTCTGGAGCTTGGCAAGGGGCGCGGCAATCAACCTGTTCTTGCCATTCATCAACGGGCTCATGCTCGGGTTTGGGGAGCTGTTTGCGCACGAGGCGGCTTTCAGGCTGGGATGGGGCGGAACGAAGGTATGTTTATATTTTATATTTATGCGTGGCGGCCAGTTTGTAAGCAGGGAGTTGGCTACGGGGATGATCATTGCAGCTCCCTGGACTGGCTCAACCACATAAATAGCTACTTCAACTACCACGCGCGAGAGGTATACTAACATGACCTAGGTTTTCCCTAGCTCGCGGAATGCAAGAGCCATCGGCCCCGGTATCGAGATCCGCGACAGCCCGGAAGAAATCGAGAGGGAGCGAGACATGGACAGGTTGACCAGCCTGGAATGAACGCATAATTGGCCCGGCGGCTGGTGAAATCCAGCTAGCACCGCGAGCACAAAAAATATATCATACGGGCGGGCGTTTGGAGTTTAAGAGAATGGGGTTCTTGATATTATAATGGCATTTGAGCATAGGATGCCATATTTTGTACATACAGGCTACGGGCTGGATGTTACATAGAGTACCACCCGTTCTGAATACTACTTTTACCGAATGGCTGGCTTCTTATTTTGATCTCTAATCTCATTTTGTCCCGCCAACCCGCACGTCCTGGGAGCTCGCCAAGTAACGCCCGCTCCCGCATGCCAACGCGTTACATATCCGTCGACAACGTCCTGCAAAACTCCTCCGAAATCCCCTCCGGACAAGCGCGCTTGCCTCCTCATGCTCGGACAGCGCGACCGGGCGTGCAACGTAGCATGTCTGCTGCGAATGTATCACCCGGGACGCGAACGTCTCAGTCTCTCGTCGGAACGAGCTGGACCAGACGTTGTGAGCATGGCTACTTATTCGGACGTGAAACCCTACGCCTCGAGACTACAGCCTGCTTCACTGACTATAGGAGCGCTGTGTATTTGCTCAGTTACTATAAATGCGGAAGAAATTAATACCAGACCGATTTTGTATCATCCCTAGGACAGTTCTGTTACACCCGGATGGGCCAAGGTTTGACAGAGAAGTTCTCACAGCGGCTATACAAAGGCCGATATGGTCAGACTCTGGAGTCGATGCTTCTCCCAATCCCTCCACAGGCTATTTTCTGCTGTCGACTTCTTGTTGCTGCCAACTGCTTCTCTTACTGTCGACTGATTCTTGTTACCTATCATCTCCATCGTTCCACGAACAGGGCAGAAGACAGGAACTTTCTTTCCATTCAGCATGTCGTACTGTGTCTCAACACACGCAGTAGCAGATTCACTTGGTGACGCTGTTACAGCTGGTGTCTCTGCGCCAGTTGCGTTCACTTTGTAAATGTTAGTGATGGAGTGGCATATTCAAAAGGACTTCCTTACTCCAACTCCAATACAGCCCCCAATTTAAAGTGCCAGGGAAGTTTTTCTCAACTGCCTTTCAATGTCTATCTACCGGTTGGGTCAAGGTCGTGATATGATCCTACCCACGTTTTTGCCTCGTTTTTTTGTCATATCATCAATACACGTCGTGCTTATTGCCGTCCAATGCACCAGGATCAACAGAGAGGACACTGGCAATTTTTTGAGTGATTCTTTGATTTCTCATAGAATAAATCCGCTATATTGGATACATAGTCCCCCTAATACGTAACACAACGCAGCTTCCCAAAGCTGGTCCCTTCCCCAAACGCCCATAGCATGCAGCACAACCACCCCCTTTTACAACAGCCCCTGCTTCTGCAAGTCATAATACACCTTCTCGGGCATAACATTCCCCTCTGCATCCTCCATCTGCACCACATCCCTCCCACTCTCCTCCTTCTTCTTCTCCCTCTGAATCTTATCCCACAACTTCAACGCATCCTCAATCCCCGTAATCTCCCTGAACAAACTCGTATTCGAGATCCCCAAACACTTTAGCCCATGAATATGACGCGCTTCGTTAAAGTGCTTATCAAACGCCCTCCGTCCCATATACACAAAGTTCCCGCAGATCTCGCACGGGAACTCCACACCTAGCCCGTGCAGCTTGTACAGCCAGAAGGGAATCGGCTTTCCGTCCCACGCCAGCGGGAGCTTGAGGGGGTTATACACCTTCTCCTCGCCATCAGAGTCCGAATCCGACGCATCGTCCATAGTAGGCCCGACTTCCGTGTCAGCGAAGAGAGCCTCGAGCTCCAGCTGGCGCTCACGCTCCGTCATACCCTGTCTGCGCTCGACGTTGACGCGGGTGTCGCCGCGCTCCTGCGTCATGGCACCTGCGAGGCGGCGGACACGGTTCTCGCGCTCGGCGATGGCGCGTTCCTTCAGGCGGAGTGTGGATGCGGGGCGTGCGCCGCCGTTGGTGGTCTCAGCTGGGGCGGAGGAGTCTGCGAGGCGCGCGGCGCGTTGGTCGGCTGCGCGGAGATGCTTTTTGCCTGTCAAATGCGCCTTGTAGACGTTTGGGTTCGAGAATTCCTTCTCGCAGTCCTGGCAGAAGACGCCGGTTGTGGAGGTTGGGTCTGAGGGGGCTGTGTCGACCGTCCAGCCGGGGATTGTGTTTTCGGTCCAGGACTTGTCGAAGTCGGCGTCCCAGGTCTCGAAGAGGGAGTCGATGTTCTCGAGAGGGCGCGTGCGGCGCATGAAGGACTCGAGGTATGTGGCGAGCTGGCCGACGTAGGTGAAGTACTGGTCGGTCATTTTGTCGGGGCGCTTGATGGCGCATACGGGGGGCGCGAAGATGTCGAAGATGTCGAGGTATTGGAGGTAGGAGGGGCGCTTGATGCCGGGGAGGTTGACGTAGAGCTCGTGGAGGGCGGTGAGGTCGAGGAAGCGGCCGTAGGCTTCTTCGCCCGTGAACATGTTGTCGATCTCCGAAACGACCTGCTCGCCTTCTTGGGGCGTCTTCTTCTTGTATGCGCGCTCCAGGTTCTCGACGGGCTCATTGGGGTAGCGGCTATGGAAGGATTTGATGTCGGAGATTTGCTTGTAGAATTCGGCCAGTGGGTCGCCGGTAGAGATGTTCTGGATCTCTTTACTCCTTGCGCTGTCGGCATCTTTGTAGATGTCTATTAACCGTTTCGACTGGTCTTGTATGCGGTCTAGGAAGCCTGCGACTTGGTGATCTCTGTTTAAACGCTCGCGGACCTATGTAAGTTATTAGTATGGCTCATGATCTGGTATTAGGTTGGAACTAACATGTCGTGGTTCATCTGCTACTCTATCTGCGATGCCCTGTTCCAGCCTCTCGAGGTCCTCATGGAGGAACCTCTGCTCCTCTAATATCATTATGGCGGCGCAAGACTGTTCCCTAGCTCAACTGTATAATTGGCAATAATATGCTTCAATTATAAACAAATAAATCCCGTCCGGCGTGGCGAAAACAATACTGCAAGGTAGAATGTGTTGATAGTGGCCAAATTCGGAGACGTGTGACCGCGCCATGGGAGATTTCCTCAGCCTGCGCTAACTATTTCTCCGCCTTGCGCGAACGACAACCACACCCCGGCACGAATTTTGACGACAACACTTTTTGGCCTCACCACAACAATCCGCCCTCCGGACCTCACAAACACCTCACCCACTACAATTTCAAGGTCGGAAATCGTTCATCATGGCAGACGGAGGAATCGACCGCAAGATGGAGGAGAGAATGGAGTTTACGACCTCGAAGGAGGTGGAAATCGGTAAGGCTGAGCCTCTCCCCATCGCGCCAGGTGGAGAGAAATCGACCTCACTCGCCCTGGATCGATGCGACAAAGCTTAATAAAAGGCCTATGCTAACATCGTTTGCCCCAGCTCCAACTTTCGAGTCCATGTCCCTCAAGGAGAACCTCCTCCGCGGCATCTACGCGTACGGCTACGAATCTCCCTCAGCCGTGCAATCGCGCGCCATCGTTCAAATCTGCAAAGGCCGCGACACCATCGCGCAAGCACAATCCGGAACCGGTAAAACAGCCACCTTCTCCATCAGCATGCTTCAAGTCATCGACACCGCGGTGCGCGAGTCGCAGGCCCTCGTGCTCTCGCCGACCCGCGAACTCGCCACGCAGATCCAGTCTGTCGTTATGGCGCTGGGGGACTACATGAATGTGCAGTGCCATGCTTGTATTGGTGGGACGAATGTGGGAGAGGATATCAGGAAGTTGGATTATGGACAGCATATTGTTAGTGGGACGCCGGGGCGTGTGGCGGATATGATCCGTCGCCGTAACTTGCGCACGCGCCATATCAAGATGTTGGTGCTTGATGAAGCGGATGAGCTGCTCAACCGCGGATTCCGCGAGCAGATTTACGATGTATACCGCTACCTTCCCCCCGCGACGCAAGTTGTCGTCGTCTCCGCCACGCTCCCCTACGACGTCCTCGACATGACGACGAAGTTCATGACCGACCCCGTCCGCATCCTCGTCAAGCGCGACGAGCTGACCCTCGAGGGACTTAAGCAGTACTTCATCGCCGTCGAGAAGGAGGAGTGGAAATTCGACACCCTCTGCGACCTCTACGACACGCTGACCATCACGCAAGCCGTCATCTTCTGCAACACCCGTCGCAAGGTGGACTGGCTGACTGATAAGATGCGTGAGGCCAACTTCACGGTGTCGAGCATGCATGGAGAGATGCCGCAGAAGGAGCGGGATAGCATTATGCAGGATTTCAGACAGGGGAATAGTCGCGTGCTTATCTCGACGGATGTGTGGGCTAGGGGAATCGATGTCCAGCAGGTTAGCTTGGTGATTAATTATGATCTGCCGAGTAATCGTGAGAATTACATTCATAGGATTGGTAGGAGTGGGAGGTTTGGACGCAAGGGTGTGGCGATTAACTTTGTGACGAGTGAGGATGTGAGGATTTTGAGGGATATTGAGTGTAAGTCATCGCCCCTGTGTTGCTGTGTTCCGAAAAATGGGCCGGTTCTAACATCAACTAGTGTACTACTCCACCCAGATCGACGAGATGCCAATGAACGTCGCAGATCTCCTCTCTTAAATGGCCCAATAACGTCATAATACCATGAGTTGAAGGAGAGCACGTACACGCGTCATCTGAATCCGAGAAAATAAGCAGAGTCGAGGAAAGCCATCAGGGCACAATGGGCGCGGAGGAAGGGGAATAATTTCCAAAAAGTGAGTCCAACCGCAGCTTTTTCTCCGCCCCTTTTTTATGGATTTTTTGATGGACGATTACTAACACCACCTCCGTCGCATAGAATTTCAGATTGCCACCAAAAAGGAGTTTAAGCCATGCCAGCGAGGGGGAGGTCGACTGGGAGGTCTTTTGTTTTGATATCTACGTGCGGGAGGCGGGCGGGGAGTGTATACCAACCACTTTTTCAGATAGCAGATGCGATTATGCAGTTAGTAGTAAATGCAATGCAAATCAATGTCAAGAGAGAGGAAAGAAACTCCATTAAATTAACCCAGGGTATCATATGCACTATCCATCCATCCATTTAGTTCCCGTATCCGTATTCGTAGCCTGAACTCCATCCCCAATCCCACGCCTCAGTTTCTCCCAGGTAGTCACTCACAACTCCACAACCCCAGCCCAAGAATCCACTTCACTCTCACTCCCGCTCTCGACCCCGCTCCCACTCGCACTCCCACTTCCATTCTCTACAACATCCGCACTCCCCACAACACCCGCACTTGCCACTGCACCTCCAACCCCCTTCGCGCCCTTTCCCCTGATTCGCCCTGTGACGCCACCAGCTACATCACTCCACCCCATCTCCCCCCTACACCGCGGACATTTCGATGAGAGTGGTAGAATCTGTCCCTTTCCACTTTTCCCAGCTTCGTCTCGTAGTCCGTGTTTCGCAAGACAGGTAATATGCGTAGCAACTCCACACTCCTCATCCCCACAAACCGCCATAATCCCACCACCCTGCCCACAAGCCGCGCAGTTACCCAGTCCCAGCACCTCCTTCTCTACCTCCTCCACCTCATCTTGCTGTTCCTTCGCTTTCGCCTTCCCCCCTTTCCCCACCTTCGACACCTTTCCCAACTCCTGGAAAACGGCACTATCGAAATCCTTCACCACCTCCACCTCTCTCCCCCTTCCTTCTCCTCCCCCTCCCAACCCATTAGCCCCAGAAGAAGCAGAACCAGAAGCCTTCAACCAGGCAGCATAAACCTCCTCACTCTGGAAATGTAATCGTAGGGGCCAGCGAGAGAAAGAGGGGGATGAGAGGAGGTGGTGGAGGGATTTGAGGGAGGAGGGGAGGGTGAGTCGGGGTCTTCTGGCGCGGGGGCGAGGAGGGGCGGTGGTGGTAGTGGTTGGTTGGGTGGTGGATGAGGTGGTTGAGGGAGGAGAGAGGTGTGTAGAGAGAGTTGGGTGTTGCCATGCCCATCTATTATCATTAGCCTCTATTCAACCTTCTATTCAATTTTCTTCCCCCCTGCTCTCCTTCCCACACCCTCTAGACAGTAGATAGGGGCGCACGTGACCCCCCCCCGGCCCCTTCTCAACAACAATTGACACGACAAGGAAGGATAGAAGGGGATGAAAGATAGGAAGGCAGACTTCACTCACTCAAACTGCAACGCCCCAACTTGACTCGGAAACCCAACAACCAACACCGGCATCTCCCAGGGTCTATGGCTCGCTCTGGCCGTCCTACTCGCTCCCCCTACTACGAGACCGTTGTGTTGACGCAGACGCCGCGAGGGAAGGGGCGTGGAGCCGATGTAGACGGAGTGTGGGAGGGGGAGGGAGCGCAGGAGGTAGACTGTGTAGAGGGGGGGGATTGGGGGGGGTGGCATTTTTTGTGTTTGGGGGGGTGGAGAGGAGGGGGAGGGTGATGGAGGGGACGTTTGGGGCTGAGGAGGGAGGATGGGGGGAAAGGGGGGAGGGTGAGGTGGGGGCGGTTGTTGGTGATCGGGATGCCGGTGGATAGATGCAGAAGCAGAAGGCTGAGGTAGGTAGGCTGATGTTGGCGGGAGGCGCGGGTAATCTTTGCGCTGAGGATGCGTATGTATGCGTATGCGGAGTGATATGCCGCTGTATGTACGTGGCTATCTATGTGTAGTGTAATCAAATACGGTATGCGGGATTTATGCATATCCCTCCGTACCGCCTCTACAGTACCGTCCCTACCGCCATCTCTGCCGTACCGTACAACAAAAGGCGGGCCTCGCTGCTCCTTCACATGGACAATCCCCCAGCGCACACGATCGAAGGTGGTACTTACGCACCACTGCAAATCTGGGTTATGGCAGAAGTACACGCGTCCAAGTACCGACGACCCAGGCACACAGCAGGAACCAGACAGGCATGTATGCGCGTTATTGGACGTCAGTGCTCGCTAAAGAGGGATGGGGGGTGTGTGATTGGTTGCTAGCCGAGGGTGACGATGGCGCTAGGAAAATGCTAAATTGGGGGATGGGCGGGCGAGGATCTGTACGGCGTAGGGTTGAGTGGAAGGGAGGATGATGGGGGGTGTATGTGTGCTGTATGTAGGTTATTTATGGATTTTTATATAGGTGTTTAGTAGGCGAAGTATGGTTTATAGGAAGGTGTCGGATGGTAGAGAGGAAGATGAGGTGAGGTCGTCTAGGCTTGATGATCTGTTGGAGGGACGAGGCTTGACTGCTGTGTTGGGTGTACATGGTCTAGGTTACTTTACATACACGCCATGCCTTTACATGCACGCCCCCAAATCTTCAATCGCGATCATGACTTAGGAACTGCGTTAAAATATGCACAGCCACTACAATCCCCATTCCTTCGTTTTTCTATATATATATATATATATCGCAGTAACTTATTAGTATTAATATTAGCATCACTATAAGCACAAGCACAAGCACGTGCATGAGCATGAGCATGAGCACAGTATAAAATCCCACTCCATCACCTGCTCCTCATCCTTTTTCTACGGGAACACCACCCGCGCTAACCCACAAGCGGCCCATATTCTGCCTATGTCTGGTACTTTCATATGTGGGTTTTTATTTAACCCACTACCGACCGTCAACCAAGTACTGATGCAGGTTTGTAGTACTACTGTACGGCGCCTCCGACGACTCTAAAAAACGCATCCCGACAGACGAGGGAAGGGATGGGGGAAAGAGACGGGGAGAGACACGCCGGTTGCATTTGGGTATGGTGGTACTAGAGGTAGGTACTCTGCTGTTGGTAGTACTCTGCTGTTGGTTGGTAGTACTGTAGTACTGTAGGGGCGTATCGACATCTTTGTTCTTCCCCCACGTCTCTTTTTCTTCTTCAGAGTTGATGGGATGGATGGGGTACTTGTGGGTTATGTACCTTGTTTAACTTTTGATAGTTTGGTGATGGGGGTTGATGTGGTGGTTTGATATGTTCTGCTATATTTTCTACTTCTGTGCATGTACTTCAACTCCATACATATATATGCCACAGTATTATATCTTCCTCATGCTCTTCTTCACACTCATACACCATACATATGCCACTCACAGTACTATATCTTCCCCATACATATGCCACAGTACTCCCATCCCACCCATACTCTATCCTTACTTCCCACCCATAGTCTATCCTTACTCTATCCTTACTCTATCCTTACTCCCATCCATACCCTATCTTCCTCTACCTCTCCTCATCTTACCAAGTCATACCTAGTCAATCAGAACCCCAGGTTGTTTCTTACTCTATAGAAGGTTAGAGTAGAACAGAGTAGAGTATAATAGAGGGTTAGAGTAGAACATGGCAGAGTATAATAGAGTACTCTAACCCCCCAACATCTAATTAGACTAGAACATAACAGAGCATAATACAGTACTCTGACCTCTAACCTCTAACCTCTAACCCCAACCTCTAACCTTGCCTAAAGCCACAAAGCCTCTGCCTCCTCTCCCTCTCCTCCCTCTCCTCCCTCTCACTAACCAGTGAAAACACAACTCCACCCAAACCACATATACCACAAATACCACCCCATATATACTTCATGGTACAACCACTCTCCACCAAAACCACCCAATATTCCCATACTACCCCATGTACCACTACTTCCATCCTCTATCCTCTACCGCTTCTACGGGTACGCCCCCCCCAGACAAGACAACCACACACCTTACCACCCTTTACCACCTTTACCACCTTACCACCCAACTTCCTCACTTTCTCCAATCCCACCTTCCTTCCCATCGTCCTATACTTACTCCCCATACCACTTACAACTCCAACTGCCATTCCACCACTGTCGACCATAACCCCCACTCTCTTTCTGCTCGACTGCTTAATTCTCATGGCATCATCTCTATTTCTTACTCCACCTGTATAATTTATGTACTAGTACTCGTCTACGGTACCACTCATCCCGCCTTATACTCGAAATCCGTTTCCCATTCGTGCTCTCGCTCGGCACGCACCTCTGAGACTCACCTCCCCAGGCCCTGAGCCAGAAAACCACCTCGCCCACACCCACCCAACAACCCTCACCCTCTCATGCGAAACGCTCCAATGCCGTCGATATAGACTGCAACGACTAGCGAAACCCCCGAAAACACTCTCACATCTCTCTGCCCCCGAGCCGATCACGCCCCCCGACCTGGCGTGTGCAGCATAATGGTGCAGGTTCCCACGACGAGCGGCGGCTCGTCGGCCGCCACGCGCGCCTCCCCAGCCAGCGCGACAGCCAGCAACGCCCCCTCGACCCGAGCAAAGGGCGCCGCGAACGGCAATGCCGTCCCGGCGCCGGTGCATCTCAGCGCCATGAAGTCTGCGCCGCTCGACCTGTCGAGTGTGGAGAGGCGAGGCCAGCCGACGGCGAGCCGCGAGACCACAAAGAAGATGCGGCCGCATGACTTGCAGGAGGCGCCCACGTATAGGCCGACGATGGAGGAGTTCAAGGACCCGTTTCAGTATATGAAGATGATTGCGCCGGAGGCGTCGCAGTTTGGGATCTGCAAGATTATACCGCCGGCGGATTGGAATCCGGGGTTCGCGATTGATACGGAGGTAGGGACGATTCGGGCTGGGGATTCTATGGACTCCGAGGCTCTTGTGTCGCTGCTTGTGCGCTTGTTTATACTGACGTCTATTCTAGAAATTCCACTTCAAGACGCGAAAGCAAGAACTCAACTCTATTGAAGGCAGTACGTATAACAAAACCTGGTGGCACGTGCATGGTGACGGACAACGCTCTAACACTCGACAGGCACCAGAGCGAATTTGACATACCTAGACCAGCTGGCGAAGTTCCATAAGCAACACGGCACGAGTCTCACGCGGTTCCCCAGCGTCGACAAGCGCCCACTCGACCTATATAAACTGAAGAAGGCTGTCGAGTCAAGAGGAGGGTTCGAGAAGGTCTGCAAACTGAAAAAATGGGCCGAGATTGGCCGTGACCTGGGATACAGCGGCAAGATCATGTCATCGCTATCGACCTCTCTGAAAAACTCATATCAGCGGTGGCTGTTTCCCTACGAGGAATACCTGCGACATGCGAAGCCGGGCGTCCAGGCACAGCTAGAATACGAATATGGAGGGCCCATAACGCCATCTCCAGCTACTTCGCCAATGAAGAAATCACACTCACACCAACACACACCATCTAGTCTCCGAGACGATTCGCCGGCGGTTTCTGCTTCCGAGGCGCTCAATTCGTCATTACGGAATGTCAATGGCAACGGCACTGAGACGAAAGATATACCAATGCTCGATCGATCGAACCAATCTACTCCCGCTCCAGCCCCTCCGACGTCTGGCTTCACGCCGGTTAATGCGGGCGGATTTACAGCCGTGAATGCAGGGCAGGGGGGATTTACACCTGTCAATCACGCGCGGCGCGAGAGGGAACCAGAAAGGAGCTTTACGCCTCCAAGGAGGGCCGTCGACAGCCCGATGTCTTCGGCCAAGAACACGCCCGAATATCGTCCCTCCAACCTCAAATCGACACCATTGACGAATGGGTTCACATCCAACCCGCTCAAGCGCCAAATGAGCCACGACAGCATAGATTCGCGGAAGGAAAATACAACTCCACGTGACGACAGCGACGGTGGTGCAAACGGACGCCGAAGCAAGAGATTAAAGAAAGAGCCGGTTCCAACTGTGGCGGGGTCGCATATGAGCTTCCTACGACCCTTGACACCCAGGATACCAGGCGAGCCGGGGTCGTTCGCGCCTGGTGAGAAGTGCGAGCATTGCGCCAAGGGGGAGGATGCGGGTACGCTCTTAGTCTGCGAGTCGTGTGATCACGGGTATCATATGCAGTGCCTGGATCCCCCGCTCACGCAGAAACCGGATTATGACTGGAATTGCCCGAGGTGTCTGGTGGGTGATGGCCAGTTCGGGTTTGAGGAGGGAAGCATCTACTCCCTTAAGCAGTTTCATGATAAGGCGGCGGATTTCAAGGAGGGGTACTTCCAGAATCGGCTACCGTTTGACCCGGTTCTCAACTGTCCGCGACCAGTTACTGAGGATGATATTGAGAGGGAGTTTTGGAGGTTGGTTGCTAGTCTTGAGGAGACTGTTGAAGTTGAGTATGGCGCCGATATCCATTCCACGACTCACGGTAGCGGGTTCCCGACAATCGAGAGGAATCCGCGGGATCCGTATTCGACTGATCCGTGGAATCTTAATATTACGCCCCTGCACCCAGACTCCTTGTTCAGGCACATCAAATCAGATATCTCTGGCATGACCGTGCCGTGGCTCTATGTTGGCATGATCTTCTCGACTTTCTGCTGGCACAACGAGGATCATTATGCTTATTCCGCGAACTACCAGCATTTTGGCTCGACGAAGACGTGGTACGGTATCCCGGGCGAGGATGCAGAGAAGTTCGAAAATGCGATGCGGGAAGCCGTGCCGGAGCTGTTCGAAACGCAGCCAGATCTTTTGTTCCAACTTGTCACATTACTTACCCCCGAGCAACTGAAGAAGGCCGGCGTCCGATGTTACGCTCTTGACCAACGCGCTGGGCAATTTGTGATTACGTTCCCCCAAGCTTACCATGCGGGCTTTAACCACGGTTTCAACTTCAACGAGGCTGTCAACTTCGCGCCTAAGGACTGGGAGCCGTTTGGGGATGTTGGCGTCGAGCGACTTCAGCAGTTCAGGCGCCAACCCTGCTTTTCCCACGATGAACTTCTTTGGACTGCCGCGGAGGGTCATGCGACTGGTGGTGTGACTATCGAGACGGCGAAGTGGCTTGCGCCGGCGCTGGAGCGCATGCGAGAGAAGGAGGTTGAGCTCCGCAAGAATTTCATGGCTAAGCACAACGATAATAACCACCCTTGCGTTATCACGGATGAGATTGAAGGCGCCGGACCGCGATGCCATGTCAAGTTCGAGGTGGATGATCGGGATGTTCCGGAGGAGGAGTATCAGTGCTCCTACTGCAAGGCTTATGCGTATTTGTCGAGGTATAAGTGTGATAAGTCGGGTAAGGTTTTGTGTCTTTTGCACGCGGGCAATTACGAGTGCTGTGAGATGTCTGAGGAGGAGAGGTATAAGGGCAAGAATCACACGCTCCACTATCGCCGTACCGAACAGGCTATTAGCAGTATCTACCAGAAGGTTTGCGACAAGGCGCATCTGCCAGAGGTATGGGAAGACAAGGTCACAAAGACACTAGAAGAAGACGCAACACCGTCTTTAAAAGTGCTCCGCGCTCTCCTCAATGAGGGGGAGCGCATCCCCTATGACCTCCCCTCTCTCCCAACCCTAAAGACCTTCGTGGACCGCTGCAACGAATGGGTCGACGAAGCCACCAACTACATCGTGCGCAAACAACAAAACCGCCGCAAGAGCGAGAAGAGCTGGCGCAAGGGCAGCAAAGCCGCCGAAGCCGAGGAGCGCGAGCGCGAGCTCCGCAAAGTCGAGAACGTCGTAAAGCTCCTCAAGGATGCCGACGCCCTCGGCTTCGACTGCCCGGAAATCACCCAGCTGCGGGAGCGCGCCGAGGCCATCACCAGTTTCCAGCGCGACGCCAAGATGGCGCTCGACAACCAGAATGTGCGCGACACGCAGGTGTTTGAGGAGCTGCTCGAGCGCGGGCGCGGGCTCAATGTGGATATGCCCGAGACGGAGCGGCTGGAGGGGGTGGTGGCGAAGAATAAGTGGGATGATAGGGCGAAGGAGGCTAGGGGCCAGTTTTTGTCGCTGACGGATATCAAGGAGCTGATTGCGGCGGCGGAGAAGCTGGAGATTCTACCGGCGAGTAACAGCTATCTCCGCCACTTTAAGGAGCAGAAGGAGGCGGGAGAGGGTTGGGAGATGAAGGCCAAGGAACTCATGTCTGCGGAGTCGATTCATTACCCCCAGCTGGAGGCGCTGTCGAATCAGGCGCAGGCGGCTGCGATACCGGTTTCGGCGGAGACGCTGGCGCAGGTTGATCAGATCCTTAATAAACAGCGCGAAGCGCATCGGCAGATTGTGTCTCTCTACGACCGCAGCAAGGAAGCGGATATCTCGAAGCGGCCCACGTACTCCGAAGTCGTCTTCACGGTGGATAGTCTGCTAGACCTGAACAGCAAGCCGAGCGGCACGCTGGACCTCGAGAAAGAGCAGAAGCGCCACGAGGACTGGATGCGCAAGGGCAAGAAGCTGTTTGGGAAAGCGAACGCCCCACTGCATATCCTCAAGACGCATATGGAGTATGTGCTTGAGCGGAACTTGGATTGCTTCGATATCATGTATGATAAGCCGCGGATGCCGGCGGAGCCGGCGTCGAGGGAGCCGAGCCCGGTGGATGGGAAGATGCATACGTGGGAAGATCCGAGGTTTAGGGAGGTGTTTTGTATTTGTCGTAAGGTGGAGGCGGGGATGATGATTGAGTGCGAGTTATGTCATGAGTGGTAAGATTTTACAAACTCTCACCAAAAGGTTGTTGTTGCTAATTATACCCAGGTACCACGGCAAATGCCTCAAGATCGCGCGCGGCAAAGTCAAAGAAGACGAGAAATACACCTGCCCCATCTGCGACTGGCGCGTCAAGATCCCGCGCGACGCCGCCCGCCCAAAACTCGAAGACCTAATCGAATGGCAGAACGAGATCAAATCCCTCCCCTTCCAGCCCGACGAAGAGGACCTCCTCGCGCGCATCATCGACAATGCGCAGGACTTCCGCAATCACGTCGCGCCCTTCTGTAACCCTATCATGGCAACCTCTGAGGAGTCGTCGATTCTGAGGTTTTACTTACGCAAGATTGAAGGGGCGGAGATATTGTTGGTCAGGGAGACGAATTATTTCCGCGCGCAGTTGCATAATTGGTCCCCTGTGGCGCCGGAGCCGCCGCCGGTGCTGGAGACGTCGAAGTCGACGAGGAAGCCGCGGCCGACGAAGTTGCAGAAGTTGATGGCTCAACATGGCGTCGATGACCCTGAAAACCTCCCTCAGTCTCTGCGCACCAAGCAACACGGCTTCAAGCGGAAATCCAGCGAACCGCAATCCGCCCCGCCCCGACCGGCGCTGCAACCCGCTCCGGGGGGGGCGCAGGGACACTACGCGATGCAGCAGTTCTCGGCGCAGCAGCAGCAGGCGCAGAATGGCGTGTACCCTGGCTCTGGACCGCGGATGTTGGCGGATTCACCGCACCTTCAGCAACAGCAACAGCAGCAGCCAAGGTTTGCGTATGATGAGATTCCGTATGGGGCACGAGAGAGACAGCCGGGGTTTGCACCGATGGCGTTCGTGCATGCAACTCCCTATGGCGGCTCTGGACAGGGTGCCCAGGGGCCGTTTACAGGGGCGGCGATGGGGCGGGGGGGGGAGATGACGCTTGATGGGCGGGGGATGGGGAGTCCGCTTGGGGAGGGGTTTGATTCGTCTAGTATCACTGGGGGACTGCCAGGGGGTTCTGGGGGGGGGGGAAGTGGGGGGGGAGGGGGGGGATGGAGAGGTTATTCAAGGATCTGACGAATGCGGATGAAGACGGAGGGGAAAAGAGGGCGAAGGAGGAGGCGGGTGGGGGGGAGGCGGGGGAGTTGTTGAGGGATATGACGATGTTTGGGGAGGACGGGGGTTGGGATGAGTGAGTTCCCTCTTTTTGGGGGGTGTATGTGGAGGAGACGTGTAATTATGGGCAAAGGGGTGTCTTACTTCCCGCCCTGGTTTCCTTTTGTCGTCGCTTTGGGCTGGCTGGCTGGGTTGGCTTTTGAGTTTTAAATTTGGGGGGAGTTGATGTTTTTTTGGAGTTCTTTTTTTGGGGGCCCGCTGGGGGGTTTGGGGTGGGGGTGGCATAATTAGGATGGGACGGTGGGAGGTGGGTGGAAAAGGGGCTGGGTGATTGTATTTGTTCTTGCTCGCTGCTGTCTGTGGCATGGCTGAGGATGGGGAGTTTAGAGTAATTGCTACGGTATGCTATGCGGCTTACTGGCTTGGCTTAGCTGGCTTTTTTTTGGTGGGGGTGGGGGAAGAGAGTGTACTGTTAGATTTTTACATAGAAAGAGATGCTTTTACTGTGTTCGTATTTTATCATTTTATATATATTTTTTTCGTATTGTAAGTTTTGCTGAGTGAGACCTTATTTCCTATCTCGTACCAGAGTAAAGTTAATTCGACATTTCGTATTAGGTACCTGCGCTAGCGTCATCCATCCCCTCGTGACAACGCTGAACCGCCTCGGTAAGTTTTTTGAGACCATCCATAAAAGTCCAGCCTAGCCCAGCCCAGTTTCGCGGGGCGTATTTTACCTTAATTCTACATTTAATTTTTAAAGAAGCAAAATGGCGGATACGCGCAAGACTGTGTTGATTACGGGGTGTGCGCCGGGGGGGATTGGACATGCTCTCGCGTTGGACTTTCATAATGCTGGTACTGCCCCCCCCCCCCCGCCCGCCATCCCAATCCAGCCGCCCGACGTCACTGTCAACCAACTGCTAATATGTGTTCACACCCCTAGGCCTCCGCGTCTTCGCCACGGCGCGGAATAAGGCAGCGTTAAAGGATTTGGAGGAACTGGGGATTGAGACGCTTTCGTTTGATGTCACGTCCCAGGCGGATCGGGTGAGGGTGAGGGAGGAGCTGGAGAGGGTTGCGGGTGGGAGGTTGGATGTGCTGGTTAATAATGCGTGAGTCCCCCTTTTTCCCCGACTATACACGTTTTCCACGTGCACGGTGATCTGGTTCTAACCCACTAAACAGGGGAAAGAGTAAGTTATATTCTCGTTGTCTCTACCTAGAGGGGGGGATGTGGTGGGTTGTGGATCTTGTGACTTTTACTTACTTACCATTTTCGCCAGACTGCACAGTCCCCGCTATCGAGGTGTCTGATGAAGATATCCAGTCTACCTTTGAGACCAATATTTTCTCCGTCATAGCCATCATTCGAGAGCTCTCCCCCCTAATAATCGCTGCAAAGGGTAAAATCGTCAATATCGGCTCCATCACCGCCGTGACGCCCTACGTCTTCGGCGCCGTCTACAACGCCACCAAGGGCGCTCTGCAAGCTTACTCCAACACTCTCCGCCTTGAACTCGCGCCGTTTGGGGTACGCGTGATTCTGGTGGTGACGGGGGGAGTACAGAGTAGGATCGCGAGGACGGATAGGACGTTGGGGGAGGACAGTCTGTATTTGCCTATTAATACGGAGTATTTGAGGAGGGTTAAGCATTCGCAGGGTGAGTTTCCGCTCTATCTCTCTATTTGTTGTCCTTTTCTGGTTCTGTTTTCTTAGGACTGCGGGGGAGGGGAGTGGACGGGGGAGGGGTGTTGATATAGGAAGCTAACAACCAGCAGAGGGCGCAATGCCCACCAAAGCCTACTCCGCCAGCGTCGCACACGAGGTCTTAAAGACCAACCCCCCGAACTGGGTGTGGCAGGGCAATCGCTCGTGGCTCATCTGGTTTTTGGGTGAGTTGCATGAGCGTGTCGCTCCGGTTGGGAATGTCTGCTGATGATGTGTAGGATTATATCTTCCCTTCGATGTTTGGGTTGGCGAGGTTGAGGCAGATTGTTGCGAAGCGGGAGAGTGTTTGATTGAGAGGGACTGGTAGGGGGTTGGATGATGTCAATGGGTATTGGGGCCTTTTGTTGGTGGTAATACGTTTAGCATCGCGCGGACGTGGTGGGGTTGCAAGTAAACAGACAGATTGGTTGGTATGGAGGTTTATAGTTTACAGCACTATAAAAGGAGAAGCATTGGCTCTCATATCCTCCCCGTCAGTCAAGCACCACCATATAATCCGTACCCTCCCCACAACACCCACATACGACCATATACTCAAGA